ATACAGGCTTTCATATCAGAGATGGAATTTCATCCTTCCATTCACAATTCACTTTACTTGGTTCACATGAGAACTTTCTGATTTTCTTTGAATTACTATATGCAATTCAGTTTGGTCATGATTGCCATCTACATAATGTAGAAAATGGTAGGAAAATCTGTAAAAGGGTTTAAAATTCACTCTAACATTTGAGAGGGTTTCATTATTCTATATACTTTATTTAAAAGTTTTGTGTTGAAGTTGCAAGTCTGGCCAGTTGGTCTGCTTTGAAATAATCCAGGTATAAATGCCTTTTTATGCTGACAGGTTCATATAATGAATTGAATGGGTTAATGTACCATACTAGGTAGTATAGTAATATAATTCATCTATTGTATTTGGAGCCTGTGAGTGATCCTGAGATTTATTTATTTAAATATATTTTAATTGATTTTAGAGAGGAAGGGAGAGGAAGAGAAAGAATCATCAATGATGAGAGAGAATCATTTATTGGCTGCCTCCTACATGCCCCCTACTGGGAACCGAGCCTGCAACCGGGCATGTGCCCTTGGCTGGAATCAATCCCGGGACCCTTCAGTCCGCAGGCTAACGCTCTATCCACTGAGCCAAACCGGTTTTAGCTATGACTGCCTTTAAAAAAAAATTGATTGAGAAAGAGAAATATCTACTTGTCATTCCATTTCTTTATGCATTTATTGGCTGAATTAAACCTGCAAACTGGGTATTATGGGACAGTGCTCTAAACCAGTGTTTCCCAAAGTGTGGTATGGGAAGAGTTTGGTGGGTGTATGCGTTGCACCGGAGTTTGGTGGGGATATGCACTGCACCGTGCTTAGCTGCGCCTAATTCTACGTTCTCATGAGTACAAGGGGTACTCAGCGTTACAAAAATTATAGAAGGGGTACACATATGTCAAAAGTTTGGGAAACACTGCAGAGCTACCCAGCCAGGCCTGGGCCATGACTGCTTTATAAAAATATAAACTATTCAGCCGAAACCAGTTTGGCTCAATGGATAGAGCGTCAGTCTGCGGACTGGGGGGTCCCAGGTTCGATTCCGGTCAAGGGCATGTACCTTGGTTGCGGGCACATCCCCGGTGGGGGGTGTGCAGGAGGTGGCTGGTCAATGTTTCTCTCTCATCGATGTTTCTAACTTTCTATCCCTCTCCTTTTCTCTTTGCAAAAAATCAATAAAACATATTTAAAATATATCCCGATATATATATGTGTGTGTGTGTGTGTATATATATATATATATATATATATATATATATACACACACACATATATATACACACACACACACACACACACACACACACCCCGTATTTTTCGGACCATAAGATGCTCCGGACCATAAGACGCACCAGTTTTTAGAGAAGGGAAATGAAGAAAAAAGATTCTGAAACAAATAGTGTCCTAAAATATTTTATGTGCATTAAAACCCAACATCACAGTCATAAACACATGTAATCAACCCTGTAAAGTAAACAGCAGTATTTAGAACCATTTTAGAGCCGGGCAAGCACACAGAGACCACACAGAGCCGGGCAAGTAAAAAAACTTTTTTTTTTAAGTATATGTGTAGGCTATATTTGGACCATAAGACGCAGGGACTTTCCCCCCCGCCACTTCTGGGGGGGAAAAAGTGCGTCTTATGGTCCGAAAAATACGTGTGTGTGTGTGTGTGTGTGTGTGTGTGTGTGTGTGTATCAATGTATCATTGTTTCTTTTTTTTTTAAATAGGGACCCCCACTCCCATGATTTTATTACCATAATTACCAGTGACATTTCAAACTTGTATTATATAAAACTGTATAGGGCATATAGAGTTTTATACTGTTTTTTGTGGCTGTATGGCTAAATTTTTTTTCCCATTTTTGCATAATATTCCATTGTGAAGCATTATAATTTAATCAAATACTTCTCTTTTGGAAATTGAGATGGCTTCTACTTTTCCACTATAATAAGACTGCAATGAACATCTTTGTACATTTTTTTTATTTCTATAACATTTCTTCAGGGTAAATTTTTAGAAATTGGATTACTTTCTATTTCTCTCAGAAATAGGCTTAATACAACTTTTAGCTTTTTACTTACCCATTTTGGGGAATTTTATCTCTGCTCTTCTTATATCTCAGATTTGGCTGGCAAAGAATATTTTGCCTACCTTTTATTAGCTCTCCAGGTGATTGTTATTGTTTTAGCTTAAAAACACATGTCATGTGCCGAAACCGGTTTGGCTCAGTGGTAGAGCGTCGGTCTTCGGACAGAAAGGTCCCAGGTTCGATTCCGGGCAAGGGCATGTACCTTGGTTGCGGGCACATCCCCGGTGGGGGGTGTGCAGGAGGCAGCTGGTAGATGTTTCTCTCTCATCGACGTTTCTGGCTCTCTATCACTCTCCCTTCCTCTTTGTAAAAAAAATCAATAAAATATATTTTTAAAAAACAAAAACAAACAAAAAAGAAAACCACATGTCATGTATGGTAAAATTGCAGTGAGGGCATGAGTTACTTTGAAAGTTATTCCCTTAATTGAGGTGACTTGAGCATTATCTCCAAAGTACAGTTAGTGACCCTTCCTTCTGATTAAGGGTGACAGGGATCTTCCCCTTTTCTTAAAGGACTCTTCCCCCTTTTAAAGAAAAGAATATTCATTTTCTAATGACATTTTGGTATTTTATCTTCTTGGTCAAGAGCTGTTACTGAGGGCAGTGGTTTTATATGAGAACAAATCATTTAATATTCATAAGGACCAGAATAGATCCTCCAGACTGACTTACTGAAACCCTAAGGTATGATATCTTTATAAAATAATCTTAGGCCATGACCTTCAAACTTTAGAAATTCTTAAAAAATGGCTGCATAGCGGACAGTTCTTAGTGTTCTAAAAGGGCCATTGAAATGCTGAGAAGTCTAATGGATTTCTGAAAGCATTGTGTGTGTTAGGTACTGCTAAATCAATACTCATAACAGTCACTTAAGTGTATATATTATATAATATTTGGTTAATTATATTATAACTCATATTGTTTCAGAATGTCTTTCAAGTGGAATGCTAAAAATAAGCTGAAGTACTTACAAAAATAGAACCATCAGAAAAACACAGAAGTATATAGTTTTCTTCAGCTACTCTTAATATTTGAAGTTAGCTATGGACTCTGTCATACACATTATTTTATGAACAAGAAAATACCACATTTCAGAAGCACTTATGTTTGAGATTGATAAAAAAAAGAATAGCCTGGTTTAATGTTACCAAGTTGTTCTTAGATTCTTTTTATTTGTTATTTTTAATTTTTAAAAATGTTTTCATGTGTCTCCTTTTAATCGTTTTTCTTATGAAATTTGGATCATGTTTTATCTGTTGTCATATAATATCATAGAGTTAATTATCCTTTGTAATGTTGCATGTGGCTATTATTCCACCCATGTTGTATTTTAAATGTTCTCCTATTATAATTTGTTAAAAGTAATGCTACATGTTTTCATTAAGTGTTTGAGACTTGAAGAATATGCATCATGTAGTTCTGAAGCAAAGGTATATTACTGTAGAAGTTACTTTTTAAACAAGTGTATATTATGTCATTGGTTTTGTCCTTTGGAACCGTTTTTTTGTTTATTTCCAAGTAATTTTATTCCGAATTTTGTTTGTTTCCTGAATCAATAAATATCATACAAAACAATAAAAAAAAGTAATGCTACAGTGAACATTCTTGCATTTTATATTTTTCTTTAAATGTATCTTTGTCAGATATTCCTAGGAGTAATGTTACTTACTAAAATACAAGAATATTCTCTCAGATTTAAGAAATTTGTCAAGATTATTATTTTATTTAGTTACTGTGTATTTTTAAATGTGCTTCAATTCTTGTGTCTAATAAAAACCTGAATTGCATTCATTAGCAGTTGCTCCATATAACGTAAGTAGAATGTCAGTGTACCTTAAGTAAAAATATATATGGAGCACATGAATTTTATATCAAAGAGTTGTATTGGATATACAGAAAATCATATAATCAATTTTGGAAAGCTTTTTAAAAAATGCAACAACATTTTTTATTTGCTTAGATGTTCATAACTGGGAAGGTAATACAATTTAAAATTGTGGGTTTTTTTGGTTTTTTTTACATCATTCAAATATATCCCAATCTTTGGTTGTTGATCACATGGTGGAAGCTGATTGCTGATTTTTTGAAAAAAAGAAAAAAGGGCCCAGCCTGTGTATTCCATTGGGTTGAGTGGTAACCTTGGATCGATTCCAGGACAGGGCACATGCCTGGGTTGTGGGCTTGATCCCAGTGTGGGGCGTGTAGGAAGCATCTGATCAGTGGTTCTCTCTCATCATTGATGTTTCTGTCTGTCTCTCACTTCCTCCCTGAAATCAATAAAAAAATATTTTTTTTAAAAAAGGAAAAAAGGGCCGAAATTGGTTTGGCTCAGTGGTAGAGCGTCGGCCTGTGGACTGAAAGGTCCCGGGGTTCAATTCCTGTCAAGGGCATGTACCTTGGTTGCAGGCACATCCCCAGCAAGGGGTGTGCAGGAGGCAGCTGATTGATGTTTCTCTCTCATGGATGTTTCTAACTGTCTCTCTCTCTCCCCCTCAATGTAAAAAATCAATAAAATATATTAAAAAGGAAATAAGGACAGCCTATTTCCTTGGATATGATTACAGCTTTAAGGTATATGATTGCCCTTGAAAAGTGATAATTTTTTAAGAAACTTGTGTTATTTTATCAATTGCCAGGTGAAAAATAACCAAAAGGGTGATTTGTATTTGATGAATCTCGATACAAAGTAGGGAAATAGTTTTGTATGATTGGATGATGAAGAGCATTTAATCATTATTTGCATGGCTCTAGCTGGGTGGTTGGGTGTCATCCGTACAGTAAGGTTATAGATTCCATTCCTGGTCAGGGCACATACGGGAGACAACCAATTCATCGATGAAAGCAACAGTGAAAGCAGTATGTGACTTTTCCTCTATTGTTTCCTTTTTTAGATTTTAACATTTGAGACCAAGAACCCAATGGAATTAGCAGAACGTTTGCGCTCTGTCTGTGGGAATCAGAGCAATGCCTATGCCCGCCTGCTGGAATACCGTCTGAATGCCTTGCGGGGACTGTGGAATGCCCAGCGCCAGCTGGCCTTGGAAGAACAGCATGAAAGGGAAAGCTCCGGTGATGAAGAAACGTTGGCCCTGCTCAAACGCCAGGGCTTGTTGCAGCAACCCGAGCAAGCTCCCTTCACGTCCCGGATGGGGCTCCTGCTGGTCTTCCCCCTCATTCAGTCCCAGAGTAGAACAGACCCCTCTCTCTGTAACATTACTGCTGAGGTGCTATTGAACTGCCTTCGTGACTGCCAGCCTCTGAGCTTGACCAAGGAGCCTGCTGACTGTCTCAATGGAATTGAAACTCTGCTGTGCTCTTGGCTAGAGGAAACTTCTGACACAGGCCGACACATCCCTCATAAGCAAAAAGAAAATGCTGCTGCTGCCCTGGTGGCTTTGGCATGTGCCAGGTAAGGAAAATCAAAGGTGCCACTTGGTGACCTTTTGACTGCTGCTGCTGCCTGGGTTGGGTGAGTGAATCAGAGAGCAAGCATATTTGATGTGAGTCTTAGCATTCAGAAGTCCTCTGTCTTCAGTATTGAATCTCATGGCCTTGACAGTACATAAGATGCTTTCTCACCAAAACTTGGCACCAGCAGCCTGAGCTGGAAACTAAGTTCAAGTTTTTGCTTTCTGCTATACCATGATAACAGCTTTAACATCTTGAAATGGAGAATCAACCTTTGCCATTATCTACTCACCCCTGAGATGATTAGTATTTTCCATCAGGTAGTTCGTGGAAGATGTTCTATATGTGTTTCTGCTGGAAGGACAGTTAAAAGTTTATAGAGCTTTAAATTTTTTTTTATATATATCTATAAGGAGTGCATTCGTAGGTGAGTGGGTTTTTACTTACCTGGACTCACTCACACAAAAAGATTCACTACCCTTGCTTTTCTCTTAGAAGCCAAGGGAGGAATTTTTTCTTAAAATCTGATTGAGTCCAGCAAATAAATAATACCTTATAGCTGGTTTAAATGTTCCAGTGTGCTTTTGCCCTTTTATTTTTTATTTTTATTTTTTTTAATATATATTTTATTGATTTTTTTACAGAGAGGAAGGGAAAGAGAGAGCTAGAAATGTCTATGAGAGAGAAACATTGACCAGCTGCCTCTTGCACACACCCCCACCGGGGATGTGCCCACAACCAATGCACATGCCCTTGACCGGAATTGAACCTGGGACCCTTGGGTCCGCAGACCGACGCTCTACCACTGAGCCAAACCAGTTTTGGCTGCCCTTTTATTTTTTAAAAAAATATTTTATTGATTTTTTTTACAGAGAGGAAGGGAGAGGGATAAAGAGTTAGAAACATCAATAAGAGAGAAACATCCATTAGCTGCCTCCTGCACACCACCTACTGGGGATGTGCCCACAACCAAGTACATGCCCTTGACCAGAATTGAACCTGGGACCCTTCAGTCCGGAAGCCAATGCTCTATCCACCAAGCCAAACCAGTTAGGACTGCCCTTTTATTTTTTTAACCTCACTACTTCCTATTGGAAAGATGAAGCAGTAAAAATCCATAGGAGTTAGGTGACAGCCTGAGATGGTATAGTAAGTGAGTTAAAGCCAGGTTTCAGATCCATGTGTCCTGACTCCCAGCTTGTGTTTTTATTCTCTACTAGAGGTCCGATACACAAAATTCATGCAACAGTAGGTCTTCCTTCCCCCGGCTGCCAGCACTGGCTTCCCTCTAGCACCCAGGACCTGGGCTTCCCTTGCAGCCCTGGCTTGGGCTTTGTCTGGAAGGTGGTTCGGAAGGATGTCCAGCTTAATTAGCATATTATGCTTTTATTATTATAGATCTGCTGCCTCCCTGTCTTATACTGGTCTTTGGTTTTTGTTTGTTTTAATATATTTTATTGATTTTTTTACAGAGAGGAAAGCAGAGAGATAGAGAGCTAGAAACGTCTATGAGAGAGAAACATCAACCAGCTGCCTCTTGCACACCCCCTACATGGGATGTGCCTGCAACCAATGTACACGCCCTTGACCGGACTCAAACCTGGGACCTTTCAGTCCGCAGACCGATGCTCTACCAATGAGCCAAACCGGTTTTGGCTGGTCTTTGGTTTTGATTCTTTGGTTTTATACTCTATCTGCTGACTCCCTTCTTGTACTGGTCTTTGGTTTTGATTCTTTTGATAGTGAAGGGGGCAATTAAGAGGAGGACTCTAGGCCTACTCAGTCCATTAGGTATTTCATTTCTTTGGGTTTAGGCATGTGATACCTAGCAATTAAAGCCTTGGCTTCAGAGAATAAGGCAGCAGTCCGAAGTCACCCATCTGATACAGGTGATCATTTAGATCAGGAAATATTCTTGTGGTGATCTATGCTTGGGGTTTAGCCAAGTAAGTCTTGTGCATCTTAATAGCACCTTCTTTTAGATCCTGCTGATCATATTATGGATTTCCCAGAGCCTCCAGCCTTGGAAATCAAAATGAAATCAGGTAGTGGTGACCTCTGAAGTATTATAGTCCCGGCAAGGGAAGCTCTCAGTATAAAGTAGTAGTTATTTGAATATATTCCTTTTTTGATATGATGGGCTTCAGTGAGATGTATATAAAATGGATGAACCTAACATTAAAAAGTTACTCCTGGAAGTACAGTTAGACTTTAAATATAACCTGCTCCTATGAAAACTCTCCTCTAGACTAGAGAATGACTTGATGAAAATAGTATCCAAGAATAATAGTCACATGGCCTTTGTACTGAGCCTTATGTTTTGAACTTTTGTGTTAGGGGAAATTATGTACCTTTACAAATGTAAGAACATTATAATTGACTGTTCAGGTGGTGCCACTCACATACTAAGCAAGTATACTTTGTACAACACGTATGATTGGCATAAGCAAATAGATACATTTGGAACTTTTCCCATTTGGTTAATAAACTTAACATTAACAGCCTTCTTATTTGACTTTTCAATTTTGATGATTTTCTGTTCCCTCCTTTTATTTTTAGGGGATCATTGAAAACTTTTGTCCATACAGTTCATCTATTACAGAAACAGACTGATCTAGGGTACCTTCCTGTAGCCGATGTGCTGTATAGGTAAGTTGTCAATTAGGATCCTTCCCTCCTTCTACACAAGGAAGATTGTTCATAAGGTCTCTTTTAATAAGTAGATTGCTAGCCTCTTATCAATTAATGATTCATATATTTTTGTGGCTTTGTTTTTAATTATCTTAAGCCTTATAATGACATAATTTATAATTTTGTGTTGATGATCTGTTCTCATTAATCCTAATGAGCTGGCAAAATCACACACACAATCCTGAATTATAACTTAGTCTGATTTAAAGGATTCACAAAGTTTGCTGCTATATCTTGTCAAGCACCTGACCTTAAAGATCATCTAAAATATGTAGACATGTTAAGTACTTTTTACTTGATATTATACATAAACCACACTAAAATGCCTTTCATTCAGTAAAAGGCAATCGTTTAGATACAGGGAATTTTATTAAATTGGCATAGTTGGAACCAAAAAGACACAATGGTCACTGCCAGCTTATCTGCTGCCCCTGCCTTTTAACAGTCTGATGAACACAACTTGAAACACAAGCAAGTCTTGCAGGTCTAAGAGATAGTGAAGGAATTTTCTTAGAATTTAAACATATTAATACAATCAGTCATATAAATCTAAATATAAACCAGTCTCCTACAGGTTTTGAGATGGTACTCAGCACCTCTGTGAAAAGTTGAATACTACGAATCAAGTCCAATCATATTTTTAGAAGAGAGGACAGTGATAACGCTTGCTGAACCAAAATTACCATTACAGCTCAAAAAGCTGCCATAGCATTTAACCACAAGCCAATCTTACTTAAATCAGGACTACACAAAAGAAATGTTCTATCGGCCATTCACGATCTGAATTCTGGTGTATGAGATCAATTGAGATATGATACACATAAAAATGTCATGAGAGATTTTTAATAAATAAGGCAGTGGCCAACTATTAGTCCTTAGTAGCTTTTTTGAGATAAGCTACCAAGTTTGGCCTTTCTGCACTCTTTTTTTTTTCTTTTTTTTCTTTTTTCTTTTTTCTTTCTGCACTCTTAATGACAGTGAAGATCACTTTTGTTCAGGGATGTACTTCTTGGGAGTCTCCAACTATTGCATCAGGTTAGCCTCTCCCCAGGTGATACCTTTGTTCCTGCTGGCATCCATGTAAGAAAATCCAAGTATCTTTCACCCAAATAGACTGTGAGATTTGGCCCTGTTTTGTGCTTGCCTCCCATTTCTGTAGTATGGCACTGGGCACACTTCTGAACAAAACTCTCCTTGCCTTTCTCAACGTCACCCATTTTTAAATCGCTTGTTATTCTCACTGGACATGGAGGTTCCCACTCTCAAGCCGGACATCCTGCTCTCTAAGTCCAAGGACACATTCCACCACACCCAAGTCCAATTCATATATTTTTATATTACAGTTTACATTCAGTCCTTGTTTGTATTAGTTTTAGGTGAATAGAATAGTGATTACACAATCATATACTTTACAAAGCGATCCTCCCAAGTAGACTGGCACAATACTTAGTTATTACAATATTATTGACTATATTCTTTATGCTATACCTTACATCCCTATGACTATTTCATAACCACCAATGTGTACTTCTTAATTCCTTCACTTTTTTCACCCAGTCCCCCAACCTTACCTCTGGCAGGCATCAGTCTGTTCTCTGTCTGTGAGTTTGTTTCTATTTTGTTTGTTCATATATATTATTCTTTAACCTTCCACATATAAATGAAATGGTTCATATTTTTAAAATAAGTATATTATCATATTTATCTCTTTGAGAATTTTGTTGCCTTCTTTAAAAGTGTTTCTAGAGCATGTTATTTAATTTTTAAAAAATATATATTTTTATTGATTTCAGAGAGGAAGAAAGAGGGAGACAGAGATAGAAACATTAATGATGAGAGAGAATCATTGACTGGGTGCCTCCTGCATGTCCCCTACTGGAATCGAACCTGGGACCCTTCAGTTCTCAGGCCAACATTCCACTGAGCCAAACCAAGCTAGGGCATGTTATTTTTCATTTTTGTGGGCTTAAAAAAATTTCAATAGCTTGTAATTAATTCTTATTGTAGACTTTGGGGTGATATGTTAAGGTGTAGAGAAGAAAGATAAAATAATAATATATATTTTTTTAAATATATATATATTATTGATTTCAGAGTTGAAGGGAGAGGGGGAGAGAGACAGTAACATCATTGATGAGAGAGAATCACTGATCAGCTGCCTCCTGCATGCCCCCTACTGGGGATCAAGTCTGCAACCTAGACATGTGCCCTTGACTGGAATCGAACCCAGGACTCTTTAGTCCGCAGGCTGATACTCTATCCACTAAGCCAAAGCAGCTAGGGCTCATTCATAATCTTATTACCTAAAGATAACCACTTCTAATGCTTTGGTATACATGTTTCTCAATTCATTTTATATATATATTACGTGTGTGTGTGTATAAAATATATACATTTTACACACAGCTGTAATTTTATCATAACATTTATAAAAGCACTGCTTTGTACATTTTCCATATATAAAATATATTGTGAATTTCATTTCAGATGTATAATGTCTTTGTAAACCTGTTATAGTTTTCTGCTTTTTGAGATGGAAGGTGGACTTTTATTTTCTTGCCAAAATGGATAGTTTTGGTGTGTTTGTGATTCTCCATTTCCCTTTTTTAGGCTGTTGCTTTTGGAAGGGGGGCCTGGATCCCCCTCCTGTTTGCTTGGTGGCAAACACATAGTGTCATGGGGATATGAAGACATGTTACCTGCACCAGATAGTAACACTAGCTCCAGTTCTGAAAATAAAGGTAATGTAAGGGCCTTGATCCTCTGATTGAAATTAATATGTGAAAAGAATGGCTTAAGATAATTGTGGCAAACAGTTTAGATATAACTGTGTTCCTTTTAATTAAAGAGCTCAGGATTCCTATACAATGTGTTCATTGTCTGCTTTATCGGTCACAGTATAATACAAGCTGATATTCAGTGAGGTAAGAAAATGGATAGGTTTTACTAGCGCCGGGAAAAGGTATCATCCATACACTTCTGCAGAGAGCCATGAATTACTTAAATTGGTTCCTGGGTATTTGAGTTTGGGCATGGAGCCTTAAGTTGAATTTTATGTCCATGAATAGAGTATCAGGTCTTTCTGCCTGATCCTGTTTCTTTTAGTAATTTATTGTGTGTGTGTTGATGAACCCTCTCATCCTAAAAGCAAAACGATGAGATTGTTCAAGGGAGCATGAATTGTTAAATATCTTTTTTGAACAAAGTAGGCTGGATTAAAATGTTTTTACAGTTTCACAAGTATTACATATCAGTTTATTCTGTGACCTCAGTGAAAATGGCAGAAGCTCTCTTAATTGACTGCACCTAACTGACTTGCAGTAGAATTCAGCCTCAGTTAGCTGGGTAGACATGCTGTCCAGTACCCTGGCACACCCATGCTGCTCTCTGGTAGAGTTTCAGGCCTGCCAGGAGTCCACCTGACTCCCAGACCTGTTTGTTATTGTAATAGGTACTTGTTATTATGATTGTATTGTTAATTGTTACCTTACCAATGAAATAGGAGTTTTAAAAATGATTACCCACTTTAACTCTTTGTTTTTTGAGGAACTACTAGGTACAAATTACACTTGTCTCAGGCTTAGTATACTGATTTTTAAAGATAACAGCGTACTCAGTACTACTTTGAGTGCGGTGACATTGGATTCCCCTAAAATGACAAGTAGTAGACAAACTCCACTTATACATAGTGAGTGGAGTGATTATGAAAATAAACACTGAAGGGCTTATTTATTTGCTTTTTAAAAGATTCTCTTTGTAAGTTAGTAAACCATTTACTATCATATAGAGATACAATGTTATTCTTATGGGAAGATATAGCTAAGGGGAAACATAGTTGCTGTTTTTAAATAGAAGAATACTTTTGTGCTGTGTTGCTCCAGAAATTAAAATTAGGATCTCTGGATGGAATATTCAAAGAAACAGATTTTAGTTGAATGTGTATTATTAGTATGTGAGAATAATATCATTTACCATTATGGAACACTGGCTTTAAACCTGAGTGCAATATGGGTATTAACCTGTGTTATCTCATTTAACCTTCATAGTAATTCTTGAGGTACACATTATCCTCATTTTATGGATGAAGAAACTAAAGTTCAAAGAGGCCCAAGGTCAACTACTAAGTGCCCAGAACTCTTAAAAGCTCACGTCTTTTTTACTATAAAATTATATCGTATTTTAAAAAATATTTACTTATTGATTTTTAAGAGAGGAAGGGAGGGAGGGAGAGAGATAGAAACATCAGTGATGAGAGAGAACCATCAATCAGCTGCCTCCTGCACAGCCTCCACTGGGGATCAAGCCCATCACCCGGGCATGTGCCCTTGGCCAGAATCCAACCTGGGACCCTTCAGTCTGCAAACTGATGCTCTATCCACCGAGCCAAACTGGCTAGGGCTCATATTGTATTCTTAGTCATTTCAGATTAGAATTAGGAATGTGTAAATTGGACTAAGTATTTTTGCTATTCCAAAAAAGAAAAAACATTTGGCAGGCAAAATCAGGTGGTTCTGCTAGTAACTATCTGACCTCCTTCCCTGATCTTGGTTACTGACCCTACAGGCATTTTGGATGTTTGCTGTGGGGTTCTAGCCATCTTCCCTGGAAGTCACATCGAAGCACTTATTTTAGAAGTAGATTATCTTTCACTCAATCTCCTCTAAAGAAAAAGCACGTTTATAATCTTATTAGAAAAGCATTTAGCCCTAGCTGGTTGGGCTCAGTGGATAGAGCGTTGGCCTGTGGACCAAAGGATCCCAGGTTCAATTTCGGCCAAGGGCACATACCTTGGTTTTAGACTCCTCCTGGCCGGAGCCCTGGTCAGGATGTGTGCTGGAGGCAACCAGTCAATGTGTTTCTCTCACATCAATGTTTCCCTCTGTCTTTCCCTCTCTTTTCCACCCTCTATAAAAGATCAATGGAAAAATATCCTTGGGTGAGGATTAACTAAAAGAAAAAAAAAAAAAAAAAGAAAGAAAGAAAAGAAAAGCATTTATATAACTTACTTATAAAAAATGTTTCAGATGCTGACTTGGGACGCTGCCTCACTGCAGACGGTCTTTACCTGTATACTACTAACTCAGTTGGAAGAGGAGTGAGCAAACTGGGCTCTGGATTACATGGTACTCTCAGGTGAGTTACATGGAATTTGCTGAATTCTTTGGCTGGAACATTTCCTCCTTATGTAATCCTCTGTGAAGAAAACATGGGGGTACATGCTGACTCTCCATAGACTGACTAATAATAAGTCTGAACACATCCATGTGATTCTGGTTTTCCATTATTGTCACCCACCCCTCTCATTCTGCTAGTGCAGTGGTCAGCAAACTGCGGCTAGAGAGCCACATGCGGCTTGAAAGCCATGGTTTGCCACTCTGTTGACTAATGAGTTTGCCAATCACTGGGATAGGGGCTTCATCACAAGAAACAACAGCCTGTAATTATTGGAATCGAGAGTCTAGGTCCGCTGTTCAGTCTACTTGCATATTAGGGTTTTATATATCAGATTAGACCTTTTCCCCAACTTTTTTTTTTCTCTTCGCGAGTTTGTTGCGAAAAGTTAATATTTGCCCTAGTTTTTTAGTCCAGAAGCTAATGAAATGTATTCACTCACCTTCAAATTGTTTGCATACTTAGGCATTTAAAAACATTAGGCTTTTAAAACATTAAACATTCAGGAAAATTGTTTCTGTCTGTACCTAAGTACCTTTCTTTTCCTGCAGAGGCTTTGTATACTGCCGGAACGAGGAGCTGGAACCGGGATGGGTTGCTTTCGGCAGCAGCAGTCTTCTCCACCGGCCTGTATCTTTTGATAATAAACCTCACTCCCTTTTCCAGGTCATTGACCAGAATACCCTTCAGGTAAACAGAAAACCAAGGCATTGTCTTTACGTTTTGGAGACAGTAAGGGAAGTTCTTCAGAAGTAATAACACAATTGATGTAGTTTCCTGCCAGAGTGCATCCTTTGAATTGTCATTGTCTGGGCATTCTGTTTTGTTTTGTTTTTGTCTGGTATCTAGACTTTCTCACATCTGAGTGAATGTGTTCCCTAAGCGTTTGTAAGACTAGCAACAAAATTTTCTTTATTATTAAAAAAAATTTCTGGAGAATCAGAGATGGTATAAATGACAGCTACTGATTCTCCTCCTTTTCCTGTTCCTCTTTCTCCTTTTCTTCCTCCTTGTTCTCCTTTTTCTCCTTTTTTTTCTTTCTTCTTATTTTATTGCCAGACTTGTTCTGGGAAGACATAATTTCCTTACTCAATTAGTTCTAAACAACCTTTCTGAGAGAATGGGAGCTTTAAAATGAGTTTAGATAGAGTCATTGTGTGAGATGGATTAAGAGCTCATCTTTACTGCTCTAATAGCACTCTAGCAAAGCACTTGCTGCATCATACCGAAATTACCTGCTCTTGTGTCTAATCCTCCCCAAGACTGTGCACACCTTTAGGTCCAGAGAGAGCCTGTCTTATTCATCTTTGTGTCCCTAGAATGTAGTATGTGTGCCTATCATGTGACTGATGATGATAAAGTATAATGTCTGTGTACCAGGCCCTGATCTAGGCAATTTACATACACTTGTGAGGTGTAATTATGGCAGTTTCATCATAAACATAAGGCAAATGATGTTAAGCACATTGCAAGTAGTAAGTGTTTATTGTTGAATGGAGGAATGTAGCTCACAGAGGTTAAGTAATTTGCCAAAGGCCATACAATTATGGCAGCATAAGAACTTGAATGCATGGTTCTCAGCTCTAAAATCTGAGTTCTTTATGCTATAACTTTCAACCAAAATTGAACTGGATTGTTAGAGTTCTCATCTGTGGAGTGGTTGCCCTGACAGTAGTTACATCCAGAATTTAAGTGGGATGTTGCATCTCTCTGTCTGTCACTCAATGTGTCTTTCCTGGAGAGCAGAGACTGAATCTTGTTCACCATTGTGTCTCCAAAGCACATAGAAGGTGCTCAATAATGGTTAGATGAGTAAAGTGAAAACATTAACAAATAGATGCCCCATTGCCTTTGTTTCTTATCACTAGTGCAGACAGGTGAGAATATCTCCTATATTTGTTTGAAATAAAGTTATAAGCCTGGGAATTAAACAGATGTTAAATCTTGGGACAAGGTTCACATTTGAAGTGATGTCAGTTTCTCCTGTGTTGTTGCAAAAATTCTGATATTATCCAAGAAAGCAGTGTTGTCACCAACTAGATACGTGCTTCAGAGCAATTTGGGGATAGCTTAGGCCTATCAGTAGCTGTCAGCTTTCTAAATTTCCTAGCACAATACGTTTCAAAGTGTGGTTACAACAATTAAATGACTTTAACTTTTGTTAGACTGTTACGCCCAGACTTCGTGATCCCCAAGGACCACCAGGGAGCCGAGTCCAATGCAATAAACAAAAGAGCCTTCTCCATGCATGCATGGGCTCCTCCCACCCACGCGCAGCATGGCGGAAGAGCGCGAACTTCTCCCAGTCCAGGGGTTTTACTCTGGTCGGTGGTGATGTCACTGCCTCGGCTAACCCTGATTGGTTGGGTGAGGGCTAGGGATAACTCCGCCCTGCGGGGCGGAGTTGGGAGCTCATCCTCACCCCGCCCTGCCTTCTCAAGACAAAACAGATCTGGAAAAAATTCATATGAAATTAGTTCAGGGTTCAAAAGTAATCTTAGGCAAACTAGTGACTCACCCAGAGGTAGAACAACTGGAAATTGTTCTTACTGTACCCTGAAGGCATCTGACCTTTTCTAATTATGTTTATTTTGGGATTTTCAGTTCTGCTCCTACTCTTGGATTTTTAAAAAACTAAGTCAGCAGTTTTCTTAGTTCTCATTTTCTCTCATATTAAATGCTTTTCTCTGGCAGTAAAAATTAGTATGTAACTTCACATTTAATGTGAAATAATGCAAAACTATTCATTAAGCTGAAACCAAAGGATGTTTACTGTGTAGTATTAGAAATACGTGCCTTCATGTCTAATATAGAGTATTGGTGTTTGTCTGTTTCCTCTTGATGGACTTGGTAAATTTCAGCAGCCCACATGTGCAAAGTGAGGATCTTGCATGTGCCTTCATTTTTTTGGAAATTCTTTTTATTTTTTTCCTGTCCTCTCATTGATATTTATTTATTTATTTATTTATTTATTTATTTATTTAAGGTATATTATATGTTAAAGACTTTAAATATTTTATAATTTGGTTGATATTATTACTTTTAATTATTCAAATAATAGAATCAAGAGAAGAGTAGAATATTGGCTGTCACTGCTGGGAATTCTTTTTAAAAATTTTTTATTTTTTGCCTTCGTTTTTTTTTAAACTTTTTTCCTCTTTCCCCTTCTCCCTATTCTCTGCTTTCCTTTTTGCCCTTTCTTCCCTCCATATTTATTAAATAACTTTGAGCTAGACTTTGAATTACATGCTAATGATATAAAGATGAATAAGATATAGTTCATGTCCATGTCCTTTAAATATAATTAATAATATTAAATTCATTTACTAAGAACATTTCAGAAAGTACTATTTTTCTGAAATGTTGTGTTTTTTATTTTATTTATTTATTTATTTATTTAGTATATTTATTTCAGAGATGAAGAGAGAGGGAAAGAGATAGAAACATCAATGATGAGAGAGAATCATTGATTCGCTGCCTTTTGCAAGTCCCCTACTAGGGATTAAGCCCGCAACTCAGACATGTGCCCTTGACCAAAATCGAATCTGGGACCCTTCAGTCCACAGGTTGATGCTCTATCCACTAAGCCAAACCAGCTAGGGCTGAAACTTTGTTTTTAATAAATGCTTGATAAAACATACATAGCAGAGTCAAAGTGTTTAGTAAGTACATTTTAAAGAAATGTAATTTGAATTAATCTCAAACATCTTTTTATCTGTTGCATGGCCAGTTGTATGAACTTTTATGTTTTTGTCATGTAATTTTCATATATTATTCTTAGAGATAAATGTCAGGTTTATTTTGCCCAGAAAGCCTATTGAATTCTCATCTTGGAATTAATAATGTTAATGATGAACTGACAGAATTCATCAGAATTTATGTCACACTGATGAAGTTTCCCTTCTTTGTGTGTCCAGGTATGTCAGGTGGTACCAATGCCAGCTAACCATCTCCCTGTTGGCAGCACTATGAGCACCGTGCACCTTTCTTCAGATGGTACTTACTTCTATTGGATCTGGTCTCCTGCCAGTCTGAATGAGAAAACACCGAAGGGACATTCTGTTTTCATGGACGTTTTTGAACTTGTGGTAAGTTTTACTTTCTCACTTTGTGTATTGAGAGACATTTCTGTTTGCTTTCTTTTTATATTGGTTGACAAAGGACCTAAAAAACTTGGAATATGTACAATGCATTTTCTCTTGTCTCAAAATTGATTTTTCTCTTGGATATCTTTGAAGGTTTCTTTGTTTGGAATTATATGGCCAAATAAAGTCTAGCTTTCTGAAGGCCAATTTGGCAAGAAAACGGAGATAACAGTAGTTAAAGTGTAGATAGTGGAGTTTTTAAGTAGAAATGATCAGGGGGCTTGTTGGAAATGTGGAACTAAACTGCGATAATAAGATTGGGTCTATTGATAGGTTTTGGAAATCTCTGAAAAAGATGACAATTAAATTTGTGAGAAGACAATTATTTATTCATTATATATTAGCAGGCTGCCTGAGAGCCAGGCCATATTTTATCTGGATGGTGGAAATTCAGTGATGGGCAAGGTGGATAGGATCCTTGCTCAAATGGAGCTTGTATTCTGGCTGGTTGGGTGGGTTGGGATAGTGATGATGGAAAGACAAAAAAAATTATAAACAAGTGAGCAAATAAGTAGATAAGATAATTTTAGATAGTGAAGAAAAAGTTGCAGTTAACCAGATGAAAAAGTTCAGTAGAAGGGTAGGGAACATTCAAGGAAGAGGAGACCATAAGTGCAAAGGCCCTGTGGCAGGAGTGAGCATGCATGTTTCAGGAAATGACAATGAGCTTTAGTGGCTGGGATGCAGAGAGGAGAGCTTGGAGCAAGAAGAGGCTGGAGGGAAAAAAGAAGAGGTTGGGGCAATAGCAGATCTGCACTGAGGTAGCCTATAGCCACACCTGGCTGTTTAAATTTGTAATAATCAGAATTAAATAAATTTAAACTTTAGTTGCTCCGTTGCATTAATCACTTTTTTAGTATTCAGTAGCCATTGCAACTGGCTAGTGGTCACCATATAGAACAGCAAGACATAGAACATTTCCATCATCAAAGACAGTTCTATTGGACAGTACTTATCTAGAATGTATTTGCAAAAACTTGTAAAGGAAAAATTGCACAAGCCAGGTCTGTGACCAAACCTTTTTTCATGATGTGATTTACAGCCTCCTTCTGGGAAGAAATTAGCATTCCTGAAAATAAAACAAACATTGAAGCCATTTTTCTAGTGAATTTTAATTGGGTTAAAATTTGTTCTGGGAAACCACTCATCCATCCTGCTAGCTAACAGTCAGGCAGGAACATAGTAACCTTTCACCAGGCATTCTTTTCCAACTAGTTTCTCAGTATTCTCTAATCATTATCTTGTCAAATGTCTCTGCCAGAGTGAAAGTCTGCATTGATCTGCTAGAGATTGGACTACTTGAACCTGTGTTCAGAATTAAATTGTCAGAAAATCTGTTTTGTTTTGTTTTGCTTGTTTTTAAACACATTTACGAGCTTTTTTTAAACATATTTACGAGCATGATCAACAAAAGATGCTGATAAGTTAAACAGGTGTGGCCATATCTAGATTATAGTTGAATCTGGATGATGGGTATATGGAAGTTCATTATACTACACTCTATTTTTGCATATGTTTGAATTTTTTCCTTATTAAAAAAAAAATTTAACTACCACTCATTTAGAAGCTTCTATTATAAAATGCTGACTTGAGTAGCTAAACATAGCTATCTGGCTTACTGCCCATGATACTTTCACATCATGGAACACTGTGTAGCCATTAAAAAGTATTAGGCAGATCTGCATAGACTCAAGTAGATTGATTTTCAAGTGACATTGTTTAGTACAAAAAAAGGCTGTATTTTCTGCCTGCTGCATATTGAAAGCTGGGGTAGGGAGACTGGTTCTTTCTGCTATTGTCCTCCTATATTAGCAGCTTTCCTCTCTCAGTGGACCATTTACTACAGCGTACAAATACGTTAGAGCAGAGGCCGCCAACTGTGGTCTGGTCCGAGAGGTCCAGAAGTTTGTTGACTGCTGTGTTAAAGGATATCCTGTCTTTAAAAAACAACTCCCAGGACCCATACCTGCCTCCACTCCCCTATTCCTGGTGTCCCCTTACAGCAATGCTCTTCAAAGAGCTATTCTTACTGTTTTTACGTTCTTTCCTCTCTATTCTCTCTTGAGCCACTTTATTTAGTCTTGTATCCTTCTCACACCACCAAAACAGCTCTTCTCAAATTCACCAGGGACTTCCTCATTAATAAATTCAAGGTCAACTCTTAATTTGACTTGACCTTTTAGGAGTTTTTAATGTGGTTTACCACTCCCACATTCTTTTTTTTTTTAAATATATTTTATTGATTTTTTTACAGAGAGGAAGGGAGAGAGAGAGTTAGAAACATTGATGAGAGAGTCATCGATCAGCTGCCTTCTTGCATGCCCCCTACTGGGGATGTGCCCACAACCAAGGTACATGCCCTTGACCGGAATCAAACCCAGGACCCTTCAGTCTGCAGGCTATCTCCTGAGCCAAACTGGTTTCGGCAACTCCCACATTCTTGAAATTGTTTTCATTAGCCTTGTGGGAAACTCCATAGAACTTCTATCACTGGTTGTTCCTACTCAGTCTCATCTTTCTACCTTTTCAACAATCACATGTGCCAGGACCTATTTTCATGGCCCCTGCTATCTCTCTAACTTGCTCAGATGATCTCGTCTTGTCTTAAAATTTTAAACACCTCTATAAACTGATGATGCTCACATTTGCTTCTTAGCCAAAGCCTGTCCCAAGAACTCTAGATGGGTATCGATGTGGGTGTTTATGTGTATATGTGTAGAATATGAGACTTTTCCTGCCCCTCCCATGGGTTTTCCTGTTTCAGTTAATGGTATCTGTGACCTGCCAGTGCTGGCCAGAGACCTTTGGTGTCACTCTTGATTCTGCTTTTTTTCCTTCCCCAATTCTATGTCCAGTCAGCAGATGCTCCTGCTCTACCTTCAAAGTGTATCTCAAATCTTACTGCCTCTGTAAAGGTGCTGCATGATTCGGGCCCCCTCTTCACCTGTCACTCTCTGCACCAGCCACACTCGCTGCTCTGATGCCACTCTAGCCACAACTGGCCTGCTTGCTGACATGCCAAAATACCCAGAGTGCTCCCATCTGGGGACCTTTGTGCTGGAATCCTACAGATAACCACATGGCATAGTCTCTCACTTTTTAGGTCTTTGCTCAAATATCACCTTATCAGAAAGTCCTTTCTTACCAATCTGTATAAAATATTTCATGTAAAATAAAATCATGTCTTTTTTAAATCTCTTTTGCCCTGTTTTATTTTTCTTCATGGTTCTTATTTTACCCGTTATTTGCTTATTTCTTCACTGTCTCCCTTGCCTAGAATGTCAGCTCCAGGAGGGTAGGGATTTTGGTCTCTTTTGTATTCTGCTGTGTCCTTAGGTCCTAGAACACTGCCCAGCACACAGTAGGTGCTACTCTGCACATCTCCTTCCTGGCTATGCTCCTGAGTTTGCTTGCTTTCTCTTGCCTCTTCTGTAACCAAATTTTTACTTTGGATTGCTTTGCTTTTTATTTGCTTCTTATAAGCTGTTCCACTTTGTACCCCTATTCCCTTTTATCTCTATGTCCTACAGCTGCAGGCCAGCCGTGGCACCTTTATTAGTGGCACCAGTTTCTGAGACTTCAGCCAGATCCAGGAGCCTAGGTCTGGAAGGAGGTGTGGGATGCAGAAGCAGCATGAGATATATGTGAGAAATTAACTTACTGGTTTCTAGATCTTAAACACAAGCATGGTGGCCCATGGAAATACCATCCCTTTTCTCCACTTCCATTTGCTGTCCAAGATCTAGAAACCTGTGAATATTTTAAACCAGTAAGTTAATAGAGAGGGAGACACTGGCAATGAAGGAGCAGACAGAATTAAGAGAACAGTTAGAGAGGAGGCGGAGGTGGAAGACTTAACCTTAAATAATATGAGGTGAAGTGCTTTTTTCTCTGAATAAAGAGGAAAGGAACAGTAACGAGACTGAAAACAAAGATTCTTGAGTTGGAAGAGAGATGAGTGTGAGCAGCTTACAGTAAGTGGTCTGGATCTGTGTTGCAATAAAGATTGCCAAGTGGTCTGCTTAAAGTCAAGCTCAAAATTGGTAAAGGAATTTTGAAATCACCACTCCAGGGATTTTGCTGGGGAACAATCAAGTGATGAATGAGGACCTGCCACGCACCAGCAAGGATCCAGTTGATGTTGGCATATATTTTTAGCAAACAAAGTCTGCCTTTCTCTAGGACTGCGCTTCCAGTGCCCGAGCAGCTGGGGCTAATGTTAACTGCTGTTAATGGAGAGTTTGGGTTTTAGCCACTAATTCGATTTCAAGAAGACATTACCCTCCTAGTTGTACTTCATATTAATAGTAAATAAAAAACTGATTTGTTTTCCTGTCAGTGTACTTGTACCTGTTAGATGCTTGTAATTAGCAAGAGCTGCCTGAGGAATTCAATATAAGAAATTTTAATCAACGACCTTTTGTAGAATTTATTAAACTCGGCTCATTACTTTTAGGAACTGGGCTATTATGAAGAATGAAAGCTCTCAAACTTTGCATGGCCTTTCCTTTGTTCTCAGCAGTTTCTGTGGAGCACTTAGGTTTTGAGGTTTACCCCTATTCAAGTACAATTTTTGGAAATGGTTTTGCGCAACTAGGTAATGCAATTCTCAAATAGAAACTTGCTAACTACATACAAATAAATGTCATTTAAGGACCTCTTTTTCTCTAAACATTAGGTTGAAAATGGTGTGTATGTTGCCAGTCCACTTCAGGAACGCACAATTCTAATGAGAAAAGAGGGTGAGTCTGCGAAAAGCATTAACGAGATGCTTCTTAGCAGACTTTCCCGCTACAGAGCTTCCCCATCCGCTACGCTGGCCGCCCTCACTGGCTCCACCATTTCCAACACACTGAAAGAGGACCAAGCAGGTATGGTGCCCTTCACTTACCACCTGTCAGCTTGGATAGCTCCACTCAGCTAGATACCTATAATTTAAGATTATTTTTTAGAGCAGTTTTAGGTTCACAGCAAGCTTGAGAGGAAGGGACTAATATTTCCTCTATACCGCCTGCCCTGACACATGCGTAGTCTCCCTCATCAGCATCCTGCAGCAGATGGTATAGTTGTTACAACTGATGAGCCTATGTGGACAAATCGTCATCACCCAAAGTCCATCATTACCTCAGGTTACATTCTTTGGGTTTGGACAAACACATAAGGATAGGTAGCCATCAGTACGGTGTCATGGAGAGTAGTTTCACTGCCCTAAAAGTCCTTTGTTCTCTGCCGATTTGAATAATCCCTCCCCACCCCCAAATGCTGGCCATCCCTGACTTCTTTAATTATCTTCATAGTTTTTCCTTTTCCAGAATGTCATATAGTTGGAATCATACAGTATGTAGACTTTTCAGATTAGTTTCTTTCACTTAGTAATATGCATGAAAATTCCTCCATGTCTTTTCTTGGCTTGATGAATAATTAGTGAGAGCTGCCTGTGGATTCAGGCAGTAGATATATTTTTTTAATTTTGTAAGTCTGCTTGAGCCAGACTGACGACTCATGCCAGGGAGCAAGACCTCAAATGCTCCCCAGGCAGTACATTTTATTGAGCACTTGCAGTGCACCATACAAAAGCACTTTGCTCTACATAATTCACCTTTTTGTTTCTTTCCAATTATTGCCCATTTTTTAAAAAAATCCATACTAATACATGTTGTTGGCTATGGATATGAATTAGCATGTATCTGTAATAATTTAAAACAGCTTTATCTTTAACCATAAACACCTTCTCATTAATTGATTTTATGTTTAGCACACGCTTTGTAAATGTAAAAAGCTCATATTTAACATTGTCTCCAACCAATTACGATCTTGACCAAGCAAGTAAGAGGCAAACCTCCCACAGGAGAGATTGCTTTTTCTAGAATTTCATTTAGTTTTGTACTTTAATATTTTAGGATGGATCATACATTTATAGAATTTGAAAAGTAAAAACAACATTAAAAGTTATATGTAGAGAAATCTTGGTGTATTCTATATTTTGCCCCCAACCTGCCCCTGTAAATAACTATATTAATCTTAATCTTTACAGAGTTCTTTATGCAAATAAAATTAAAGACAAATGTGTGTTCTTATTTCCCTCCTATTCTTAATAAAAGGTCACCTATTAAACACACTATTCTGTACTTTTAAACCAGGCATTCTTATCTGGGTGGGATAAACAATCTCCCCCATGGTTTTAAATAACATGTATCCATCGTAATTTTCATCCAATTTTTGAGGTTATCTATAGCCCAGAAAAGATTAAAAACTATTATTCTTGAAGATTTTATAAATTACATACCAACTATGTGAATTTATACCAGATCATCAACTGTAGTAAGAAATAAAGGTAGAGCCAAGACCGGTTTGGCTCAATGGATAGAGCGTTGGCTTGGGGACTGAAAGGTTCCGGGTTCGATTCCGGTCAAGGGCATGTACCTTGGTTGCGGGCATATCCCCAGTAGGGGGTGTGCAAGAGGCAGCTGATCGATGACTCTCTCTCATCGATGTTTCTAACTATCCCTCTCCCTTCCTCTCTGTACAAAATCAATAAAATATATTTAAAAAAGAAAAAAAAAAGGTAGAAAAAATGGATCTGGAGTAATGTGTTTAATGAATTTTATGCAATTTTATGCTTTAATTCTTTTACATATTGAAATGTTAGGAAAATATTTGTTATTAATTCATTATGAGACTATCAAATTAAATACTTACTAGTTTATATTAGAATTTAAGAACGATACTATTTTATTTCCACAAGTCTCAGGAGGCTTGAAGCAAGATTAGGGAGCCAGAAGATCATTATTTTTTCCTTAGCTTGTTACTTCCTGTTCTATTTTCTGAATTTGGGTATTTTCTTGTATGAATTTGGGGACCCCTTATTATCTTCTGATCTGTTTTGCTAACCAAATTAATGTGTGTAAAATATTTCTACTCAACACTTTCATTCTTTTCATCAGCAAATACTAGCTGTGGGCTGCCCCTAAAAATGCTTCGGAAGACGCCCATATATACCTGTGGCACATACTTGGTGATGCTGGTCCCACCTCCAGGGGGGTCAGGCAGCTCTGCCACCCGGTCTCTTTTTGGTGGAACGAGTGGTTTGTCGTCTTTAAAAAGTAAGTGAATTTTATTTTAGACATTTCTTCTGTTTTGTTTGACATTTGGGTGTTTTTTTGTGTGGCTATTTTGAACAATGCTAAAATTCATGTACAGGTTTTTGTTTTTATATCTCTTGGGTTTATACTTTGGAGTTGAATTCTGGGTTAAATGGTAACTGTATGGTTACGCTTTGGAGGGACTGCCAAACTGTTTCCCAAGGGGACTCAATATTTTCCATTTCATCAGCAATGTATAATGGCTCCAATTTCTCATATCCTTACCAACATTTGTTATTTTCCCTTTTTATTTTTATTATAGCCATTCTAGTGGGGATGAAGTGTAACTCATTGTGGTTTTGATTTGTATTTCCCTAATGACTAATGATGTTAAGCACCTTTTCTTGTGCTTATTGGCCATTTGTATATCTCCTTTGGAGAGATACCTATTCAAGTCCTTCGGGCATTTTATTTTATTTTATTTTATTTTTTATTTTTTTTTATTTATTAAATTATTATTTGTGTACATATTTTAACATTGCCCCCCCCCCTACATACCCTCCCTCCCCAGAGTTTTGTGTCCATTAGTTGTACTTATATGCATGTATACAAGTCCTTCGGTTGATCTCTTATCTCCCCCAGATCTCCCTACTCTCTCTGGTGTAATTTTACAGTCTGCTTGTTGCTTTACTGTCTTTATATCTATCTTTTGGTTTGTCAGTTTATAATGTTTTTTAATGTCCATAAATGAGTGAGGCCATGTGGTATTTCTCTTTTATTGACTGGCTTATTTCACTCAGCATAATGTTCTCTAGTTCTATCAGGTTGCTGCAAATGATAAGAATTCCTTCTTTTTTATGGCAGCATAGTATTCCATTGTGTAGATGTACCATAGTTTTTGGATCCAATCATCTGCTAACGGGCACGTAGGCTGTTTCCAGATTCTAGCTATTGTAGATTGTGCTGCTATGAACATAGGGGTGCATATATCCTTTCTGATTGGTGTTTTTAGTTTCTTGGGATATATTCCTAGGAGTGGGATTACTGGGTCAAATGGGAGTTCCATTTTCAGTTTTTTGAGGAAACTCCACACTGTTCTCCACAATGGTTGCACCAGTCTGCATTCCCACCAGCAGTGCACGAGGGTTCCTTTTTCTCCACAACCTCGCCAACACTTGTCGTTTGTTGATTTGCTGATGTTGGCCATTCTGACAGGTGTGAGATGGTACCGCATTGTTGTTTTGATTTGCATCTCTCGGATAATTAGTGACTTCGAGCATGTTTTCATGTGCCTTTTGGCCTTCCTTCTGTCTTCTTTTGAAAATATTCTATTTAGGTCCATTGCCCATTTTTTAATTGGATCATTCATCTTCCCTTTATTTAGTTGTATAAGCTGTTGTAGATGTTGGAGATTAAACCTTTATCAGTGGTAACATTTGCAAATATGTTCTCCCACACAGTGGGCTTTCTTGTTGTTTTGCTGATGGTTTCTTTTGCTGTAAAAAAGCTTTTTATTTTGATGTAGTCCCATTTGTTTATTTTCTCTTTAGCTTCCATTGCCCTAGGGGCAGTATCAGTGAAGAAGTTCTTTTGGCATACGTCTGAGATTTTGCTGCCTGTGGATGCTTCTAGTATTTTTATGGTTTCCCGTCTGATGTTTAAGTCCTGAATCCATTTTGAGTTTATTTTTGTGCATGGTGTAAGTTGGTGATCTAGTTTCATTCTTTTGCATGTATCTGACCAATTTTCCCAACACCATTTATTGAAGAGACTGTCTTGATTCCATTGTATATTCGTGCCTCCTTTGTCAAATATTAATTGAGCATAGTGATTTGGATTGATATCTGGGTTCTCGATTCGATTCCATTGATCTCTATGTCTGTTTTTGTGCCAGTACCAGGCTGTTTTGAGAACAGTGGCTTTGTAATACAGTTTGAAGTCTGGTATTGAGATCCCTCCTATTTTACTCTTCTTTCTCAGGATTGCTGTGGCTATTCAGGGTCTTTTATTGTTCCAAATGAACTTTTGGAGAGTTCTTTCTAGGTCAGTGAAATATGCCATTGGTATTTTAATAGGGAGTGCATTAAACCTATAGATTACTTTAGGAAGAATGGACATTTTGATGATGTTGATTCTACCAATCCATGAACATAGTATGTTCTTCCATCTGTTTACATCTTCCTCTATCTCTTTTTTCAGTGTCGTGTAGTTTTCCGTGTATAGGTCCTTTACTTCCTTAGTTAGGTTTATTCCTAGGTATCTTAATTTTTTTGGTGCGATGGTAAATGGAATTGCTTTTTTAGTCTCTGTTTCTATAAATTCACTGTTGGTGTATAGAAATGCCATAGATTTCTTGGCGTTAATTTTGTATCCTGCTACATTGCCAAATTCATTTATTAAGTCAATTAGTTTTTTAATGGAGTCTTTTGGGTTTTTTATATACAATATCATGCCCCCTGCAAATAAGGATAACTTTACTTCTTCTTTTCCAATTTGGATGCCTTTTATTTCCTCCTCTTGTCTGATTGCAATGGCTAGTACTTCCAGTACTGTGTCAAACAGGAGTGGCGAGAGTGGGCATCCCTTTCTTGTTCCTGTTCTTAGAGGGAATGGTTTTAGTTTTTGCCCATTGAGTATGATGTTGGCTGTGGGTTTATCATATATAGCTTTTATTATGTTGAGGTATGATCCTTGTACTCCCACCTTGTTGAGAGTTTTTATCAGGAAAGGGTGTTGGATTTTATCAAATGCTTTTTCTGCATCAATTGATATGACTATATGATTTTTATCTTTCAATTTGTTTATGTGATGTATCACGTTTATTGATTTGCGGATATTGTACCAACCTTGCATTCCTGGAATAAATCCTACTTGGTCATGGTGTATGATCTTTGTGATGCTCTGCCGGAGCCGATTTGCTAGAATTTTGTTGAGGATTTTGGCATCTATGTTCATGAGGGATATTGGCCTGTAATTCTCTTTCATTGAGTTGTCTTTATCAGGTTTTGGTATTAGAGTGATGCTGGCTTCATAGAAGGAGTTTGGAAGTGTTCCTTCCTCTTGAATTTTTTGGAATAGTCTGAGGAGGATAGGTTTTAGTTCTTCCTTGAATGTTTGGTAAAACTCTCCTGTGAAGCCATCTGGCCCTGGGCTTTTGTTTGCTGGAAGCTTTTTGATGACTATTTCAATTTCTTCCCAAGTCACTGCTCTATTGAGATTTTTAGATTCTTCCTGATTGAGTTTTGGAAGTTTGTATTTTTCTAGGAATATGTCCATTTCCTCCAGGTTGTTCTGTTTGTTGGAATAGAGTTGTTCGTAGTATTTTGTAACAATCCTTTGTATTTCAGCGGGATCTGTTGTTATTTCACCTCTTTCATTTCTGATTTTGTTTATTTGGGTCCTCTCTCTTTGTTTCTTGGTTAGCCTAGAGGTCCATCTATCTTGTTTATCCTTTCAAAGAACCAGCTCTTGGTTTTGTTGATCTTATGTATTGTTTCTTTGGTCTCTATGTCATTTATCTGTGCTCTGATTTTTGTTATTTCCTTCCTTCTGCTTACACTGGGCTTTTCTTGTTGCGCTTTTTCTAACTCTTTGAGTTGTAGAGTTAGATCATTTGTTACCATTTTTTCTAGTTTTTTGCAATAGGCTTGTAGGGATATGAACTTCCCTCTCAAAACTGCTTTTGCTGTGTGCCATAGATTTTGGATAGTTGTGTTTTCATTGTCATTTGTTTCCAGGATGTTTTTAATTTCTTCCTTGATTTCTTTGGTAACCCAGTCCTTGTTTAATAGCATGCTGTTTAGTCTCCATGTGTTTGATTTCTTTGGATTTTTTTCATTGTAGTTAATTTCCAGTTTTATGCCACTATGATCTGAGAAGATGCTTGATATGATTTCTATCTTCTTGAATTTGAAGAGACTTTGCCTATGTCCCAAAATGTGGTCTATCTTTGAGAATGTCCCATGTGCGCTTGAGAAGAATGTATATTCTGTGGCTTTGGGGTGGAATGTTCTGAAGATGTCGATTAATTCCATCTGGTCTAGCGAGTCATTTAGGATTGATATTTCTTTGCTGATTTTTTGTTTAGATGATTTGTCAAAGGGTGATAATGGGGTATTAAAATCTCCTACTATAATTGTATTGCTATTAATCTCTCCCTTAATGTCCTCCAGCAGTTTTTTTAAATATTGGGGTGCCCCCCTGTTGGGTGCATATATATTTACCAGGGTTATTTCTTCTTGTTGGATTGCTCCCTTTAGTATTATGAAGTGGCCTTCATTATCTCTTGTTATGTCCTTCACTCTGAGATCTAATTTGTCAGATATAAGTATTGCTACCCCAGCTTTTTTTTCATTTCCATTCGCCTGGAAAACCTTTTTCCATCCCTTCACCCTCAGTCTGTGTGCATCTTTCTTTCTGAGGTGGGTTTCTTGTAGACAACAGATATATGGGTCTTGTTTTCTTATCCAATCCGACACCCTATGTCTTTTGATTGGAGCATTTAGTCCACTTACATTTAAAGTTATTATTGATGGATACTTATTTGACGCCATTTTTATTCTATACCCCTGTGTTCCTTCTTTGCTTTCTATTTCTTTAATTTTACAGTAGACCCTTTAGCATTTCTTGCATTGCTGGTTTGGTGGAGATAAATTCCCTTAGTCTGTTTTTGTCTGTGAAGCTCCTGATTTCACCTTCACTTTTGATTGATAGCCTTGCTGGGTATAGTATTCTTGGATTCAGACCCTTCCTTTGCATGACTTTGTATATTTCATCCCATTCCCTTCTGGCCTGATAAGTTTCTGTGGAGAAATCAGTTGCTAGTCTGATGGGGGTTCTTTTATATGTAACTTTCTGTCTCTCTCTGGCTGCTTTTAAGATTCTAACTTTGTCATTGGTGTTTGCCAATTTAATTATAATATGTCTTGGCGTCGGTCTTCTGGGATCCATTTTGCTTGGGACTCTGCGAGCATCTTGGATTTGTGTGGGTTTTTTCTTCTCTATCTCAGGAAAGTTTTCTGTCATTATTTCTTGAAATACGTTTTCCATGTCTTCCTCAATTCCCTTTCCTTCTGGAACCCCTATTATTCTAATATTGTTTTGTTTTGTATTGTCCCAAAGTTCCCTTAGACTTTCCTCCTGTTTTTTAATTTTTTTCCCCAGAAGTTGTTCTAATTGGGTATTTTTTTCCATCTTGTCTTCTAGCTCGCTGATGCGGTCCTCTGCTTCTTCTAATCTACTCTTGATGCTTTCTATTGAGTTCTTTACAGTAGCAATGTCATTTTTCATTTCTTCTTGGTTTTTCTTCATTTCCTCTTGGTTCTTACTCATATTGTCAAATTTGTCTTCCATTCTTTTTAGCCATCTTATGATCATTACTCTGAATTCTTGCTCAGGTAGGTTGCTTGCCTCTATCTTGTTTACTTCCTTTTCTGGTGAAGCCTGCTTTTCTTTCATATGCGGGGTGTTTTTTGGTCTCCCCATGATCTAGGATGTCTGGTTGTGTAGTTCTCTCTCTCCTGCTTTGATTTAAAGGCACAAAATACAACACAACCAGGTACAACACCCAAGGTACTGAATAGAAATGTGTTTGCGATATTAATAACCACCAATAAGGGTGGTTGTGTTGACTAGAACCCAGAATAACAAAGACATACAATCAAACAAAAAGCATAGGCAAATCAATCTTATAACAAAAAGCATACAACTTCAGTATAGTTAACATTCAACATATAACTTCAAAGAGTTAGAGAGAAAGACTGTTTTTGTTTTGTTTTGTTTTGTTTTTAGGACAACTGCGAGGGAGGTGTGAATGGGTTTGGAGCAGGTAGTTGGAAATTAGATATATACAAGTAGGGTGAAATTTTAGGAGGGGGTAGACAGAAGGAATGGGGAAAATCTAGAGCAGGAAAGGGTTAAGATAAACGGGGTACCAAAGGAAAAGATTGGAAAGAAGGTGAAGGCATAAAGGTAGGGTTGAGATAGAATAAAGCGTTGGAGAAGGAAAGATAGATAAAGACTGTAGAACAGTAATCCCGAAATTAAATATATATATATATATATATATATATATATATATATATATATATAATCAAATGAAGTAAAAATAATAAAAATAAACAAAAGAAAATAAGATGAAAAAGGTAAATTAGTAGTAGTAATAATGTTGATTACATATACAATGTAATAATTATAAAGATAAAATCAAGTGAGGAAAAAGAAAAAAATAGTTTCTTAGTAAACGTTGCAAATAATGAAAACAAAAATAAAAAACAAAAATTAAAAAATTAAAAAAAAAATTTTCAAAAATTTAAATAAAATTTGCAGTAATGAAGGTCATTCGCTTCCTCTATTGTTATGATCCAGTCCTGATTTTTAGGCAGGTTTTGCTTTGTTTTTAATACACTAGAGTCAATTTGTGGATTAGCTTCTGGGGGCAGTGTTTCTAGGTTGACTTCCCAGCCTCTCCAGCCCCCCCCCCCCCCCATCCTCTCTGAAGCAGGAACTACGGAGGGGGGGAGGGGGCAGGTCCGGGCAACTGCAATCTCCTGCAACTCTCCGATATCCCTCCGAGGCAGATCCAAATGTGTTGCTCTTTAGATATCTCCCCTGTTAGGAGCCCGTCCACTTTCACGGGTGACAACCGCCCAACAGCTGGGGCTTCTTTCTACTTGTAATCACCGCCCTTGTCCTCCAGCTGCGCGCAGGCTTTTGTCTTCGCCGCAAGCACTCTCCACCCTCTCCCCGCGAAATCTGACCTTTTCGCTGAGCAGTGGGGCACTCCAGTGCAGCCAGGTGTTCGCGCTGCCTGGGATCCGCGTTCTGGGGGTCACAGATGCTTGGTGGTCGCTGCGGCTGTGGATATTCAGGCCTCTGACACGATCCTATCTTCCTCTCAAGATGGCGAGGTTTCCTGTCCAAGCCTGTAGGTAGCTCCGGGCAGGGACGTGGCCCGCGTGGGTGCTTCCCTGTGAGGGGCACCTCTGTCAGCGGCCCCCAGCAGTTTCTTCTGGTGTTCGCTGTCTCCCAGCTTGCTAATAAACTCACAGCACAAGACCCTCAGTTGCTCTCTCTGCTTCGGGAGAGGGCTCAGAATCCGCCCATCTATTATTCTGCCATCTTACCTCCAGCCTCCTTCGGGCATTTTAAAATTGGGTTGTCTTTTTATTGTCTATTCTTAGTCTTATGAACTCTTCTTGACATGGCTTTTTCTCTCAGTTGAAATTGGCCCCATTTGATTAAAGGAGGTCTTCACTGGGCTATTTTTTCACTAGGATATAGCTTACACAGGGAGTCTATTTTAGACTAACAAATCAATAAATATTGAAATTCTTTCTGTGCTCTCTTCCACATTTGTAACTGGCCGGGGAGCGGGGCTGGGAGTGGGGGTGGGGAGAGTGAGGGACTCTATTCAGCAAGTAGAAGTGGTGCTAGCCTTGAGGAGTTCATAGTCTGGTTGGGAGAAATGATGTAGTTGTGAGAAACAACTGGAAAATGATATGCGATGGTGTATCAGTGCCTGGACTATGGGAAGCCGATAAAAGTGCTGTGGAATCAGAAAGAAAGGGCTATTCTTATCTGGGTGGTGTGGAAGGCAGTGACTAAATGAGGTCTTGAGTTTAAGTTATGAAAAACTGTATTATTCATATACCTGGCCAAGTGGGGGGAAAGGCATTGCATGGTGAACATATGCATGGTATAATGAAAAAGATTTGGGGGAGACCATTTTGAGCTGTGCAGGACAGAACAGTAGGAAATAGAACAGAAACAAAGGGCACAGTCAGGCACGATGAGGATCTGGATTCCTAGGGTGATGGGAACAAGAAAAACAAGCTCAAGTGACACAGGGCTCTAATTTTATGTTTGAAAGCGGGGGAGAAAATAATATCAATAGCAGCTAGTGCATATGAGCTGGTATAGATCCTGGACATTTTTTAACTTGTTTGATCTTCATAAGAACTGTATAAGATTGGCACTTTAATTATCTCCACTTTGCACATGAGGAAACTGAGAGGTTTAGTAAATTTCCCAGGATCACACAGAAGTGGCAGACCTGTAATTCAAACCCAGGCACCTGGAGCCATACTTGTCACTCACCTTATCCAGTGTGAAGGGTAAAGGCCAACGCGTCTCCAAATTTTGGAGTCCCTGCCTGAGAGGACAGCCATTGAGCTGTTTGTGTCCACTAACCTTTATTGAGCACCGACTATATGTAAAGTATTTCTTGTAAATGTTACCTTGTGGTGTTAATGATCATAACTCCTTTTGCTAACCTATATTTTTTTTTAAAAAAAGCCTTTACGCAAAAGTGGCCATTTAAAAACCACTTTCAAAAATATGGTTCACTGTTTAGGAAGATATTTTGTCACAGTTTTCTTTTTGTGGTCTTAATGTGTATGTATATTCTGTTACCATCAATAGACAACAAAAAGGGGTGATTTTTATGACAGTCTGGTTGAGAGTCTCAAGTTTAAACGTTGAAAGTATACTGACCACCATTTTAAGGCTTATTAAACAGCTTAATGTTTGTTTCCGAAGTCCTAGCCTCTAGCTTGGTGTATAATATTTCGGATGGTCAGTTCACGAGTCGGGCCGACCTCATAGATGCTGCTGGAAGCTCCCTGGGACGTGGTGCTCTTGTGCCTGGATTGGGTAAGAACTAAATGCCCACATCTCCTTGGAACATTCAGAGTTTTAGCAGTATCTCTCAAAAAATCTTGCCAGTTTCCTGTGGTATTCCAGTTTCCTGGAAGGAAAGATTTTTTTATACTATTGTTTAATGGGGGTTGATATGAGAAATTGCCATGTGAAATTCCTCTGCATAAGTTGCTGTTGAAGATACTGTCCATTAGGTTGTGTAATGATGCCTATAACAAACTTCAAAGTTCATGCAGTTAAAAGGTTTATTTCCTGTGAGGAATTGGTATACTTCTTATTGTTTGAAAATGGGCATTATATAATATTTTTCTCTTTGCCTTGGCTCCTAGGAAGCTCGTATCTTAAGTTTTGTGCTTAGTTACTAAGGCTTTTATTGGGTGTTACGTTAACTAGTCCTATTATATCCAGATTTTAATGTAAGCAATGTAGAACTTTTTGGGAATGAAAAGGGTCACTCATAAGTCAGTTACTGAGAACTGTCTCTTCCATGAGACTTATTCATTTTTCACATAGGAGTTAAGCAAAGTAGAATTTGAATCCTGCCTTTGTATTGAGCCCCAGTCTAATGCTTTGCTAAGTAAATATATGGGAGTAGGTGTGGATTGTCAGCATTGGGGAGAACCCTGGCCTTTCCATTCTTTGGCAGTGCTTATGAAGAACTTTATATACAGCAGGGGATGACGCGACAGTTGAATAGAGAATGATGTTTTTGCAGGTGCCTGTTACGATACAGTGAACAACATGCTGTGGACCTGCTCGAATGACTATATCGATCAGTGGTGTAATCCTGGGAATCAGGCCTTCCATTACGTCTGCCAGAGACTCGGAGTCAGCCACATCATCACTGAGCCCAGAGGTGAGGCGCACTCAGTCTTAGAGGAAGAGCTTTTCTCTATGAAATAGCAGAATACAGCAGCAGAGGAAGTGAGAACATGGCCCAGGCAACAAAATGGGTCATCAGCCTTCCCTCTTGGAACTTAGAAACCTATCCTTGCTATCTGATTGGTTTATGATTAAGGAAATAAGTGTATAAGAGGTAGTCCATAGACTTTTTTTTACAGGAAGATTACGTTTCTTCTGCAATTGTCAGAACTTTGGCACAAAAATTACTTCTTTATTTGTACTTGGCATGGGATTATATCCTCTTATAATGTTTTATATTGATAACTTATTTATATATAAGCTTATAATTAGATAGAATTATCAATAAAGGATCTTTATATTTCTTAATATTAAGGCTCTTAATATATTTTTTTCCCCAAAATGTGTTTATTGGCGTGGTTTCCCACTCATCTTGATTTGGGGTGCTTTTAGTGCTGCTTTTCCTCCTGTTGGCTGACAGGACAGTGGAGCAGCCAGCACACAAAACCACCTTTTGTGCTCGGCTAACGAGGCTGGTGATTTCATGGGCATTTCCCATCCATGAAGTAGGAATTGGGCTCTGCACCAGGCCCTGTGTTTCCTCTGCTTCTCTTCTGGAAAGGGATGGAGGTGACCCTTAGCGAGAGGCATGTTGTCATGGGGAAGTGTCACTGCCAGAAAGCAACATTAAGTTAATAAGTACTCACACCTCCTGGCATTGAAGTCAGCTCTAGTGGTATGGAGGGGTGAGTAGCTCAGCAAATTCTCTCCCTATAAAGCAGTGTTTTTCAACCTTTTTTGGGCAAAGGCACACTTGTTTCATGAAAAAAATCACGAGGCACACCACCATTAGAAAATGTTAAAAAATTTAACTCTGTGCCTATATTGACTATATATATTCTTGAATAGGAATCAAATAAACACAAAGAAAGTATTTTATAATTACTTTATTATGAAATATTAAGTAAACAAAATAGTGAAAAATTATAAAATTCTTGTCTTGTCTGCACCTACGGCACACCAGGCAACATCTAGTGTGCCGCGGAACAGCGGTTGAAAAACGCTGCTATAAAGCAATGATAAATCAGACAAAGTATCAAAAACAACTATTTCTAGGCTCTGGAAATTGACAAAGGCATACACCAAACTGAGAAGTGGGTATTCATTTAAAAACAAACAAAACCTGAACTCTGTAGTGTTCTTAGCTGAGGATGTTCCCATCTCCCACCTCAAGCTTGATCAACTCACTGATTCCAACAGGTTGGGGCAGATTGTGCAAACCAGCATCTTTGTGGCCAGCGGGGGCTGACTTGACTTGGAGCAGAGCATGGGGAAAACACATGCCTGCAGCACTCTCAGTAAAGACTGATAGTATGAACTTGAATTCTATTGTTGTAAGATCAGGGACTCAAAAGACACAGAATCAGTGGGCCCCAGTCTGATGTTAGGATTAAAAAGTAATAGAAAAGTTTAGTTTTGGCAAAGTTGACTTTCTCTCAGTTTCCTTGAGTCCTTTTCTCATAGTTCCCAGTGCCCACAACCCTTTTGCAGCTGTAAGGTTCCCCCACCCAGGCCTGCCTCTCCAAGATTACCTCCTTTCCTATTCTTTTTTTTTTTTTAATATATTTTATTAATTTTTATACAGAGAGGAAGGGAGAGAGATAGAGAATTAGAAACATCAATGAGAGAGAGTCATTGATAAGTTGCCTCTTGCACACCCCCTACTGGGGATATGCCTGCAACCAAGGTACATGCCCTTGACCGGAATCGAACCCGGGACCCGTCAGTCCCCAAGCCGATGCTCTATCCATTGAGCCAAACCGGTCCCGGCCCTTTCCTAATCTTTTTAGGCAGTTCATTTCTGCTCTTTTAGCAGGAAAAAAGCAATCTTTTTTTTTTTTTTTTTTTTTTTTTTTGTACTTTGCCTATTTGAATTTTCACCTCCATTTCCTGAATTTGTTATTATATAAGATGCTTGTCAACCCTCACAAGGTTTGATCAAAGGCTGTTTAGGCTGTGGTGACTAAATGAGGTTAAAATGCTGAAGTGTTGTGGATCAGGGAAAGATGGTGAGTTCTACCATAGAGGAGCCATAGAAGACGGAGAGATTTTATTAGGATGATTACCAGCATGGGCTCTGAGCTGAAATGGCCTGAATTCAAGTCCCAGCTTTACCACTCAATAGCTTAGACCCCCTGACTCTTGATTGACTCCTTTACAAAACTGGGCTAAAATAGTCAAAGTTTATAATGATGCTGTAAGGTAATGCATGCAAAGCATTTAGCTGATTGTTAAGATATAGAAAGGGTGGTAGCTACTTGTGCTCTAAGAAAAAGATAATTCCCAAGTGTTTTCACTCCAGGACGTTGGCAGGGAGAACGATTCTCTCGCAGTAACTGAGGAGACTGGGACCAAGATACTGTATCCTTGTGTGCGCCTTTTGTAGGTCAAAAGGCTGCTCCTTGTGGACTGCCTACAGATGTGTCTTTTCTCACTGAGTTTCCTTTTCATTTTCTAGAAGAGGCTATAACCACAAATGAGGTTATAAACCAATTATTGCACCACGTTGGTGCGATGTGCATACACCAACTCAATCTTCTTGCTACCAATCCAAATCTTCCAATCACAAGTGTCCTGGGCAAACAGCATCCGATCGAAGCTCACCATCTCAGCAGTATTTGTGACATTATGGAGAAGGCCATGGTTAATGGAGACACCTGTATCATACGCTGCATTCTTGTTGTCTTTCAGGTAAACGCACTGTTATTTTTTGAAAAATTTCTTTATTGAGCCGAAACCGGTTTGTCTCAGTGGTAGAGCGTCGGTCTGCGGACTGAAAGGTCCCAGGTTCGATTACCGATCACGGGCATGTACCTGGGTTGTGGGCACGTCCCCAGTAGGGGGTGTGCAAGAGGCAGCTGGTTGATGTTTCTCTTTCATTGACGTTTCTAGCTCTCTATCTCTCTCCTTCCTCTCTGTAAAAAATCAATAAAATATATTTTTTTAAAAATTTCTTTATTGATTAAGGTATCACATATTTGTCCTCATCCCCCCATTATCATCCCAAACCCCTCTCCACACATGCACCCACCCTCCTGTTGTCCGTGACCACTGGTTAGGCTCATATGCATGCACATAAGTCCTTTGGTTGATCTCTCCTCCTTATCCCCACCCTCGCCTACATTCCCTCTGAGATCCAACAGTCTGATCGATGCTGTTCATGCTCATCATTCTATGTTATTCATCATTTCCCCTAGAAGAGTGAGATCATGTGCTATTAGAAGTACACTTATAAAAACCAAAAATGAGACAAGCAATAATGGTTATGCTGAGAGGCAAATGAATCAGTCTATAGTGAGTTTCTTTATGGGCCAACAGTTCTTTTGAATCTCAATTTCAATGTCGAACAGTTCCTTCTATGTACATGTCAGCAAAGATATTTCAGTTCTGGATGGTGGACAAATGGTGGTAATGCAGGTCCAACCCTCTTTGGTTTGGCCCTGGGCAACCTGCAACAATGCACAGCTGCTGTCTGCTAGTATGGCAAGGTATAATATCATCAGCATGCTGCTGTCTGCTAGTATGGCAAGGTATCATCAGCATCTTCTATCTCTAGACTGTTTCTCTTCTGTCTTCATGGCTGGAGTAGTCCTGTCAATTCCTCTGTTACAGGAATCCACATGGTCTCAGAGTTGTTTTCTGGAAATATACAAACATATTCTCGACCAAAAGTTAATAAAGGAATCTTTTCTATAAATTTGACTTACGATCCTTTTTCATTTTTTGCCCAAACTATCGATATTTTCCTTTGGCTTGTTTTGGCACCATGTATGTTTTACAAGGTTGTCTTGCTGTTAGCATTAAAAATGAAAGTTAAGCCGAAACCGGTTTGGCTCAGCGGTAGAGCGTCGTTCTGTGGACTGAAAGGTCCCAGGTTCGATTCCGGTCAAGGGGATGTACATTGGTTGCGAGCACATCCCTGGTAGGGGGTGTGCAAGAGGCAGCTGGTCGATGTTTCTCTCTCATCGACGTTTCTAGCTCTCTATCTCTCTCCCTTCCTCTCTGTAAAAAATTAATAAATATATTTTAAAAAAATGAAAGTTAATTTTCTAAGTAAAAAATTTCTAGATGTAATTTACTTACAGGATATTTTTCCTTACATGATATTCTTCTACTATCCCCCCTTTTTAATTTAAATATTAGGAGGCTTTTGAAAATTTTATAATGTAGTCTTGATAGCTTTTAAATTTTAATTTTTTGCACTACAATATGACTGCTTTAGGTTCATTACATGTTATGCAATTTTACCATGAGATGATCTACCAATAAAAATTTTAGTTAAAAAAAAATTAGTTAACACTTTAGGAACAGCTTTTTGTCCAGAACAATTAATTTTTCTAGAATATTTGCTTATTTTAACTAGCCAATTTAAATTAGCCAAAAACTTGACTACTATTTTACTGTCAAATTTAATACTCTAACAACGATCTTGTTTTACCCTGTTGATGTTAGTGGAAAGGATTATTTATCTTCTTGAATAGGCCCTGAGCACTCCTGATGCTAGGCTGGATTTAGATACCAAAAACCCACTTCCCCACACTATGGGTATAAGACAAATGCACTGTTTTGAGATAAATAAGATATTAGAGAAAAAAAGAAACACACACCTTGGCTTCAGCAAGCTAATTTCTATCAGAAGAAAATTTAGTAACATTACTGTTTTGCATCTTACCACATGCTAATCCTAGAACTAGGATTATCATCATATTCATTGCACAGCAGTTAATGGAATATTGCTATATGTAGTTCATTGTCACTGATCTATGTACAATATTTACTGTAATTATACCATTACACAATAGAAGAGATTGTGGTTAAAAATCTATTCATAAGAATATCTACATGTACTTTCTTCAGAGGGATAATTTTATCCCCAGTATAATGAGCACTTTTAGACATGCCCTTTATGTTTCTGTAGGTGGTATTTAAATTTTTCTTCAGCCCACAAACTGAAAGGAATCGAGACATCATTCGACGGTCAGGATTGCTTCTTTGGCAGCTGTTGATGGCACCAAAAGATCAAATTTGCCCTGAAATTCAGAAGGAAGTCTGCCTTGCCATTAGGTAATCAAGTAATTTTCATAGTGCTCTCTTCAAAATGCTTCCCTTGCATTGCATCATGATCTTCCCAGCCAGCTGGTAGCATAGACATCTCTTCTCCCATCCCATCCATCAGGACCTTGTGAACAGAGGATAATTCAACTGGACAGAGGCTATGGCCCCACTCCCAGAAGACCCATACCATCTGTGTACTTAACATCATCATTGGATCTTTAAAAAAAAAAAAAAAAAAGACACACACACACACACACACACACACACACACACACGAACCCTTTAAGTGGATGTTTTGATGGTTTATAAGTGGATGTTTATCTCCCTTGAGAGAAAGTGTGGCAGGTTGGTTACGAATCCAACTTTGGCAGCAGGCAGATCTGGGTTCTAGTCTTTGCTCTGCCATTTACTGGCTATAACCTTAAGTCTTCTGTTTCCTCAGTTATAAAATAAGTATAAAATATAGGTTTGTGAGATTTTAATAAGATAAGGCTTGACACAAAGTAAGTGCTTAACAATGTTTACCTTTTAAAAATCTACTTAAAAACCTTGTTAGTCAAGAAGGCAGAGTTTTTGGACCATTTTCTATTGTCATTTAATATACACATTAGTACAACGAGCTTTTATCCAGGAATATGGCCTTATTATAATCAAATATAATTTAGTGACCAAGAGAGAACTAAGTGCTTGGTCTGGAAGTACCATATGACAGGGGTGAGCAAAGGGGAGGGCAATTTTTCCTTCCACAGTAGATCATGCTTTGGGTCTCTTTTTGTTGAGACCATTAAGGCAAAAATTAAAATCTAGTGCCACAGGACAGCTTCTGGGGCTGATGGTTATTACCCTCGCTATCTTGATAGTGGTGATGTTTTCATGGGTGTATATATAGGTTAAAACATATCAATTGTATATTTATTATATATTGAATCTCATAAAAAAAAGAAAAAATTCTGGTGCTATTTGCAATCCCATTTGTGGGAAAAGCTGAGAATTAGAAAGTCCCCCTCTCAAACACTATTTTGGAGGGCACAGTCTGCATATATAGCAGGTTTGACTCCATTGATTTTTTTTATAGTTAAATTCTCTTTAACTAGTTCTGCATCTGGCCTCATGGAAGTTATTGTTTTGGTAACTCACAGACAAGAGAAAGATAGGGAAACCATCATTGGACTATACCACAACATGAATTTAGATTCAGCTGCTTGTTAGTGATGAACTGTCCCTCAGAGTGCTATGTAACCAAACTGGCATGTTTATAAAAATAAAAATTTTTAGAGTTTGGGTTTTCTAGAACATTTGTTTAAAAACATTTGACTTTTTTTTGTCATTTCAGCTCTGGTTTAAATATCTTGTACCCAGGTGAAACTGAAATCAATAACTTACTTAAGCTGGTCTTAACAGAAGGTGAGAATTATTCTTTGATTATCCTTGAACTACCATTCTTTTTTGTCCCTAAGGAAACAACTGGATAGTAAGATAATAGATTTTCCCCCTTCATATCTGTTAGTCAGAATTAATTTTTAAAATGTATCTTCTCATATGCCAACACTTCAACTGAATTGGAAACAAAAACCATGTTTTATATACCTTCAAGCTCTATAAACCTTTCTCCTCTGCTTAGAAACTGTACCTGCTTGTAGATTTTTAATGAACATCAAAGATAATGACTTCTTGGGGATCTCTAAGCCAGTTTTTTTCCACATATTAAAATGCAACTTCAGCCCTAGCTGGTTTGGCTCAGTGGATAGAGCATGGGCCTGTGGACTGAAGGGTTCCAGGTTCGATTTGGATCCATGCCTGGGTTGCAGGCTCAATCCCCAGTAGAGGGTGTGCAGGAGTCAGCCAATCAATGATTCTGTCTCATCATTGATGTTTCTATCTCTTTCTCCCTCTCCCTTCCTCTCTGAAATCAATAAAAATATTCTTTTAAAAAATGCAACTTCAAAGTTAGACTGAACAACAAAATTCACCATGCCAAAGACACTGTATTTATAAGCAACGTTAATTTAAGGAGTTAGAAGTCAGACTTTATGATATACCAATGGGGTAACTCCACTTAAATCAGGATGCACCATTAAATAAGTCACATTGGCTGTGATGTGTTCTTACTCCTTGCTTGTGTAAGGTAAGTACAAGTGTTGGGTGCTAGGTTATCGACAGTCTGCTTGTTAAAAATACATTTTGTTTTGTTTTTTAATAAATCCTTTTCAGTATCAGGGTTGTTTATGGAGCTTTGTTCTGTGTTAGGAGAGAGAAACAGTGGCCTCTCCCAGTTGCGGGATGTGATCCTAACCAATCTAGCTGAGCAGCTTCAGAACAACCGATTTGGCAGCGAGGACGATGATCATTACAGGTGACACCAGTTATCTTAATCACTGCTAGCTCTTTGTGTTTTTCTCATGAATAAATGTATACTTAAATGTGATCAACTTTAGTCTCCTATAATATCTAGTATAGCTAGCATGTTAAGTTTAAACCATAGATCATTCATAAGACAATCTAACAGTTGCCATTTAGCACATTTCAGTTTTATAAGTAATGTAACTTGGGCCTAGGGAAATTTATCATTGTTTCCCAATTTGCTGGTTTGTGAGAGGGTGAGGGTGTGATTAGAACTAGTGAGGGGAGAAAGGTGTTGGTTTTCTTTGCTGTTTATAAGATACTTGGATTAGGTGCTTAGGTACCATTTTGTTCCTATTAGTTTGATTTAATAATATACCCAGCTGTTAGCATCATTAGTAAGATGATTTGCTTTCAGAACCAATTAGCTTTGTATCTTCCATTTATCATTTTATGCCAGTTGTATAAAATGTATTATTTAATTACTAAACCATCAGTATCTTATTGTTACATTTTTCCTGCATTTCAAGACTAAATGATGAACTTTTACATTACATTCTGAAGATTGTTGTACGCGAATCCTGTATCTTAATCACCAAGTGCCAAACTGTTTCTAAAGATGATTTTCAAAAGCTCCTTTCAACTGTGCCTGTAAGTAAAAATGTATTTATCCAGTTTGATTGTTCTAGAATTTAGTTGTAATTTTGATATCATGGGAGGAGGTGAGTGCAGTGTCCACCATCTTGTCCAGATCTCAGCAAAAATGTTTTTAATGAAAATAAAATTGAACCCAGTGTTTCTGTTTTTATTTTCCTATGTTGAGGTGTGTGCATACAGGGTGGACATAATTGATGAAGGTCCATGGATGGCTGTGCTTGTCCTGGAAATGTAGAACTAGACAAATGCTCTTGATATACTTTTTGTAAAGATGATGCCTCCTGCTTTAAGTGTCTTGTTTTTGTTCTGTTTAAAATAGTGAGGATTTTTCTTCCAGTTAATTTGAAATTTAGCATTGTTTTCTAAACTGCCAGTGTTTAACAGAGATTGATAAGAACCAAAAATTCTTTTAAGGATTTTGGTAGTCTTCTTGAATGGAGGGGAACGAGGGTGGGGAAGAAAATTAAGAGGCAAAAATTCAAGTATGTGAGTGATTAGTGAGAATTATGTAGCAGAAGGCAGAAAGTCATGGTAAATGTATTAAATTATGTATCAAAAGCCAAGTGGGGGGAAAAATCACCTGAGAAACTAACTTAGTCTGTTTTCTGTACTCTCTCTTTTGCTTCTCTTGTGGAAATGTTTTAAAAACATGTGGATCACATGATCCCTTCTTTCAGTAGGACCTAGATCATTTAAATGCCCTTGTTTGTATTGAAGGCTGCATCCTCATGCCTGCGCTATCTGATGGCAGTTCAGAACCACCTTCTCAGTAACACTATTTTGATTAAACCTGATGAGAATGATGACAGTGACAACTCCTTGCAGGGAGAGACATTGAAGGTACAGGTAAACACCAAGCTTTATTCTAACGATGCTTTCTACTCAGCGTGTAAAGCACAGGATAATTGGCTAAATCTCTGTATTTTGATGTCGGATTTCACCATGTAGCTTATATTTTTGTGAGAGGTTTTATTGAGCCACTCATTTCATAGATTTTTATGTCATTCCACAGTGGTTAACATATTTGTGACACTCTCATACTGTGTCATTCCATGTGCTCCTGTCAGTCTTTTCATGCCTTTGTTCATTTTTATCTTTTTTAAAGAACTATGAAATATGGCTCTTACAAGTGATCTCATATGCACCTGAAAGTTTTATTTATATATATAGAAATATAAGTAAATCCAGGGACATAACACTTTAAACAACTTTGACATTTTGGCTGGTTTATTATATTCTCTTGATTCAAATAACTTTAAAAAGATGATAATTTTCTCACTATCTTCATATTGAATAATTTTGAACCTTATGTAGTTCATTTCACTTTCAGTAATTATTTTTAAGTTAGCTTCTGTGTAAATTCAATAATTTGTTTGCACATGGCAATTTATAGCAGTCCAACAATTTTTAATAGTGTTATAATTTTAACAGATGCTCAAGGCTGTATTTGCATTGATCTTCAGAATTTCATCTTTGTGGGACAATTAGAGAAATCAGTAAAAATTGCTTCTTTCCTAAAGTGTTGACCAAACACACTGAAAAATTAACCAAGGAAGCCATAGTTAAAGATAAAATTCATTACACTTTGCCCTTTTCTCACTCTTTGATGTATATGTACTATGTAAATCATACACGTGCTAATTCATATTTATGAGTTTATCTCATTATATAATCATTTTTAACTAGGCAGAAATGCATGAATAAATCATTTAACTTGCTGATACTATTCATTACCTTCTCTTGCCTTAGTTTCCTAATCAGTAAAAAAGGACAATAACATCTCTGTTGTAAGGTTGCTGTGAGCATTAGAGACGAGACATGTAAAATACCTGGCACTGTGCTACCGCCAGGTGTGCAGTCAGCAGATGACGGCTCAGATGGTCAGTACCACTTAAATGACGCTTTATCTCGTCTGGTCAGTTCAGAATTCTCTTTCTCTTAATAATACCAAAAAAAAAAGAAAGAAAAGGACCCCACAAAATTCTGCAATGAAAACCAGTATTTTCTATTTGAAAGGCTAAAGTTTATAAATTCTTAACCCATGGAAAGAAATAATCTTGGTAAAGTCAGAATAGACTGGATTGTTTAGTATTCTGGGAAAAATAAAAAACACAGATTCCATCTAATGGGTTAGTTTGATTTTTTTTTAATAGAAAATAATTGTAAACTAAACATTCCTATGATCTTAACTAGTGTTTCTTACATTATTTAGTATTTGTACTCCCATGAACTCTCTAATAATTATTTTTAATGCTTAATAGCCTGATACTTTATTTGAATTTTTAGCTCAAGTGTAATGGTTTAAAACATTAAGGAAAAGGGTCACTTGTACTGTTTCAGAATGTTGTGTTTTTGTCTCATTTACTCACCGCCTCTACATGCGCCTTTTACTGTTCTGTTTTTCTCTTTAGCTATCCTCATACTACCCACGGCACTCTTCCACGGGACAGTTTCCACGGGGCTGGCCACCGGGAGCTCCCTTGTGCTGGAGGGGATGGGAGAAATGCCTTTCTCCTGGGGACTCGTGTGCTTCTCTCCCCCACCCCATCCCCCTCCTCCCCCGGGAAATACTGCCTATTTCTGTCAGCACTCCCGACCTTAGCCTCCCAAATCAAATTGTCACTTGCCATCCTAACGTAACTTACTGCTTTGGGCTTATTTTGGCCACCTCATCATTTAATTTGGAAATGCATCATAAAATAGGTCATTTCATGTTGTCATTGTGAGTGCATGTTCAATCACAAAGCTTAAAAATAACACTATGGTATTTTCTACCTAGGAGCTCAAGGTCAGTATTCTGGCTCTTGCCACCCAGATCCTGACTGGATGTGATGAAGTGTTGGAAATGCTACAGCAGGTCACCACCGCCCTCATAAACAGTGACATTCCTGACCGTGAGCAGAGGTGAGGAAATGGGTTGTGAACTGTGACCTAGACCCTTCAGGAAGAAGAACTTGGTTATGAAAGTGAAATCTTTTATCAGATATTCAGTTAATATACAGGGTTTTTGTGAGAATAAGTTGAAAGGGCAGGTATTTTAAAGCCAAGTGCAATTGAACTCTTTAATGGTGCTTATAGGTATGATTGGGCTAACAGCCATGAACAAGGGTAGCAAGGTAGTGGGGGCAGCATTGTCTCTGACCTTCAGATCTTGTACCTTCATTAGTCCCCAGCTCAGCACCATGTGCACTTGGTTTCTCATGATAAGTACCTTAGGGAGGTAGCAGTGAGAGTGATGCAGACAATTAACTGCTATGCAAAGGATAACACTTACATGATATCTCAGATTTTTTTTTTTTAATATTGATTTTTTACAGAGAGGAAGGGAGAGAGATAGTTAGAAACATCAATGAGAGAGATACATCAACCAGCCGCCTCCTGCACACCCCCCACTGGGGATATGCCCGCAACCAAGGTACATGCCCTTGACCGGAATTGAACCCGGGACCTTTCAGTCCCCAAGCCGACGCTCTATCCATTGAGCCAAACCGGTTTCGGCGATATCTCAGATTTTACTGTAATTTACTGCTCCAGACACAGGAGTGACCTATATAGAGGATAAACATCTCATTCCCAGGAATAAAGCTTTTTCCCAGTCCTTCCCATTAAAATTTCTGCTATGGTTTGCTGATAAAATTGACTTACATACCGTGAGTGTTGATGGTTTTAATGTTAGAGATGCTGCTCTAGAACAATCAATCCTGCAGTGTAACTTTCCCTCTGGGCACCCATCTGTTCCCACATCCCTGACTCTGTGCCTCTTCTAGAGAATAGGTGGGCAGGTTGGAACTGAGCACAGTGTTGCATCTGGACTTGTTAAGGCATATAGTGTCCACTGCTGGCATGTGGTACAGATCTGCCCTGGGAGGAGGTAATCTGAGAGCCTGGAAGATCTGAGCTCTGTTTCACGTTCCAATCCCAATATCCTTAGTAGTCTTAGAGAACTTACCTAACCCACATCTTTTTTTGGGTAAGTCACATGTCTTAATTCTTCTAGCAGAAGATTAGGATGTTAAGAATATGACTAGGTGCCCTAGGTGGTTTGGCTCAATGGACTGAAGGGTCCCAGATTCAATTTTGGTCAAGGGCACATTGCCCGGATTGCAGGCTCGATCCCCAGTTGGGGGTGTACAGGAGGCAGCTAATCAATGATTCTCTCTCATCATTGATGTTTCTATTACTCTCTCCCTCTACCTTCCTCTCTGAACTCAATAAAAATATTTTTTAAAGAAGCATTGCAAATTCTTAAAAAACAAAAACAAAAAAAACGTGTCTAGGTAATCATTTTACAATATACAGATATGTCAAATCATTACATTTTTCACTTTAAGTTTATACAATTTTATATGTCAATTGGATCTCAATAAAATGGGGAAGGAGTGATTTTAAAGTCAAATGAAAAATCTGCCTGCCTCTGCGCTGCACACGAGCCAGTTTCTCTAGGCAAAAGTGGACATTGCTTCCGGGGCAGGTGAACTGGTGGTGTAGCCACTCATTTTCTTTTTTTTCTTTTTCACGTTTAACTTAGGTGCAGTCTTTATTTTTTCTAAATCACCCTTTTGTGTGCCTCAGGCCACTCATTTTCTTGCTGTCAGAGACTCAGGGCAGCCCCAGAGCCAGGGGAGCTCTGCAGATGGTAGTTACCTAAAGTAGCTATTTGCCTACCTAGAGGACCCACTTATAAAGCGCGTCAGAGGTGCTATGAAATTCACCATGTAAACATTTTTTGTGTGTGCAAAATCATAGGTTGAAGATGAAATCTATTACGAGATTTCTGTTTCCTCCCTCAGTAGTAGAAGGTGGGAAATTTGTGGATTTAATTGCTATCAACTATAAGTGCTTCACTAATTTAAGAGAATTTTTCAGATAAAGATGATGTCAGTTTCTTTTCACATGCTGGGAGGTTACATAAGCAGTGTGTTTTCTTGAATTTTTTTGTAGGTTAAAAGGCTTGGAACAAGTTACTAAAGCTACCATGCTTGGTCACCTTCTTCCAGTGCTCCTGACTTCCCTGATGCATCCCAATTTGCAGACTCTGATCATGGCCGACGCCCTGATGCCTCAGCTAGTGCAGCTGGTACTCTATACCAGTCAGGTACGATCCTTGGTGTGCCAGCGTGAACTGCTCTGCGGCCATGTGCATTCGCTGAAGGCAGAATAAATATAACCATGTCTCTTAGACGCCAAGGGAACTAACGATGGAATGAAGAAAAACATCGTGTCTTAAAAGTAAACTGAAACATTAAGGGAAAACATTTTATTGGTTTGACTAAATTGCTTACTGCAGTCTTTTAGCAAATACTAATTGCTAGTCAGCTGTAAAAGTGCTAATCTACAATGCTACTGAGATCCTGCCGTGATATTTCGTCTTCTGAGTTCTTGGTGGCTATCGGTAACCAATATAAATATGTTCCATTCCAGCGTTAATTAAAATGATGTTAAGTGGTCTAAGTAGCAAAGCATTTTTTAGTGAAAGAGGGCAGACTAGGATTGCAAAACAGATGATTTAAGTGATAATTCTAAGTTTGGCTCTGGTACCATCCAGATAACTGACGTAAGCACTTTAAGACATGATGATGGTTTTGTGTTTCAGACGGCTTTGCTGCTTAAAACCCAGTGTCCGGTTTTTGCCGAAGTGGGCTGTTCCCCATGTGGTGCCTCAGACCAGAAGGGCAGGCTGTTCCCTGAGGAGAGGTGAGCGATGCTGCTTCCTCGCAGGAACCCCTGCCTTGTTCTCTTCTGGTGAAAGCCTAGTGCTCCTTTTACAACAGTGATTTTTAGCAAGGGTCATCTCACTGAGAAAAGAAAGAGAATTCAGGGACAACATTTTACAGATAATTATAAAATTGCTGTGTAGTCTTGTAGGAGCAGGTGAGAATAAATTTCCCCACAGATCAAGAGATTAGTTCAAAACTGAAAAATTGTCAAATATTAATTATGAGGATATAAAACATAACTTTGGCAAACAGTTTGACAGTTTCTTAAAAAGTTAAACTTATACCAACCATATGACCCAGCTATTTCACTTCTAGAAAAAAGAAAGCATAGATCATGACAAAGACTTATATATGAAGGTCATAACAGCTTTAGTTAGAATAGCCTCAAAATAAGAAACACCCCTACTGTCCATCAACAAGTGAGGGGATCTATGCACACAGTGGTGTAAGCATACAATGAAATCCTACTCAGCAATAAAAAGGAATGAACTATAGATATATCAACAACATGGATGAATCTTAGACTACTTACACTGGGTGAAAGAAGCCAGACCCTCACAAAAGGTATCCTAGAAAATAAAAGGCCAATATGCAAATAACCAGATGGTGGAACGACCATTCGCTATGATGCAAACTGACCACCAGGGGGCAGATGCTCAATGCAGGAGCTGCCCCTAGTGGTCAGGGAGCGCTCGCTGCTCAGCCAAAAGCTGGGCTCATGGCTGGCGAATGCTGCGGTGGTGGGAGGAGCCTCTCCCGCCTCCACAGCAATCGGACATCCACCGAGGACTCCCAGACTGTGAGGGCGCAGAGTGGGTTGAGGGCCGTCTCCCCAAGTGCACAAATTTCATACACCAGGCCTCTAGTACACTATATAATTCTAATTATACAAAACTCTGAAAAATGCAAGCTAATTTTCAGTGACAGAAAGCAAAGAAGTGGTCTCCTGGATTATTAAGAAGGAGGAAATTTTATAGGTGTATCCATATGTCCGAACTTACCAACTTGTATACTTTAAACTAGTGCAATTTATTGTATGTAATTACAGCTCACTAAAGCTGTCTTTAAAAGCATTGATCAGAAAGGAAGGACCTCTGGGTTTCTCTAGAGCTGTATGCTATCCAAGTGAGCTTTGTGCAGTAATGAAATGTGTTTTTTTATTGTCTAGTACTGTTGACGACAGCCACGTGCTGGTATTGAGTATTTGCAATGTAACTAATGTGACCAAGAAATTGAATTTTAAATTATATTTAATTTAGATTCAATTTAAGTAGCCATATTTGGCTAAGTAACTACCATATTGGATAGCACAGAGCTGAAAGAGAAGAAGAGAATTCCACAGCAGCTAAGCGCAGGATTGGGAGTTTGTTCCCACAACCTGGGGCTGTGATGTCCTTGAGGGTTCAATCACAATAGACAAGAGGAACTTTGAAGGTACTTTTCTTTAGTAAAAATTTCAGTACAAAGTAGTTACATAGACTTATGGAGTTTTCAGCAATTAATGTTCAGATATCAGCAAAAGAACCCTTTATAGGATGCTGGTCCTGTGGGATTTGAAAACTGGCCAATTTAAATGTTTTCAGTATCTTCTTTTTTTTTTTCCTGAGTAACTTTAAATGAGAGCTGGTGAGATGTCCTCTTGGGTATGATTTGGACTTCCGCCTTGAAAAAAGAGAGGGAAATGCAAATATACTGTATAACAACAACAAAAGAAAAGAACCTTATATGTAGAATTTTTTAAAATGTTTCTGATCGGAGCTCCAGTGGCGCAATCGGTTAGCGCACGGTACTTATAAAATGTTTCTGATCGCCACTGATATCAAAGCCACAATGTTGTCATGCAGCATGCTGTGGAAAATTGAAGTGACATTTCTTAAACTTTTACATTTCACTGTGTTAATTTTCTTCTTTCTGTCCTTGCTGCTAAACTCAGTCATGTCCTCTCTGGTTTTAGAATGCTGGAAGAGAAGGAAGAACCAGGCTTTCTCACTGGTTTAAAGATTCCTGCTCCATGGGCTGCTGGCAAGACTGTGGAAACAGTCCACCCTGTCAGAGACAACTATAAATTTAAAGAGACCGTCCACATCCCAGGAGCTCGCTGCCTGTATCTTAGATTTGATAGCAGATGCTCTTCACAATATGACTATGACAAAGTAAGCACGACTGCTTTAGAATTGGTTCCATTGCTAATAAGCTGATTATCTTTATATGCTTCTTATTTTTCTTTGCTGCTTGTCATTCTTGACTTATTTCTGTCTGCAGATCTCTCTTAGGAGAACTTACCTAAGAGAATGCCTTGAAGGTAGTGATTGGGGAGTCAAAAAGCCAGCACCTCTGCGTTCTAAGAGCAGTGTTTTAATGACATGTTGAAAGCGGGCTTTTGTAAGCTTTCAAAGTTTAGATCCGAGTCATAGGAAACTTTTCTTTCCCTTCTGCTTACTTCCTGCCTCCCTCTGTGCTTGGAATTCCTAGAGACATGTGTCCATTCATCCAGAAAGGTCTTCCTGCCCAATTCTTGCAGCTTCTCATGTATCTTTTGGGGAGAAGGTGTCCTTTTAGAAAGGTTTTGAGTGTGTGAGGTCTTGTCTGTGTTTAGGTTATCTTTGCCATTGTCTCAGGAGACTACACCTCCACACAGACTTCAAGGAGGTATAGTTTCCAACCTGGTAGCCAAACCAAATTATAAGTAAAAGGAAGTGTTTAGGGCTTGAAATGTTTCTTCTGTTTATAATTGTTACATTATAAATCATTATGCTGAATTTATGAGGAAAGGCTAATGAAATCATGACATGTAACATATAAAAGAACAACTGAAGGATTATCTAATAGCTTTGTACTTACACATGTAGATTGTTAGCTGTCTGTTATATCTCCTCCCTGGACTATGTAAGAGCAATTGGTCTTACATCCCGGGGGATACTTAGGTTAAGAATAAAAGACTTCTTAACTGTATATACAATGAAATGGTAAAACACACTACTGGCAAATTATAGAATCCTCTTTCCTATTATCTTTAGACTAGTGAAGATTCCCAGATGTCAGGAGGTTACTTAAGACTTGCCCCGAAACTCACCGTCATTGCAAGGAAGAGAATTTAGAAAATAGTCTTCAGTGGGCCATTCAAAAATTAGATTAAAAAAAAAAAAAAAAGTGGCATCAGTCTACACTATTTCATAGCCCCTGGCATCAGCTACCCCGATGTTTTAGATTCAAACGATAATGATTGTTTAAAACAGAAATGGAAGAGTTGCCATTTTAGTTGGTATCATTATGTTTCTCCGTTAAAAGCCAGTAATTTGCATCTTCTGATGGATGCTGACCTGCACCTGCATTGGTACTAGTGTTAAATGTGGAGGTTCAGGGATGCTCACCACAGAGATAGAAGAAATACAGACTTTCCTACTGGCCCCGCTGGTGTCAGGAGGGTACAAAGTCACAAAACGATAAGTGTCCAGGACTAAAAGTACAGCTTTTAGCTCCAAACTGACCTCTCTGATGCAGTCAGAGGCTGTCATAGTACACGTTGGAAGACAGTGCCTTGTTCCCGTGAGAGTATTTGAATGCCACACGACCTGTAAATCAGAAAGGTAGTTAATTGGATATCAGCAAAAAGCCTTTATTGAGGAAAGTGTTGATACATGAAAACTAACCCAAGAAGCAGCCCCTTTCTGCCCAAATCTGTGTCATTTTCTTTTTACACTGTGAAGCAACATTCTAAGAATTTATGGCTTGTTTTCAATTTGTTGCATTTTTTCAAATCTTCATTCATTGAGGTTTTTGGGTTGTTTTCTTTTTTGTTTTTATTTTGTTGTTGTATGAAATAGAACCATCTTTTTATCTATATTTATTTGCTCACTTTATCAATTTGGGGAAGGGCTTAAGGGGGCAAACTATACCTCTTATTAATGAATTATATGTAGTTGTTTAGAATTAAAATAGCTATTTAAAAATATATGTATATGTTAACTGAGTATAACTGTTTTAATGTGAAGTGCCTAAGTCAGTTAAATTGTGGTAATGTTTGTTATTCTGTAGCTGCCCTGTAAATACAATGGCCAGTTGCATTCAAACTAATATAAGGGAATATTAGTTATATTATAACTCCAGTGCCTGGTTATAAATGTATTTTTAAACACACATTTTCTGCAGCCTTTTTATTTGTAGATGTTGTTTTTGTTTTTCTTTTACAGTCTAACAGTATATTTTCTGTTTTGAAGTTGGTGATATATGCGGGGCCTAACACAAACAGTAGGAAGGTTGCTGAGTATGGAGGCAATACACTGGGATATGGCAGCCGTAGTGTCTTAGGAACTGGTTGGCCGAAAGACTTGGTGAAGGTATGGTATCCAGTCCCATTCACTTCATAGAAAAGAAAAATGAACTTATATTCCTCATGGGCCCAAGTATATTAGCTAGAATCCAAAAAAAAATGCCAAGGGGGCTTTTTAACCTTGCCAGGCCTATGAGGTCACTGCTTCTTTCAAAATGACCCTCCTTTTCCTTGCGGGGCATCAGACCCCTGTCCACTCCAGAGCCTGTCCCACAGGTTACTGCATGGACTGAGTTGGTCACAGCATTTCCTTCCCTGGCCACTAACAGGACTGCTAGTTCTTCCAGCTCACTTCTTCTCTGACATCAGAGACCCTTATAGTGGCTGTCCTGGAACCACAGGGCTATTGAAGTTTAAAAATATGAAATCAATGTTTGCAGGTGAATTTAGGCCTTAGGAGCAAAAATGATGATCCTTTCTCAGACTAATAAGATTTGAGCCATGCTCTGTGATCTACCTAGAACATGAATATGAACTGAAAAACCCATTAAGACCCCAAAACCTTTCCCAAATGTGTCCCCAGGGCCTTTATCTCATATACACTATGCACCCTCTCTAATTCAGTCACAGACAACGAGTTTCCCCAGAGGGCTAGTCTGGGCATCAGACGCCAGATCAGCACAGCACTTTTAACTCTTCTCTTTTCCTTTTGGATTCTCATTCTCTGTGTTGGTTTTACCACCCAGAGCAGGTTTTCCAGCACTGCCTCTGTGTTCTGCATGACACTGGCCATTTGCTTGCTTTATTGGCAGGAAGTGGTGATGTGAAGAGGGGGAGGAGGGCAGGAAGAATAGAAATTTGAGATAATATATTAAAATTATGCTTAAGATTTGATTCATCTTTACTCTGATCCTGCTATTGGGCAGTTGTGATCCACTTCACAGATGCCTCGTCCCAAAAGCCACCTGGATAGGAGAGACACCTGAAAGGTTGATGTCCAAATGAGAGGGGATGGAATTTGAATTTAAAAAGCAAGTGAGGAAAGGAGTAAAGTATTGCTGTGGTCCTTTTGAAAGTAAATCTCTGAAATTCATTGCTCTCTTGAAAACTGTGTGTCTTGTTTTTAAAGTGCTTTCTCCCCCCTTAAATTTTAAGGTGGAAGGAGATACAGTCACCTTCTCCTTTGAAATGAGAAGTGGCCGTGAACACAACACTCCTGACAAAGCCATGTGGGGCTTTGCTTGCACAGTTCGAGCTCAGGTACTTGACTAACCTCTGCTGTGGACATAGTACTTTCTCCTTTGTGCCTTGATTACATACATCATATTTGCCTTGGAAGCGGGGCAGAATATGAGCCACTATTTCATCCATCTCTTCCATTTGAAAGGAGTAGACTGCTGATAGTAAGTAGGGGTTTTATGGAATAAAACTAGCTGTGACCTGAGATCCATGTAGCGGCACAGAGAACCATGCGCAGGGCTCTGTCTTCGAAGCCGGGAAGAGATGACTACCTCCAGAGTCTTTGCATAGGACGAAGAAAGCTTAGGCACTAAGTTCTGAAGTCTGGGTTTTAAGAGAAGTAGGGTCAGATTATTTTCATTCTAGTCCCAACAGCTCTTCTTGCTAGACTAGGTCTGTCTCTGATTAATTATTTGTGTTATACTCTGTGCACAGGTTTAATCTACTCTTTTTAGCACTGCATAGTAGTTATTTCCCACCTCCCTCTGCCCCCAGAATCTATGTAAAAAAATTATTTTCCCACCTTAAAAAAAAAGGAGAGGGAGGAATAGGAGTTTACTAGCCCCTCAAGGTGCCTGATTTGTACACTGTATTTTAGATTGGGGGATCACTAGAGTGGAATTCTCTGCTAGGACGTAAGTGCCGAGAGACCAGGCACTTGGTTTTGTTCTCTGCTGTATCTCAAGCTCCTAGAGCCATGGCTGGTAACAGGAGGTACTCAATAAAAATTCTCTGTCATCATTGACAACATATTGGTTTGAGCACAGGATGGAGGTGACAAAACGAAATAGTGACTTATACCCACGTAGGCACAGCAGAGGAGAAACCCAAACAGTCGTGCATGGGATCTGTGTTGTTTCTAATATGGAGTCTTATTGGCTCTTCTCTCTCCAGAACTGTGTTGGTACTTCACTCTGTGGTCATTCCAGTGCCACCATCTCTCTGCTCATGGTGTTGGGTGCTGTCCCTGTGTCCCATAGCAATGGTACTTGCTGCTGCTCTGTGAGCCCTGTGGTTGGGGACAGTGCAGTGTGGTGAGTGCAGGTGGAAGGGCTCTGCCATGTGCACTGACCAGTGTGGTTTGCCCCTGTCTGCGTTGTAGGAGTCTTCGGAGGATGTGTCAGGAGGCTTGCCCTTTCTGGTAGACCTGGCGTTAGGGCTATCTGTGTTAGCTTGTTCCATGTTAAGAATCCTGTACAATGGACCAGAAATTACCAGAGAAGAAGAAGCCTGTCAGGAGCTATTGCGGTCCAAACTTTTGCAAAGGTAACAAAGGGCTCAAACTGGGCTGGTTTTGCTCCCAAAGGAAAAATGACTTGATGTGGAAAACTGCTTTTAGTGTTTCCCAGCTGATCGTGCCTGCTGCCTGACAGTCCTGTGGGTGTCATTGTGTAATTAAAGGATCCCCAAAAGGATGGGTAGATGGGTGATAAAGCAAATATGGAAAAATACTTATTTGAGAATCTAGGCGATGGGTATATATGACTGATAACCATGTCATTCTTTCAGCTTTTAAAATATTTTAAAGTTTTCATAATAAAATGTTGGGAAGGAGGTAGATTTCCAAAGATGTGGTTTTGTATAATATGCTTATTTTTTTAGAGTATATTTAAGTAGTGAACAAATACTCAATACATAATGTGATCCTTCATGCTTTATTTGTCTGAAAACTTTAAGTAGCTTTCCAGATAGAAGAGGAAGTGAAGAACCTCTTTTCTGTCTGTTCAGGTGCCAGTGGCAAGTGGAAGCCAATGGCGTGATCTCCCCTGCCCTTACTCCAAGCCCGTCTCCATTGCCTCTGACCATTGAGGAGGACAGAGAGTTCACCTACCCCTCTGACGTCCTCGTGCCTCCAGTTGGAAGCTACTTTGACCTGCCCCGGATCAGGCTGCCTCCAGGAATCATGATAAAGCTCAGGGAAATTTCTGGGCGTGCTAGACCTCAATTTAGACCAAGTATAAAGTATGTTTCTAATATAGCATTTCATTTTTCCCAACGGAATAACATGTTTAAATAGTTGAAAGGGGATAACTTTCTTATAGTCTAGCAAGTGAACCTTTAATTTAATGTTTATTTAATGATTGTTAACCAGGTATCCATGGTGGTATTCCGGTGTGGGCTTATAGTCAGCAGTTAGCATCACCTAGGCACTTATTAGTTCTTGGGCCTCATCTCACACCTATTGAATCAGGACCTCGGAGGATGGGGCCCAATAATCTGTTTTCACAAATGTGCCATATGATTCTGGTGCATTCTACAATTTGACAAGTTCTAGGTTTTCCTCGGGTGGCTTTATCTTTTGCTCTCATTTCCATAGAGTCTAGAGGTATATCGTTGTTTTTGATGCCTAGAGAGATGGTGAGGGCGGGGGTCTTTATTTTGAAGTCTTCACTTATCTTGTTTAAAGTGAACCCTATTTTGCAGGCCTCGGCTCTGCCTAATGAGGCAAGATTGCCTATTTCAGAGAAAAATATAAAGAATAGATGACATTTAAAATGAAAAACAAAAAACAGAAGCACCATTGCTTTCAGCCCTACATCCATACACACGAAATACTACAAGTCACAAACTGCATAAAATTAATTGGCAGATAAATGATGCCAAAGGTGTTCTTTGATCCTGACACCTCTTCCAGCTCTCATGTGACTAAAGCTTGAAATGTATGAATCATAGAAAGTGAAGTATCACTAATTTTGATTTTCAGTTTTATCAGCCAATGTTAGTTTTATCAGTTAAATATATTTAATTATTGCCAACTTAATAGGAAAGCCATCATATAATAATGTTCATGCCTCTTTATGGGAATAAGGTGTGGTAAATATTTAATATACTTAAATCAAAGCCTATATTCTTTAACCTATAAGAACGTATTGGTAAGTTGAGCACATGGCATATCCTTGACCATTTTTCCATTGTAATCACAGAGAGGTAATTCAGCCAGATGTGATGGAGGAGATGGTGGTATCATGTGTTATTAAGCACTTGAACTTGGTTGATGCACTGCAGTCTCTAATAAATTTCCAGTATCAAGAAGAACATGCTGAGGAATATGACTTATTGTGTAAAATTATGGGAGAGACCTTTAAGAAACTCAATGCCATGGAGAGACAGCTGCAGGTAAGGAAAGCTAAAATACCAACATTTCTCTTATAACTGCTGGAAATAATTTTATTCCTAGAAATGTAATGAAGTTTACAAAGTGATCTGAATTTTTAAAAATTGTTGTGACTAAAATTTCAGAATTTATAGATTGCACTTGTTTTTATTTTGCATTCATTTTCACATTATTTTATATTGCAATGTGTCAGAGTGTGGCAGAATTGGAACAGAAGTGGCAGAGTGAGGTGGACGATGCCATGCAGGGGAAGCTGGAGAACAACATGCCTTTCTTCTATGACTATCATTTCAATGAGGTGAGCGAGTCTATGCCGTGTGTATGGAGATACAATAATGTCACTTCTTAAAATGTTGCACACCCCAAAATGTTTAAATAAAATTTATTAGACCAGCATGTCAGTAATCCTATCTAATAAAGAGGGAATATGCTAATTGTCTCTCACGCTGTTGAAAGGTGGCAGCACCCATAGTCAATGAGGAGAAAATACACTAATTGCCTGCCCCGTCCTCAAAGATGGCAGTGCCCACAGCCACATGATGGCAGCATCCAGTCCTCTCAACCCCCTGGCCACCCAGGGCCGGCCTGAGGCACAGACAAGCCTTGGATGGCAGCTGCCCAGCCGCCCAGAGCCATCCAAGGCTTGTGCTGCCCGCAGTGGCAGCAGCAGAGGTGTATGGGGACATCGCCTTCCCCTGATCACCAGATCGCCTCCCACCCCTGAGGGCTCCTGGACTGTGAGAGGGGGCAGGCCAGGCTGAGGGACCTCTTCTCCAGTGCATGAATTTTCATGCACCGGGCCTCTAGTACAAATAATAAAATACTTGTTAAGTTTTATTTTTATAGGCACGCACATGTTGACTCCTTTAAAAACACACACACACACACACACACACTCTCACACACACACACACACACACACACATTCACACACACACACACACACACACACACACACACATATATATATATATATATATATATATATATATATATGTATGTATGTATGTATTCATTGATTTCAGAGCAGAAGGGGGAGAGAGAGAGAGAGAGAGATAGAAACATCAGTGATAAAAGAGAATCATTGATTGACTGCATCCTGCTCGGTGTCTCATACTGGAGATCGAGCATGCAAAATGAGCATGTGCCCTTGATCAGAATCAAACCTGAGACCCTTCAGTCTATAGGCTAATGCTCTAGCCACTGAGCAAAACCAGCTAAGGATTTTGTTTTTTAACTGATTAATAGTGTTATAAAGAAGCTAGCATCATTATCAAACATTGCTTTCAATCCTTAAAAAAATCAATAGCAGAGTTAGAAAGTGGCCAATACCATTTTTAATCACTGAAGTATCAAGTGATGATATACAAATGTGCTTCTGGCATAGAAATATGGGCCAAAGTGGGTGTTTTCCTCCTGAAATTTTCTATTTCTTTTAACACGTGCAGAAAAATTCAGTCTTTGCAGATCCTGCATACCATCTTTTCTTGATTTTTCCTTCTTTAGAACAAAGTGAAAGAACTAGAACTTTTGTGTTCAATGAAGGAAGTCTCCTTTGATGGAAATGATCTTGAAAACATGGTCCTATCACTGAGGTTAGTGATGTTAATGACTATGCAAAGCTAATTTATTCCCTTGGTGCTTAAAAAATGTGAAGATCTAGTCTCAACAGATATTTTATAAAATAGTGTGCATTCATAAAATACTTTAGACTTGTGAATTTTTAAAAATATATTTTTATTGATTTCAGAGAGGAAGGAAGAGGGAGAGAGAGATAGAAGCATCCATAATGAGAAACATGGATTGGCTGCCTCCTACAAGTCCCCCACTGGGGATCGAGCCCACAACCCAGGCATGTGCCCTTAACCGGAATTGAACCTGGGACCTTTCAGCTCTCAGGCTGACGTTCTATCCACTGAGCCAAACTGGCTAGAGCTAGACTTGTGAATTTTTATTTTAACCTTCAAAAGTTAGCACCATGGCATTTGAAACTGGGTAAAAATAACTAAAACTGACCACCGTTTTATAGTTCCCCTCTATTGGGGAAAGGGGGAGGTGAGCAATATTTATCAGTTGACTTTTTCTTAGTTTCCCGTCTATTCCTATTTTTTGTAATAAAAAAAACTTTGGATTTGGTAAACTAGAGAACGACTAAATGCACCTGAGCCTTTCTTTATAGGGAGAAGTTCCTACAAGAAGTGAATTCTCTTATTCAGAAACCCTCGCACCCACTGGCTAAAACGAAGACATTAGTGAAGAGCTTAATGAACAGAGCCGAACTCTTGCTGCATGTCACTATTGCGGCCCATTCTGGCCTCACCAGAAGCATCTCGGGGACCCCTGCAGAGACACCGGGTACTGCTCCAAGCCAGCCCTACACAGGCACTTTGCACTAGCCAGCTCACAAAATGTGCATCAGCTACTTTAAAAAAAACAAACCTTGTGTACTTTCAGAAAGGAAGGAAAAGGAAATTTTTAACATTTTTATTTTGCCTTTTACTTTTTCTAGCAAAAAAAAAAAAAAAGTGCTTCTCATTGAATTCATGTGGTGTTTTGTGAGTCAGCTGAGCACCAGGGAGGCTTCCTTGCCTGCCTCTTCCATTTTTCTTGCGAGCATCTAAGAAGCCCAATGGCATGTATTTTTATAATTCCATGCCCTTAATTTTTGTTGATGGTTTGCCATTTTCATAGTAACATATATAATTAGATAGTCACATTGTGAATCTTTTTTAAAAAAATGTTATTTCAGAGAGGAAGGGAGAGGGAAAGAAAGATAGAAACATCAGTGATGAGATAGAATTGTTGATAGGCTGCCTCCTGCATGCCCCACACTGGGGATCGAGCCAGTCATCCGGGCATGTGCTCTGACCAGGAATTGAATTGTGACCTCCTAGTCTGAAGGTGGTTGCTCAACCACTGAGCCATGCTAGCTCAGCAATATTGTGAGTCTTTTAATGCATCATATTTTTCTCTTGAAACTGAGTTTGCATTTCATCTTTTAATAGGTGGAACCTTCTAGCATGAATTTCCACTATTAAATTTTTTCCCCTGATCCCATTCTATCAATAATTGTTAGCCCAAAAACGTGTTTCTCGGGGACATTAATGAGTCTTCTTACTTAAGCGAGATCACAACTTTGGGCATAGTCCAAAGTAACAAATGTTAAATCTTCTGAAAACACCAGTTGAGTAAACATTCTTAAATGAAAGACTCCATGTATTCCAGCCCATTACCTGATGGACACTATTCAGCAGTTTGCAACCAGCTGATTGCCTAGGGCTCCTCTCACTTGGGAGAGAAGTCCAGGCTGACTCCGAGGTTTCTGACCCTCCCCATAGGCTACCGCTCCCTGAGAACATCAGGGGAAATGTGCCAAGTGTGTGGCGAGATCGCATGCCAGGTGGTCCGCTACGTAACGTCCCTGGCCCCGTTAGACCTGGTACTTAAAGTTCCCGTAGAAAGACCATGACTCACTAAGGCTGGGGATGCTTCCCAAGAGGCTCTTACATTAAACTGTTCCTTTATAAAGCAACTATTTTTCTGGGTAGGGTTAAGGAGTATATCTTATAGGAAGGGGCTGCTCAGATTCTAGCTCAAGCGTGACATTTACTCTTACTGTGATCAAGCCAGAGGTGTCACAAAATGGTAGTAAGTTAGTTAAACAAATCCAAGATTAAAGGGGAACAAAAGCCATCTCTGGGCGATAAAAAGGGTCTGGATTTACTTGAATAAATAAATTTTTGTCCCCAGAAATCACTTTTTCTCTCTTGCTTTTTAAAATGCTATACTAAAGTGGACATTGATAGTCAATGAAATTAAATGAATTTTTGAGCCTTTCTTTGAAAACCCAATATGGTGATGTGAATCTTTTGGTGAAAAGATTTTAGTTTTCCAAGCTAAGATTATTTTTTAACCTAATATCTAGGTTTTCAAAATTGGCCTAAAAATATTAGTTGTGCTTTGCTTGCTGGTTTGGTGGTTTAAGTCTCATAGAAAGTGAAGCTATTTGGTAGTTCCAGGTTACCACCAACCTTACAAATGGGGTAGCAGATGTGTGAACGCTTTTATTCCTCTCTGTTCCAGCTTGTAAGTCAGCTTCTGAAACAAAGGTGATCTCTCATGCTGTGCGGCAGCCTGTTTTTCTTCGGAGCATGTCGGCTCCTTCTGACCTGGAAATGATTGGTAATGAAGATTTGGAATTTACTAGAGCAAATCAGAGGTAAATGGCTAAAGGCCAAGGTTGGATTCCCACATGCAGTTGAATGCTTTTCAATAAAATAAAATAAAAAACCGCACTCCCTGAGGGTCTCTTGTTTTTCTGAGCCAGCAGTTTTCTTTTCCGTAGGCGGCGCCACGTGACCAGCCACCGGAGCAGCTCCTTTACACTTCTGCAGTCATTGGCCATCGAGGACAGCAGGGACAAGCCCACCTACAGCGTCCTGCTGGGGCAGCTGTTTGCTTTCATCGGCACCAATCCTGACCAGGCTGTATGTCACCCGTTGCTGACCATAGATAAACAACACTGAAAAGCACAGAGGGCTGTGACAGTTAGCCTGAATCAGGTGTATTTCCTTCTCATGCATTTCAGGTGTCCAGCAGCAGCTTCCTCTTGGCTGCACAGACACGGTGGAGGCGGGGAAACACACGCAAGCAGGCCCTGGTACACATGCGCGAACTGTTGACTGCAGCTGTGCGAGTTGGGGGAGTGACGCATCTTGTGGGACCAGTGACGATGGTTCTTCAGGGAGGACCCAGGTCAGTTGTTTCTGTTGGTGTTTACTGTCCTCTCTGGAATGGGCAAAACTCTTCCAAAGATTATTCTTGGGGCCAAATCATAGTCTGTGGTTTTGCTTATGTTTCCTCCTAAAATATTATATTTTTATTTTTATAAAAGTAGTACATTATTTCGTAAACATTCAACATATACAGAAAATAAGTCTCTTTACTCACTTTTTCCTCTTAAATTCCACTATTCATTAACAGCTTGTTGTATCAAGTACACATACATAATAAATAGCTGTTTAATTCTCTTTGTACACAAAAGTGTATATGTGTGTGATTTTTTAAAACTTAATCTCTATTGTACAATACATGCCTTATTGTAATCTGAGTTGTTTTGCCTTGTATATCTTGGATCTGTCTTTTCATGTCATTACATATGGATCTGCTTTACAGTTTCTAAGAACTTCATGGACCTCCATTGTATGGATGTCTGAATTTTATATTATTTAACTCATCCCCTGCTGATGGACACATCGGTTTATTCTTCCTTCTCTCTCTTCCTCTTCCCTCCCTTCTCTTCGTTCTTCCTTATTTTCTGTTTTGTTTGATTTTGCATTAACAATAGAGCTTTAATCAACATCCTTATAGTTGTATTTTTGTATACTTTTATGCTTATTTACTGTATTAATTTCTAAAAATGTAATTGTAGATACTAACTTAGAAGAAGGTTTTGTAACTGATGTTTGAGGAATTTTGCATTACTGGTTTCCCACTGTGCTTCAGAGGTCTTGAGAGAGAAATAGATAAGGCCTTTCTCTCCCATCCTGGGCTGGGACTGCTGGAGGCTCCTGTGCCTCCTGGCAACTCTCTGGGGAACTCTGGCCGACAAGGGAGGGCAGTGGCCGGAGGAAAATGCGTTAACCAGGAGCTCATGTGGATATCTTAAGAAATTTCTGTCAATCAGGGGGGGCTGTTATTCTTCAGAAGCAAACAACTCCAAAATCTCGGTGGTTTAAGCAAAATTTTAGTTCTTGTTCACGCCCATCACAGATCCATCTTGGCTTATGGTAATCACAAGGGCCTAGGACAGAGGAGACCACCATCTCAAAAGCCATCGGTCCCCTTGTCAGAGCTCTGGTCATTGGCCAGACTAGTCATATGCCCACCCAACCACAGGGGTGCCCAGAAAGCTTAGTGAGTAACACTAACAATACCACAACTTACTTCCAGAATAATTTCTCCATAATAGTTCCCTCAATTACTAATGTCACATGTCAAACATTTGAAAAACTGCAAACAATCCCGAAGTGTAAAATCACCTGTAAATCTAGTAACTTAAAATAAAACTTAACATTTTAGTGTATTCTGTCTTTATTCTAACCATAGATCTCATCTCCTATAATATTATTAGTGGTTGAATAGCATTGTATCATGTTGCCGAACCTTTATTAAGCCAACTTCCTATTTTTAAACTTTAGGATTTATTTTTGCTATTTTAAACAATATTACATTGCATATCTTTGTCGGTAAATCTAGATAGTTCCAGTTCTAATCTAATAGCAATTGCTATAGAATCTAGCCCAAGCTGAGTTTTTACACTGGGAAAGTCTTACTTTAGTCAATTAGATTCTCCTCTGCTAATAGAGTGTGAACTTGAAAAGGACACTTAGCTGATCTGGGCCTTGGCTTTCTCATTAGTACAATTACATTTACAGCATTCATTACTTCTTGGCACACTGTAGTGTGTCTCAAATAAGTAATTTTCATTACTTCATACATTTGGGAAATTTTGGGTACCATTTCTTGCTCTTAGACAGACTGTGGGCTTTAACCTTCTAAGGCTCTGAGAAGCCCTGCAGAAGGGAGCCTGCTTACCTTTACCTAACTTAGGATTCCTTGTACTTTTCTTGAGTGTATGGCATTGTCTTGGAGGCACACTTAGAAATCCTGCCCAACGGTCTCCTGTGGCCCTGCAGTTAGAGAAACACCAGTGACCTCCAAGATCCCTTCAGTTCTGACTTCATTAGGCACTCAGGTTTCTCAGAAGAAATCTATTGCCCTCATGCTCACTATCACTGTTCTTGACTAAGCTTTGGTTTTGTTTCCTAGAATTGAAGAACTAACCTGTGGTGGAATGGTTGAGCAGGTCCAGGAAGCTTTTGGCGAGACCATGACCTCTGTCGTGTCTCTGTGTGCTCGTTACCCTATTGCATGTGCAAATAGCATTGGACTCTTGTGTACCATACCTTACACCAGGTAAGCAAGGAAATGCTTTTTATTGTGTATAAGTTATACCACATTGTAGTTAATTAAATAAAAATATTTTTAATTTTAAAAATTGGATTTTGCCATGACCAGTTTGGCTCAGTGGATAGAGCATTGGCATGCGGACTGAAAAGTCCCGGGTTCAATTCTGGTCAAGGGCATGTACCTTGGTTTAAGGCACATCCTCAGTAGCAGGTGTGCAGGAGGCAGCTGATTGATGTTTTTAGCTCTCTATCCCTCTCCCTTCCTCTCTGTAAAAAATCATTAAAATATATTTAAAATAAAAAATTGGATTTTTTTTGCTTTTATTATCCAATGATATCATTCTTATTAAATGAGCTTGCCTCCCGACACCTGACGTTACTATGTAAATTCCTTATTGTGAGTTCCTACATGATCAAATGTGGCCATTAGATATTATATTACATTGGGAGAATGGAGAGGTTTGAAGAAAAGAAAAAGGTCCTTAGGAAATTGCTTATAATTTTGTCAAAAAAATTTTTGCATGTGCACATCTATTTCCTTTCTTAGTCACTCAGTTAATAGTTTGAAGATGCCAGGCACTTATGAAGTCATTCTTTGAATCCCCTTCTGATAAAAACATAAATTTTTTTTCTGTTATAACAACCTTGAGTTGATGTCATCAGTTTTTAACTTTGCTGGTCTGTATGAGAAAACCAGAACTTGAAGTTCCTTATTAATGAAGGAAATCTTCATTCTATAAAAACATGTCAGTTATACATTAGAGTATGCTAAGTGGTAAACAAAGACCTATACCGACATGTTTTTTTGTCTCTTTGATAGCCTGAGTCTTAAGGGAGAGATTCTTGAGGGCTGGTCGGTTATGTTTGTTCTGTGTAACCCTTCCCCCCTGGCCCAGGAGTGAAGAGAAGTGCCTGGTGCGCAGTGGCCTCGTTCAGCTCATGGACCGGCTGTGTAGCTTGAGCAGCCAGACCGAGTCCAGCTCCAGCGAGAAACAAACCAAGAAACAGAAGGTGGCCACCATGGCCTGGGCAGCCTTCCAGGTGCTTGCCAACCGCTGTGTTGAATGGGAAAAAGAAGAAGGTAAGAAGCAGGATTTCTCTCTCTCTCTAAAATCAATAAAAAAAAAAGAAGATACAGTCTAGTGGGGGAAGTTGACCAGGAAACATATAATTACAGGGTGGTCAATGCTATAATCAAGGTGAATATAGCATTGGAGTCCTAGAGGTTTCTATAGACCAGCTGTGCTAGGAATCAGGCAGAGCTTACCAAAGAAGGTGACATGTCAGTAACTCTTGAAGGGATAATGAAGACTTCTAAGCAAAATACACAGTACACATAGGCATCGGGATCCAGGAAATCATGGGAAGTTCAGGAAAAGACAAAAAAATATAGTGGCTTCTATAAGAGACTAGAGGCCTGGTGCACGAAATTCATACACTTGGGAAGGGGTTCCCTCAGCCTAGCCTGCGCCCTCTCCCAGTCGGGAGTCCTTTGGGGCTCCCCAGGGGCCTAAGCCATCAGTCAGACATCACTAGCGCTGCAGCAGAGGCGGGAGAGGCTCCCGCCACTGCCACTGCACTCACCGGCCATGAGCCTGGCTTCTGACTGAGCGGAGCTCCTCCAGTGGGAGCACAGTGACCACCAGGGGGCAGCTCCTGCATTGAGCGTCTGCACCCTGGTAGTCAGTGCGCATCATATTGATTGGTCAATTTGCATATTAGCCTTTTATTATGTAGGATGCTTGGGAGCGGGGTTGGGCGAGGCTCTGAAACTACAGTGAAAATGGAGCTCCAAAAAGCTCTTATTTTTGAGAAGAGGTAGGGTGTAGGTTAAAATTAATGCTTTCATTGCAGTAAAAATGGTGATTCTTCCCTGCCAATCACAGCCTGTTTTATTATGATTTTCTTATGGATTAATTATATTCAGTTTTAATTAAGAATAGTCTCTTTTCTCAACATTGAATCATTTTTCAAGTTACTATTACTTTTTTATATGCAGATGTTATCAAATGAGGAGATGCTAATTGGATAGCTAATGAAATACAGAGCAAGTTAAGAAAAAATGGGCGAGAGGGGAGGGCTTTAACAGGAGGCCAAGGGGGAGGGCTTGGGAACCTGCAGGCTGGCCATGGCTTCTTGGGGTTTCACCAGGCCTTTTCTCTCTTTAACTCTGAAGGCGGCTCCACAGAGGCTGTGCACTCAGGTCTGGCCCGGCAGGTGTCCAGCCTTCTCACTAACCATCTTGCCCGAGCGACCGAGTGCTGCGGTAACCAGGCTGCAGGGAACGATGCTCTCCAGGACGTCCTCAGTCTCCTCAACGATCTCTCGAGGTATGGCAGGCCCGCCGAGCCCGGGAGCAGGCTTCTTGCCTCTCGAATGATTGGGCTTCCTGTGGTTGGCCTTATCTCTTGAACCATGTAAATTACTAGGCTGTTCTGACATACTCCTGCCTCAAAAATAGTAGAGAATAAAGTCATTGAAAAACAGTATTTTGTTCCAAAATGTGAGGATTATTCAGGTGAATATCCACATCATGAAATAGTATAGTTTGTTTCAATACTTTGTTGGTAACATCTGCTTGCCTTTTAAGTCTATGCATTTACATTCAATAACCAAAAATCCTTACCCTCTTTATAACAAGATTAAGGACCTATCATTAACTCACTTTCTCATGCTGTGTCTTTTTAAATTTTATTTATTGACTTTGAGAGAGAGAGAGAAACATTGATTTATTGTTCCACTTATTTATGCATTCAGTGGTTAATTCTTGTATGTGCCCTGACTGGGCGTTGAACCTGGAACCTTGGCATATTGCGACAATGCTCTAACGAACTTAGCAACCCATCCAGAGCCTCGTGCTGTGTCTTTAAAAGATTTCTGTGGAAGTTTAGGACCATCATGGTGATCCATGAGGCACATGAGAGCTTGTCCACACAGGCTGCTTGTGTGGCTCCTGGTGGACTCGAAGCTTTCTCCTTAGTGACAGCTGAGGCTGATCGCAGACTGGTGAGGCCTTCCCAGCTCTGCATAATGTCTAGCGTCTCGAGGTACTCTTTAAAAAGGCCTGAAAAGCCGAAACCGGTTTGGCTCAGTGGATAGAATGTCGGCCTGCGGACTGAGGGGTCCCAGGTTTGATTCCGGTCAGGGGCATGTACTTTGGTTGTGGGCACATCCCTAGTAGGGGGTGTGCAGGAGGCAGCTGATCGATGTTTCTCTCTCATCAATGTTTCTAACTCTCTATCCTTCTCCCTTCCTCTCTGTAAAAAAATCAATAAAATATATTTTAAAAATAAAAAATAAAATAAATAAAATAAAAAGGCCTGAAAGATGACTATAAGGCTCCTAGGTGGGGTGCTCTGTGATCATGCTGAACTATAGGATCTCATGTGAGTGAGTAAGCATCAGGAATCAGGGAATATTTAAAAATCTTTCTTTTTAAGTATTATTGGTGAATTCTGAGCTTTCATCAGATAATTACAAAAAAAAACAAAAAAAACAAAAAAACCCCTCAATTCTCCACCATCAAAGCACAGTTCCAAATCCAGGTCTTCTGAAGTGATCCATTGGTTTAATCTTAGGTAGGGACCTCTTGCTACTGAATTTCTATAGATTAACATTCCCAGCATCCTGTACCTTTCTTCCTTCGTTTTCAGGAGTCACATAGGTAAAGCCATCCTAAGCCAGCCAGCTTGTGTGTCCAAACTCCTCTCCCTGCTGCTTGACCAACGCCCATCTCCAAAGCTGGTCCTTATCATCCTTCAGCTGTGCCGGGCGGCACTCCCGCTAATGAGCGTAGAAGACTGTGGGAACGTGGAGCTCCCACCCTGGAGCTACTCTGTCCCCTCCCTCAACAGTGAGCAGGAGGATCCCAGCGACCCCGCATCCAAGATTGCCTCGTTGCTCTTAGCAAAGCTGGCAGATTACGTGGTCCCAGGTGAGCAACTTTGGGGCGGGAGAATTGGCACTGCCGTTGTGGGCACTCACACGAGCTTTCACCTGTCCACAGTGGCAGCTGTGCTTCGTGATAAAAGAGATGAAGAAAGGAGAGAGGGAGGAAGAGAGATTCCAAAACCAGTGTTCTCACTGCACAAACAACTTTGCAATTTTTCTGTTTGCTTAAAGGATGTCAGACAGTTCTTTCTCCAACTGCTTCTGAACCTGACACCACATTGACAAAAACCAGTCCCAAAAATTCCTTAAAAGGAGATAAAGATCCTGGAGAAGAGAGTGAAGCAGTGGATGGCAAGCTCTCTATCTTCATCCACAAGCGGGAGGACCAGTCATCCCATGAAGTTCTCCAGCCGTTACTAAGGTAACAGGGACTTAATAGCTACATGTCATCAGGCCCTATGCTGAGAAAGCCCTTTACATATGTTAACTGTCTCAGCCCTCTTAGCAATTCTAAGACGCAATCACTGCTACTGTCATCCCTGTCATTACACATGGAAAAACAAGCTGAGCTGAAAGGCAGACGCAGGGTCTCTATTCACAATTAACCACAGCTCAGTTCTGTCTCTCCAAACCCAACAGAGCGAAAGCCCTGTTGACAATGTACTGTTTGTGTTCGATGGAGAATTTACTGTGTGCCTTGGGCTTTGAGAAAGAATAATGCAAACAATGTTACTGGCATCCTTCAGCCATCAGTAAATTTGAAGATGCCATTGACTGAGGGGTGGAGCTGTAGTAAGATAAACTATTTTGAGGTTTTATTCATTGAAGTATGAATGATATGATTGCTCAAAGAAGTAGAAATATGTCATTACTGTCCAATGACCGCAAGCCTTTGGGGCCCTGTTAGTAGGATCCAGGACATGGGAAGGCCTGCCATAGAGCACAAGGGCCTGTAGAATAGGTGTTTATGTCTCAGATGGAAGAGTCATAAACACCTGCTCTACATGATTTGGTAACGGTTTCATCTTCATATTTGGGTCCCTTGTCTGCCATCGTGGCAACTGAAAACAGTAATAGGCTGCTGACATAAACTAAGCAGGTCTAGGGCAGATCAGTGCTTATGAAGAAATCTCTATAACAGATGTCTTGAGCATTGCAAAACATCATAGTATAAGTTTGGTGGCAGAGGAAGCTGAATTATTAAAAAGGGAGATCCATTCATTCACATCAAGGCATTGAATCCATGCTGTTGTTAAAATTCCCCTCACTTGGGGATTCAGATCACTTACTGAGTGTCCCCTGTGTGCTCGGCCTTCTTTATTGCAGGTTAGGTTATCAATTTCATTCAACTCTTTAGTCTGTGCATCATTTTCACATAGGTTTTTAATTATCCTTAAACTCTAAAAACAACTATTGTTTTAATTCCTTCAAGTCTATAATTAAGCAACATAAGATCATTTCCTTTTGGAAAAATTGAGTCTTAATGGTGCATTTTAAAAACCTGTAATGGTGGCCTGACCATTGCTGGAGGGCCCCACGGTATGCAGCCCCACCTTCAACTGAGCCAGTAATGTTGGTGTCTCTCTCCCCTCCCCTTTTCAGTAGCTCAGAAGGACGGCCCTTCCGACTTGGTACTGGTGCCAACATGGAGAAAGTTGTGAAAATGGATCGAGACATGACCAAGGTAACCCTGATATGCAGACACCTGCTCTGACAAGGCCCACAATTAAAGCACATTTGCTGTGCTTCAGGTTTTCACAAGACTTTTTTTAAATTTAAGTTCCCACAAGGCAGAGTGAGAAATTAAAGTCAGTAGCTTAACTGAGTCCATTTTCAAGAGAAGTAGTCAAAACCAATTTGTCATTAATGTTGAAATGTAAAAGAGAACCCTTAGTTTTGATGTACAAATTTTTTCTTAGCTCTGTTAAAAAAAATTTTACAGCTTAAAAATACTTTTAAAGCGATAATAGATGAATAGCCCATCAAAATATAAAAATATGCCCTGGCTCACAAATCACATCCTTCTATATATTTAAAGGTTAATGTGCAAATCAACCAAACAGCTAAATGACTAGTTGCTATGACAAACACTGACTGCAGGGGGCAGACGCTCAATGCAGGAACTGCCCCTTGGTAGTCAGTGCGATCCCACAGGGGGAACACTGCTCAGCCAGAAGCCCTGAGCAGGGCTCACAACTGGCAAGTGCAGCAGCGGTGGTGGAGCCTCTCCTGCCTTCACAGCAGTGCTAAGCATGTCTGACTGGCAGCAGCCGGGCATCCCTCAAAGGCTCCTGGACTGCAAGAGGGCACAGGCTGGATTACGGTGTGCGTGTACACGCTGCCCCTCCCAGTTCACAAATTTCGTGCATTGGACCTCTAGGAATATATAAATAAAGGAAAGGAATAAAAACAGTAATGTGTCATTTTCGCCTGGCTGATGGGAAAGTTAAGAAAGTTGGATAATACCCATTATTGTCAAGGTGAGGGTACAAAGGCATTCTCCAGTTTCCAGAGAAAACCATGGTCTTCACAGTTCTGTTTGTAAGTAACAAATATGATCTGTGTACACATACATACGGGATTAGTTGAAAAAATTGTTGCATGTCAATTTTACCTCAATTCTTTAAATTATTTTTTATTGTATATTCTATTGATTTTTTTGCAGAGAGGAAGGGAGAGGGATAGAGAGTTAGAAACATCAATGAAAGAGAAACATTGATCAGTTGCCTCCTGCACATCCCCTACTAGGGATGTGCCTGCAACCAAGGCGCCCTTGACCGGAATTGAAGCTGGGGCCCTTCAGTCTGCAGGCTAACGCTCTATCTACTGAGCCAAACCAGTTAGGGCTGTACCTCAATTATTTAAATCAGTGATTGCCAACCTTTCAGACCTCATGGACCATCAGTGGTCCATGGACCACTGGTTGACAACCACAGCTTTAAATTATAAAAATTTTAAAAATTGTTATATTCATATGATAAAATACTGTACAACTCTCAAAAAGAGTCAGATAACTCTTTATACCAATATAGGAATATATTCAGATATTTTGATAACTGATAGAAATAAATGGAAAAACTGTGTATAGAGTGATCCATGATAATGTAAGTGAGAATGTGCATGGAAAACATCTAGAAGACTAATAGTTTTCTCCCTCTAGGTGAGGACAAAGGATGTTTTGGGGAATTTCCCTTAAACAATATGTTAATATATGAAATTTTGAAAATGGGTTGGTTTGGTAGCTGGGCACACAGATTTCACAGAGTTTAATCATGAAAGGAGTGACATAGATCTCGAGAGCGTCTTCCATGCCCTGCAGGGTGGCTGCTGCGAGGTGGTCACAGAAGAGGCCGCTGCTGCTCTCCGAAAAGCAACCAAGTGGGCACAGTCAGGCCTCATCGTCAGTGTTGGGCCACCTGTGGAGTCGGTCAACCCAGAGACTGTGAGTGGCCTGTCCACAGGCGACAAGAAGAAAACTGCCCAGACCTCCATTTGCCGCGAGAGGAACTCTGAGCTTGCGAGGTAAGTCTTTTTATAGGGTTGAGCCTATCTACTCTCTTTTCACATTTACTTTGTGGTGGGTTTATTTTTAGAGTTTTAATTCCTTATCACCAATTGACCTGCTGGAAATGGGAACTGGTGGCTTAAAATACCACCTGAGGTTGTGATGGGCAAACGGGGAGGCACTCCTGGCTGAGAGGACACCTATAACCAGGGGCTTGTTGTTGTTTTAATGTGTTTTTACTTATTTTAGAGAAAGGAAGGGAGAGAGAAACATCTATCGGCTGCCTCCCATACTCAACTTGACCTGGAGTTGAACCCAAAACCTGGGTATGTACCCTAACCAGGAATCGAACCAGCGACCTTTCGGTGCACAAGATGATGCTCGAACAGCTGAGCCCATTAATTTTTCTCAGAGGCTTGTTATTCTGAGAAAGGTCACAAGCACAAACACTAGCTACAGTTTTGAGTGTTAATGAACTCTGGCCTTGCTGCCTTTACTTCTTCCAAACAATACTTCCCACCATCCCTGCTGTACACTTAGCTTCTTTCTGGGAGAGGAGTGGGTGAATGCATTTGTCAGGAGTCCCATGCCTGCAAGCAGTGCAGTTACAGGTGGTCTCCTCAATCCCTAGGTTTGCACAATCAAAATCGAAGGTTCATTGTTTCAGAGGAGTCTTAGTTACCAAAAAGATTTCTTCCTAATGATAACTTTCTTCTTATCAGTCAGTGAATTTTGACACCAACACTATAAAAGCCACTTCTTGACATTCTTAACCATGGCACTGGGCACTGACAATGTTCCCTGTTGGCACTTGCAGGACTGACCCTGTCCGACCCTTCATCAGTGGGCATGTGGCAAACAGCATGGCTGCAGAAGTGATCGCCCTGCTGCACAGCCTGCTAATGGCCCCTGAATCAAATGCTGCTCAGATATGGACCACAACAGCAGAAAAGGTCAGTGCGGTGTTGCTGCTAAACCAAGGAAGGAAACGAGGGTTCTTTTTGATTCATTCCTATCAAGGGACATTTTAGAAAAGCGAGATTTCCCATATGGGCCAATTATACTTGCTTCCTGTTTCCCCCTCAAATTTGCTTTGATTTAGTGGTTTCAACTCTGTTCACCAGTTCTAATCTTGGAGAAGACAGGACAGAGTTCTTAGAGAAAGAATGGCACCCCTTGATTCTCTTTCTTGCTTGTGTTTGAGTGTTGCCAACATTAGGAAATTGTGCAGCCTTGTTTATTGCATTTGTGAAGGTACTGGCTAAGTCTTACGGTGGCCTCTGAGCGCTCTGACAATAACGCATCATTACCAGTGTAGCTAGAGCTCTATGATCACTTCCCCTTTCCCATAGTCATCCTTCAGAGACGCTATGTACCATGTCCTAAAGGTAGTTGGGTGTGAGATGTAGGCAGTATGCTCTGACGGTTTTCCTTCAGATAAATTTTTGCTTTATTTTAGGGGTTTTATTAATACAATGTTTGTTTCTCCAATATTTTGAGGTTGTTTATTTCCAGTTCTGTCCAACTACCTTAGGCAAATATGGCAGGAATGCCAGGGGTCTTACCCTAATAGTTATTTCATGCCTCCCATACCCACAGTTACTTCAGTACGTGAAACCCAGTCACTGTTGTAGACTCTTCATCACCCTTAGTATCAAAACGACCAAAACTCCAGCTCCTCCTACATGGACTGCTTCTTATGTTTAGGTTTTGTCTCGGGCACTGATGTACATTCCACAATTGGGGAAATATGCAGAAAGCATTCTGGAAAACGGAAGCAGTAGTGGTAGAAAACTCGCCAAACTTCAGAGAATCGCCCGCCAGGCCGTCGCTGCGCTGTGTGCGCTTGGAGGCTTCAAAGAGACAATCAAGATAGGGTCTGAGGTTCAGGTAATCAGCCTCCATCTCCCCATATTGTTGTTTTGCTCTGCCTATAAGCATCCATTGATTAATTGACCACCTGTTGGGTAAAATCCTTGGTCCTTCAAGCTAAATAAGGAATCTGAGAAATGCATTCTAATTCACAGTGTTGCAGACTGAATATTAGAACATTATTATATGTTGTTAACTGTGATGTTGTAATACTTACGTCCTATGGTGTCTTTAGTGTTGGCAGTATTTTACAATTGAAATGTTGAGATTTAATTGAGATTAAATCATACTGTAACCACCTTGACATAAGGTTTTAGGGCCTGATATTTTAACTCATGTTCAGGACTTTGTATTATAATAACTGCTGATATTATATGATATCAGCATTATAATCAACTGTTACTGTAATGCCCTAATGACAGCTGTGAATTTACTCTTCCCATTTGTCACATGTAGAGCTACTTCCACTGTCGGAGCTGGTAGGTGGTGCTGATCCATCTGTGTCTCTAGGTTCTAGGCAGAGGAATATCAGGAAGCATCGGAGTAGTGGCTTCTATCAACGAACAGGAAGGTATAGCTACAGTCAGATTCCCACCCATAGACTGTAGAAAGACTTCGCAAGCATCAGACACACTGACTATTCCATTGTCTAGACTTTGTGTTCCAAGATCAGAGGTAAGGTGATTTTTAAATGCATTATAAAATGTCACTGCAAATGGTAACAGTACTATAATGAATAATGTGCACAGTACAGAAGTGCAAATACTTGATTATCTTGAATTTTACTCATGATGTGTATTTATATATTGGGAATAATTACTTAATAGTCACATTTGTGTGAAATTTGTTAACTTGATGCCAAAATGCAATTCTTTGATTAGAAATATTTCATTGTATAATATTTTTTATTATTTTGGTCTAGTTTGTAATTTTCTGTATGGTGACTTTATTTTTTTAACTGATAATTTGAGAATTAACTCCAGATAATAACACCCTCATTTCTTATAAACTAACTACTTGAATTTAACTTTTTGCCATGCCCCTCCCCCACCACCATCAGGCATTGCCTCTTCATAAACTGTCCATTACTGAGAAGGTAGTACAGGCAGTCCAGTCCATGTTGCTTCCTCAGGAGGGAAGTCTCTCTATTCATACCTCACTTCCTGCAACAGGAGATGGGTCAGCTCCTGTGATGGCAGTTGTTCGGCTCCTGGCTGAAATCAGAACAAGGTGAGCACCTTCCAGAGATCCCCTCCCGTGCCAAGGTGGTGTAGGCCGCAGAGGCAGGTCCTCGGTGAGCACCTGCACTCCAGGCTCGGCGGGTCCGATTCTGCACTTTGAAATAAAGTTTAGCTGTTCCCTTGAAAAAATAAAAAATAATCAAAATGTGACATATAGAATGAAGGCTCCCCTGATTTGCTTTGGTAAAGGAACTTTGTTCTCTCACAGGAATTCCTCTGTCACTTTGCCTTTTTTAAATGGTACAAGTCTACTTTAGTTCATATCTAGTTCATCATTGTCCAGACTGACAATGAGAAAGCTAGGGAATTCGCCACAAGTGTTGGTGTTGGAAAGAAGAGCAGTCTTTTCCTGCAAATACATCAACTTACCATTAAGCAAGAGAAACAAGTTTTGCTTTTGATAATGAGACTTCTCAGAAAGCTTTCATATGTACTTTGATTCAGGTGAGAGTCAGAAAAATACAGATATTCCAAGTGTTTGGATTCCGCTTGTTCCCATGCAGCACAGTTTAGGAAATGCTTTTTGGAGACAACTCTAATTTCTCCCCTGGCACTTTGTGTCTCCATTTAATGGAGGTGACAACCATTTTTCCCTTTTCTGATTGTCCGTGCAGTGTCAGCAGTTACCATGTGGGAAAAGATAAATTACTTAAGAATTTCCAAACCAATCCAGCTCAGAAAAAATGCAAGAGGAAGGGGGAGTTTGAACCTTGTAAATTGGGGGACAAAATTGATTGAAATGTTTTTCACAGTTGACTTTTTAGAGAATGAACATTGATGACTTTGAAATATTGTAAATCTTTTAACATTAAGAGCATGCCTGGTCATGGCCCAGCTTTTAGAAGACAGCTTATTTTGTGAAGAATTCATACAACAGTGCCCAGCAGCTGTTGAAGTTCTAAACCTGGTAGCCCAGGAATGCAGTGCTGGTGAGTACCTGTTATGGAAAGTATTTATCTTATGGAGTCTTGTCAGCACATTACTTGATAATGAAAATTAAACAGTTTTCATACACACAGCCATCAAACAGCTGGATTCTACAGACAATACTTATCACAATTCACTTTCATCCCAGATCTAGAAATGGAAATAAAAAGCTTTCAGTGTATATCATATAGGAAATCAGCATTTTTCAGTCTAACTTTAGGGCCATGTCAAAGTGGGTTTTTTCTCCATTCATATCAATTCATTGCCTTTATTTCCCTATTAGAACTATTTATGAATGGTCCTTTGGGCTGCACATACCTTATGACTATTGTGATTGACTACATTTGAATTCAAAATCAGGAGTTTGCACTGACATCCATCTGTGTGTGTGTGTGTGTGTGTGTGTGTGTGTGTGTGTGTATGTATGAAAAAGTTTAAATAGATACAAAAATAGGAAGGTTAATATAATGAACCCTCATGTTCTCATCACCTCGTTTCAATAGTTATCACCTGTAGCCAACCCTGTTTCATCCATGCTGTACCCTCCTGATTGTTTGAAAGCAAATTCTTAGGTATTATTTTTTCCATAAATATTTTAGTATGTGTCTCTAAAATAATAAGGACTCTCAAAAAAATAACCACGATACCATGATCACATCTAAAAAATTAACAGTAATTCTTTTAATATTATTAAATATCTAGTCATTGTTCAACTTTTTAATTCTCTCAAAAAGTCATACTTGTTTTTACATACGTTTATTTGAATCAGGATTCAAGCAAAGTTCATATACTGTAATTTATTTCTATGTCTTTTAAATTTCTTTTAAAATATTGATTCCCCTTAGTATCTTTTTTCCCCTTTGCAATTTATTTGTTGAAAGGTTTCCCACAGTCTGGATTTTGCCGATTGTATCCTAGTGGTGTCATTTAATATGTCCCTTTGTCCTCAAATTTCCTGTAAATTGGTTGTTGGTTTGGGTGTTTTTAAGTGAAAGTTTATGCTGGTCCCCAAGGATATAACTGGATCCTGTATGAAATTGTTCCCAATTAGGTTGGCATTCATCCCTCAGTGTTCTAGTGCTAGTATTCTCATGAACTATAAGGAAGAAATTAATCTTTCACTTCCTTAATAGTTCTTTTTATAGTTTAAGTTTATGCTTTTTTTTTAGCCATTTTTATTCATATCAGTTACTATTTCTCATTTTCATTTGCTTTTTCAGTAACTAATCTTATTTCTGTCCTTGAATTTTTGTCCTTTTTCACATTTGACTTTTACTGGTTTGTTTCTGCTTTTTATTTTTATTTATTTTTTTAATATATTTTATTTATTTTTTACAGAGAAGAAGAGAGAGAGAGAGAGAGCTAGAAACATCGATGAGAGAAATCATCGACCAGCTGCCTCTTGCACAACCCCCATCGGGGACGTGCCCGCAACCAATGTACATGCCCTTGACTGGGATCGAACCTGGGACCCTTCAGTCCACAGACCAACGCTCTACCACTGAGCCAAACCGGCTTCGGCTGTTTCTGCTTTTTAATTAGTCTTCATTCTATATCTGTTTTACTTCTCAAATCTCCTTTCTCTAATAAGCATAGTGCTGTGGAGGCAGGGACTATTGTTAAAACTCAGAGAGACCCTGAGAATAGAAAAATATAATAGAAGAAAGGAGTTTGCTAGACTTCTTGGGTGAAATTACTTGTGACTAATTTTTGCCCATAATTTTGTGTTATACTAAATTTTAGGTCCTTTGTTCCCTGCCTCTCCCTTTTAACATTCTCAGTTTAGGTTGCATATAGGACATTTTAAAATGATTTTAGCAAGCATATAACTTGCTGAATTAATTGCTTGCTTTTCTATAGGGCTCTTTGAGTATCCTCTTTTATATATTTTATGAAATAAAGAGGACTCATTTGTGAAATTAATTTTGGTACTTAATGCACAGGCTAGTAAGTATAATAATTTAGAGCAGTGATCTCAAATGGTTTTACTAATAACCACCTAACCCTTTTTTCCTACTGGAAAATAACTGTGGTAACAGAAGGTTGGAAAGAAACATATGAGAAGTACTACAAAAGAGAAAACTATTAGCTTATCGATTTATATTGTAAAATAGCACTTTATGTTGTATAATATTAAGATGTTGACTTCTCGGTCGTTTACCTATAAAAAACAACTCTTCCCACCCCTAGCATCTGGGTTACTTTGCAACACAACAGGGGATTCTCACATCCTACAAGGAGCCATAAACTGTGCTTAAAAGAAATCATGTTTAATAAAGAGGATTCAAGGTGATAGGTAGAAGAGAAAATTCTTTGATTTTGATTTTGATTTTAACTAGAGGCCCGATGCACAAAATTTGTGCAAGGGCTCAGCCCTTGCAGCCCCGGCTGCCTCGAAGCCTCACAGCCCCGCCCACTGGTCGTTCTGGAAGGTTGTTCTGGAAAGTCATTCGTTATCCAGCCTAATTAGCATATTCGCTCTTTATTATATAGGATTATTTAAAATGTGTTGATATTTTTTTATTTCATATATGAAAATGTTATAACATTTATAGGCAACAATATATTGAGTGTCTAAAATTAAGAAAAAAATTTTAATGAATTCCTTCTATTATTTCACTTTATCTGGGATGTATTAAGCAGCAGATTTGCCATTATATTAACTAAGTCATATCAAAATTGTATAGCTTCTTTGATCCAAGGAAAGAGTATCTAATTTCATCTGATCTAGGAAAAGAGCACAACAGAACTTTTTCCCATGAAGCAATATCCCTGAGAAGTTAACTTGATCCCTTGATTGAAATAGCATAGGGAACAAATTTTAAAACTGAAAAAAAAAAAAAAAGAAAGAAAGAAAAAGAAACGAAAAAAAAGTCCTCAGTTTTAATTTGTACTCTTACAGAAGCCAGACTCTCTCAGGTTCAGCTGCTTCCTCTTCTTCCTAAATACACACATTCCCAGAGCCAAAGGTTTTTCTCAAACTTTGAAAGTTCATAGGATCCCTGGGAAGCATGTTAAAATGCTGTCCAAGCTCTAGCCAAAAGTCACAATTGTAGGTTGTCGGCGGATCTCATCCCTCACTTGAAGGAACAGTGCTCTGAATTCCCCTGACCCCCCTCCTCAGCCTGCCTCTCCTGTGCTGTCAGGCTTCCCTGTGGACAGTCCTTCCCTGAGACCCAGCCTGGCAGCTTAATAAAAAGTGTTTATCAAAAGTAGCTGGGCCCTTTATGAGTAATTAGTTTACATTTATGTAATGGACTCCACCAATCCTATAACTACATAGTTTCCTTCTTTAACTTGTCCAGTGGGAAACAGATCTGGACTTGTGCCTTCCAGGTGTAGTTAAAGGACAGAGAGTGCACACCTCGTGGCCTGGCCTCACTCCTGCCTCCACTTTGACCCTTGTGCTTGGCCTCAACTTCCCTTCCATTTTCTAATCCATACCTAATTCCATTTTCCATTGTGTTGGTGTCTATAGCTATGGTACAAGTCAATAAAGTTTTCTTGCTATTATCCTAAACAATTCTGTTTTACTTTTATTGGATTTCATTTTATTCCTCCTAAGGCATCTTTTTTTAAAAATTGAGTTATAATTAATTTACCATACATTTTATCAGTTAAAAGTGTACAGGTCAGTGGGTTTTAATATATTCACAGAGGTGTGCCACCATTACTACTGTCTCTAATTCCAGAACATTTCCATCCTCCCTCCCCCCAAAAAACCTTGTACCCATGACACAGTCATTCCTCATTATCCCACATTGCTCTGCTGCTAAGCTATGTGTATTAGGCAAAGATGTCTCAGGGCATTTGCTCTTTTGTTAGGATTTGAATCATCTCTGCAAGCATTATTTTGCTTTGACCCTTCTCCAAAAAAGGTGGAGCGCTTTTGGGGGTTGTAAGACTCGTTTTCATTTATTCGATGTATCCCCTCCAGGAGAGCGACTGGCAGTTGTGGAGGTGCAGTGTGAGCGGCTGAGGATGCTCTACCGGGACTGTGCTAGGCCCCCACCGCCACCCCTGCAGGCTGACCGGAGACAGGTGAGCCCGCAGGACCACACCGCCGGCCTGACCGCAGCGCTGGACATGGAAAATGCCAACTAGCGCTTCAGTAGAATTTAGACTGAGCATTTGAAAGCCATTTGGAGGTGTATATTCTGCAGGGACTTACTGTCCTCTTTGAATGTCAAAGCATATTGTTTTTGTCATTCTGAATATGGAAGAATTACATTAGAGGAGCAGAGCTCATTAACTTGTACATTTTAATGTCATCAACAACAGAAAAAGAACACTTTTTCAAAAATGTTAGATCTGTAGCTGATCTCATAAAAATAAGACTATGTAGAGAGAGAATAAGAGCGAGATTAAAAAGCAGAAGTTGCAAAATACTAACAATTGCTATATCTGTGACTTTCTAGCAGCACTATTCATAATAGCCCAAAAGATGGAAACAACCTAAATGTCCATCAACTAATGAATGAATGCATAAAATGTGATGTATCCATTTGTGGAATATTATGCAGCCTTAAAAAGTAATGCTGCAGTAATACATGCTATAATATGGGTAAACCTTCACATTATGCTAGGCAAAAGTAGCCAGTCACAGAAGATCACATGTTATATGATTCCATATGAAATTCCCAGAACAAGCAAATTCATAGACACAGAAAGCAGATTGATGGTTGTTACGGGCTGGGGGGAGGGTCAGATGGGGAGTAACTACAAATGGGCAAAGGTTTCTTTTAAGGGGGACAAAAATTTTCTATAATTAAGTCGTAGCGATGGTTGCACAACTCTGTGAATATCCTAAAATAACATTGAATTGTACACTTTAAAGGGGTAAATTATATGTTATATGAATTACAATATATTTCAAAAAAATAAATGCATTATAGTAAGAGTATATAAAAATTATAGTAGTATTGTGGGCGTGAAATTATTTCAAAATCAAAAGCTTAAAAAAATATATAAAAAGTAATGTCACCGGAAACCTCATCATTTCCGATTGCCTATAATTTCTATTTAAATGGGCTTCTGCAGTCCATTCAGTTTTGTGTCTAGCTTTTCCTTTTCCATAGATGAGTATATTTCCACACCAACTAATAAAAACTGAATAGTCCAGCATATATTATACTTGTGCCTCAGTTTACTCACTCAAGCTCTTTTTGTTGCAAATCCATATGGTTTCCAGTTTTTGCTCTGATAGTGATCTGCATGTCCTTCAAGCTCACCTTCACATGAATCTTTTAGTTCTTTCTTTAGAATAAAAGTGAAATGGAGGGGTTTTTAAAAATATGCTTTCATCTGATAGAAAAGCTTGGAATTCTATGATTAGATTTATTAAAAACTATGAAAGTGAAAAAATTAGGCAATTAATTTAACCAAGAAGAAAGGGAGTATTACCATAAAACTCCTTTTTTTTTTTTTTTTATTTGAGCTGATATAAATTCTGAATACCAATTGAACCAGAACTTGTCCTATGACTGCACTGGGAGGATGAGGGGTGAGGACCTGTGTTCTGTACATGTGTGTCAGGAGAAGTAGGTCAGTGAGAATTGAAACCTCTCTGTCATAATAGAGGATAAATGATGTCTTAACGGGATATTAAAAATAGTGTCATAAGCATAGAAGGAGAAATATAGAAGTAAGATCAGAATTAACAGTTAAAAGAGTTACAAGTAATTATTTTGAGAGAGCAGGACTGGGCTTAGGGAAGGAGACTGCTTTTCTTAAATAAAGAAAAGTTCCCTTTGGTTAAAAAGAGATCGTTATTTAATGAATATTTTTCTTCTTTGAGAGAGTGAAGGGATTTGTATTTGCAATTCTATTGAGTGAGAGTTTTTCCCCAATGCAGCCCAGAGAGATAACCTGGAGCGCCTCGAGAGTGTTCCCACCTGTGCGAGCCTGCATGTTCTCATCGCACCTGACATCCGTCACCTTCCTGGCTGACCCCAGCGCCGGGGGCGGTCTGCCCCGGGGCACCTTTATCTACGCCACCTCACCACTGCCAGTGCAGGTGAGAAATCACATGACATACTGGCTTTTGCCTCTTTCAACTTTGAGAGAAAAAGCAAGTTCAGCTCTCTGATTGTCTGCCCACTTCTGGTGTTTCTTCAGGCCCCATCTTTTTACTGGGAAATAGAAATTGTTTCCTATGGAGATACTGATGACGACACTGGACCAATAGTTTCCTTTGGCTTTGCTACAGAAGCAGAGAAACGAGATGGGGCTTGGACTAATCCAGTGGGCACTTGTCTTTTCCACAAGTAAGTGGCTACTATTGCTGTTACTTTAAAAAAAAAAAAAAGTAGTGGAATGAGTGCTTTAATACTAAAGTAATATCATTTTAATCTCTAACCCCCAAAATGTGTAAAATACTGTTTGAAAATATGTTCATGTTTAGGGAATGAGAATGGCTCCTAGGATTTCTCTAATTACTCTCATGCCACCGAATCCCCTGCACCTGCGCACTACTTCCCAACCCCGTGTTGGCGGGTTAGCATTGTCTTTGACTCCTTGTTTTTCCAGCAATGGCCGGGCTGTGCACTACAATGGCTCCAGTTTATTGCAGTGGAAGAGCGTTCGCTTAGACGTGACTCTCTCTCCTGGTGAGTGCAGCAGGAGCTTCTTTCCCACCTTCTGTAGGTCTGAAACTAAATAAACTTAGCAACTGGAAACAGTCAATTTGTCTTGTAGTGAAAAGGAAATACTTGTCATTGTTCTCTAGTGTACACCAACCCTATCATTTTATAAGGACATTGTCTAGAGCAGGCGTCTTCAAACTACGGCCCGCGGGCCACATGCGGCCCGCAGAGGAGTCTGATCCGGCCCGCCAGGTTTTTTGGGCAGTGAGCGTAGCCGAGGTGTTACAGTAGGGAATTAGTAGTTCATATAGTCCGGCCCTCCAGCTCTCTGAAGGACCATGATCTGGCCCCCACTTTAAAAAGTTTGAGGACCCCTGGAGAGCCTCCTGGGGGTAACTTAGGAGTCACATTTACTTTTGTTCCTCCATCATAAGAAAATTCTGAGATTTCACTTCTCTCTGAAGTTTGGTCTTTCATCAATTTGTTATTGATGAGCAGATAAATAGCTTCAGAAAAAGAGAACTTGCCCAGTCAGCATAGCTTTGTGGTTGAGCATCAACCTATGAATCAGGAGGTCACAGTTCAATTCCTAGTCAGGACACATGACTGGGTTGCAGGCTCAATCCCCAATGTGGGATGCACAGGAAGGAGCCAATCAGTGATTCTCTGTAATCATTGATATTTCTATCTGTCTCTCCCTCTCCCTTCCTCTTTGAAATCAACAATATATACACATATATATCCTATCTAATAAAGAGGGAATATGCTAATTGACCCTCATGCCATCTCAAATATTGTGGCACCCACAGTCAATAGGGAGGGAATATGCTAATTGACTATCCTGCCTTCAAAGATGATGGTGCCCACAGACACAAGATGGCAGTGCCAAGTCCCCTCAGCCCTGCCGGGGTGGCAGGTGCATGGCAAGGCCAGGCCTGCTTGAGGGTGGGCCCAGCTGCTCCGCACACTTGCCTCCAGAGTCCCCCAATCCCCTTACCTCCCCCAGCCGCCCAGGGCCCGCCCAAGGTGCAGGTAACAAGGGCGGGCCAAGGTTTGCCCTGCCAGCAGTAGCAGCAGCAAAGGTGTGATGGAGCGTCACCTTCCCCGGATCACCAGGTTGCCTCCAGACCCTGAGGGCTCCTGGACTGTGAGAGGGGGCAGGCCAGGCTGAGGTAACCCCCTCTGGTGCATGATTGGAGGCAGGCCCAGCCTAGCTGTGCACCTGCCGCCCCGGTGGGGCTGAGAGGACTGGGCACTGCCATCTTGTGGCTGTAGGCACCATCATCTTTTAGGGTGTGGCATCCAGTTAGCATATTTTCTTCTTATTGGTTGTGGGAGCCACCATCTTTGAGGGCGGGGCATCAATTAGCATATTCCCTCCTTGGCTGTGGGCACTGCCAGTTTTGTGATGACACGAAGGTCAATTAGCATATTCCCTCTTTATTAAATAGGATTAGAGGTGCATGGGTGGAGTCCCTCAGCCTGGCCAGTGATCAGGGCTGATTGGGGAGTCTCACCTAGTTCAGGGTCAATCGGGGCCAGCCGGCCTGGGGGAAAAGGCCTGGGAAGTTGGCCTGATATGGGAGGAGGGGCTGTAGGAGGTTGGTCAGCTGTGGAAGGCTCCTGCATTGAGCCTCAGCCCCCTGGTGGTCAGTGCACATCATAGCAATCAGTCTTTCTGGTCATTCCACTATAATGGTTTCTTAGACTTTTATTTTTTATATATATATATAATTTTTTTTTTTTTAAGGAGAATCCACTACTAGCCATGAGGTATTTGTGAAATATACAGGAAATATAGACTTTGCTCTTGGTAGCCTGAACATCTGGTCCAGTTTTAACAAATATTCTGCCCAGATGTTTCAGTCACATAGATAGTCAATTCAATTAAAAACCAATCTTTTGCCAAAACCGGTGTGGCTCAGTAGATAGAGCGTCGGCCTGCAGACTCAAGGGTCCCGGGGGTTCGATTCTGGTCAAGGGCATGTACCTTGGTTACAGGCACATCCCCAGGTGTACAGGAGGCAGCTGATCGATGTTTTTCTCTCATAGATGTTTCTAACTCTCTATCCCCCTTTCTTCCTCTATGTAAAAAATCAATAAAATATATTTAAAAAAACAAACAATCTTTTCCTCCCTCCTTTTTTTTTTTTTTCCTCCATGTAAGTAATAATCTGTGTAGTAATAAATTGGGATCAGTCCTACCTGCTCCAGCAGTAGCAAAATAGAGGCATTCTTCTCACATTAGAAGCAGCCAAACATATTGGCTACGTATTTTCAGACAGGACATCTTAGCATCGTCTCTGATTGAACTGACTATTCCCTACTGGGAGCCAGTCCTAGTGTATCTATAATAAAACATATGAGGCCCTATGATGAAAAATAGAATCACAGAATTTCAAGCACTTATTGGAGAGTTTGCAACAATAGGTTAGTTAGAAAGCTCCTGTGCTAGCAGCTTCTGGAAGTGGGAGTGCAGCTATAGGGGACACGCTCTTCTTGGGCCTCTAAGTTCTATCCCAGTTCCCAGGAACCTCATGAGAAAACAGCAGGGATTCTGTTGTCATAGCATCCTGCAAAAATGCCTTAAATGCATGTAAGTAAGGGGCGCTTCCATGGAGTACCTTTAGGTTATATTGTGGCTTGAGTTTTAAATTATTTTAAGATCATCACTTAAGTCTTCTACAACTTTATTAAGAAATTACCTTTTACCTTTATGCCATAAGTAATCTTCCACATATAAAAAGAAAAAAATGTATATTCCTCCATTTAAAAATCACACCCATTGTTTTCCATTTTTGTCTTGGTTGCCAGGAAAAGGCTAAATTTAATGTATAATAGTGGTAGCTAGCTTAACTCAGACACTAGGCGTTTTGCTTCTCCTAAACATTTTCTTTTTAAATTTGTTTATTTCTACAGTAACTTTTTTTCTTTAAATACAATCGGTTACTTCATGTGTTTTTCACATGTAACCAATGCATAAATAAATAAGACGAAGATAGTCAGTGATATGTGGATAAAACGAAGATAGTCAGTGATATGTGGCCTTGTCACACTAGTTGCAATTCGGAAGTTTATTTAGTAGTAAGAGGGGGAAATGTTGTTTATTTCCTGCTCTCTGCCACAGGCGATGTGGCAGGAATTGGCTGGGAGAGAACAGAGGGGACTCCACCTCCTCCGGGGCAGCCAGCCAAGGGCCGGGTGTACTTCACCTACTGTGGGCAGCGCCTCTCACCTTACCTCGAGGACGTCTCTGGCGGCATGTGGCCTGTGGTTCACATCCAGAAAAAGGTAGGTTATCTTGTTGGGATGGAAAACAAATTCTGCTTTTAATTTTGATGATGCTCAACGACATTGGAGGGGGAAATCCACTTTACCAAGTCCACAGATTCAAATGGGTTTCTCACCTGGAAAGTCCCTCCCAGACATGTCCAGCAAGAATGTCTAATCTGGGCACCCATGGCCACCAGGCAAGCTGCCGCATAGACTGGTCATCACAGTGCACTGGCACATTGTAGACTTGATGAAAGCAATGCCAAGCAAACCTGATCGTGTCTCCATTACCCTGAGGAAGTATATATATTCCACAAATGCTTTACTGGGCAAAATTGGAAGAAAGTATGTTCCAGGTGAAGGGAACAGCATATGCAGTGACATATTAGAAACAAGAAAGGTCACTGTGACCCTGACCAGTTTGGCTCAGCGGATAGAGCGTCAGCCTGCGGACTCAAGGGTCCCAGGTTCGATTCTAATCAAGGGCATGTACCTTGGTTGCAGGCACATCCCCAGTAGGGAGTGTGCAAGAGGCAGCTGATGGATATTTCTCTCTCATGGATGTTTCTAACTCTCTATCCCTCTCCTTACCTCTCTGTAAAAAATCAATAAAACAGAAAGGTCACTGTGTGTAGCAAAGAGTGTGAGAGTGCAAGGTGAGAGTAGGCAGGGCTGGCTTCTACAAAGCTCTAGTGCCAGGTACACAGTTATACTGGCCCGTTGGCCTAGTTTCACTTGCTGTCCCATAATGAACATTGGGCCATTCTTAAGGTTTGACATCGGTGAGGGTCACCTCAGGGAGTTAAAAATAAGTAAATAAGCAAACATCCTTTATTGGCTGTCTTTTCCAGAACACCAAGACTCGAGCTAACTTTGGCTCCCGCCCATTCGCCTATGCCGAAGGGCAGGCGCACCGCAACGCTGCTGACTTGTGCACTGACCTGGCAGAGGAGATCAGTGCTAACTTTGAGGCCCTGCCCTTTGCCATGGCATCTGACAGTGACAACGATGCTGGCACCAGTGTTGCATCAGACCCAGGCACTCATGGGCCACCGTGCAGGATTGCCGCCGTGGCCACCCCTCAGCAGCGTAAGCCACCTCCTCCCAGGGCCCCCCTGCATTCTGGGAATGCAAATGCTGTTAGTCAGTTTAACTTGGGCTCGTTCTGGTACCCGTGGGAATGGGGTAACTGGCCCAATGAAAGGAAATGGGGATAAGGAGGAAGCAAGGCAGACTTGAAAGTGATCCCTCCCACCCCCATAGAGGAAACTTGCCGTCACTCAGTGCCACATGGAATGTGGCCACGTGAAAGTGCAAGCCTGCAAAGTTGTCCATTTTTTATGAAATAAAAACCCCAGAATTTTTTATGAAACCTCCTCATTTAAAAGTGTTAATCATTTCTTTGAATTGTTTTAAAACTGAGGTCATCAAAGAATAAAAAGCTGATTGTGGAAGCTTTCTATTATTTGAAATTTTTCATAATCAAACTGAATAAAACTGAGTTTTCTGAACTAAAGATGTCTGCGAGTCATATTGGGCCCTTAGGATACTGGTTTGCAAACTGTCTTAAGTATTTTTTTAATTTTTATGGTGAAGAAATTTTTAGATTCTTCCCTGAGTTGAATTATACCCATTAGACCTATCGCAGGACTCAGGGTAATTATAAATAATTAGTTATTTCTTGGCTCTGCACTTGAAAATCCCTACAAATACTAGGAGTCTTTCTATCACATACATTAAGAGAATCCGATTTGCCCATGGTGAGAAGTGCATGATTCTTCCAGCCTGCTCTTGCCTGGAACTCACTGCCATTGTGCTTTATTACAGAATATGACAGCGACACATCCTGTCATTACAAAGTAGAGCTCAGCTATGAGAATTTCATCACCTCTGGCCCAGACCCCCACCCCCCTCCCATTGCAGATGATGAAAGTGATGATGATGACGATGACGACATCCCACAGGTAAGAGGCCTGTAGCATCCACTTAGCTTGCTGGTGGCCAGGACAGGCCAGGAGAGATGGTTTTGATCCGGGCACACAAGACTGGAATTGTTACACTTTGAATGATGTCATTGGGTTTCAACAGTGCCTTTGCAGTGTTTCTTTACACAATAGCAATAGCTTTTGGGCTCTTCGGCTCAATACTGATCTAGAGGTGTTAGAAAAATGCAGTATTTGATAGTAATCCCGCAATAAAGTTGGCTTTAGAGAGAAGGAAGTCTAGCTGTTGCCTCCCCTGGCATCGGAGATAAGGTGAGTTGTGGTCCACACACTGTGTTTCCTTTACTGGCCTGTGAGGGGGTGAGAGTTGTAAGTGCGAGCAGGACTGATGACTGCATGAAGCATTCTCTCTGATCGTGAGTCTGCCTTCCTCCAGGAGGACCACTATGCCCTGCTGGTGAAAGCGTGGGAGACCAAGGTGTTCCCTACCATCCGAAGGCGCTTCCGCAACGAAGCAGAGCGGAAGTCGGGCCTGGACCAGATCAAGGGTGCTCTGCAGCTAGGTCAGTGCTTCACGTTCTCCTGCGGAGACCACTCGTTGGTTAGAAGAGATGTGCTTAGTGACACTCAGAATGGAAAGCGGGAAAGAGGGTTCATCTAAATGTGGGCCGGCCCTCCCAGTGTCTTCTCGCTGAACCTTTACTCAGCGCTGCGGCCCTGAGTTCATTGCCAGGGTTTTCTCTCCTTGTCAGTTTCACCCAGTGTTTTCCAGTTTGTGGACTACTGAAGTGAAGTGTCCTGGTTGTACCAGGAAGCTGCATGTCCTGAAGTCACAGCTGTGCTATTTACCGGATGTGTGCCCTTGAACTTTCCTTACCTTTAAAATGGAGTCAGTAATGATAACCGCCTCACATGTATATGAGAAAGCAGTGAGTTAGTTCAGATAAAGTTCCTAAAAAACAGTGCCTCACACATGGTGAGTATTCCGTTAATATAGTTCTGAATGTCACAGTGATTCACAAGGTAAGATTTTTTTTCTCCCTGGCTACGACTTCTCCAGTGGAGAATGGCACAGGGGGTGGCCCCAAACAGTGGCTCATTACTGAAGCGTAAGTGTTTTTCCTCATTTTGTGAAATACGTGCTTTTTGAGATGCAGAAATGCCTTTTCCCTTCAGGCCTCACTGTCCTCCTGTGGAACATTGGTTTGGTTTTCTGTCATCATTGCGGCAGAGAGGGTGTAAAAAGTCAGTTACTGTGTCCGTGTTAGCAACTTTTCTCCTCTTTTGTCCTGAGATTAGGACCAAACAAAAAGAAAAGCCACCAAAAGACCTTTTCTTTTCTTTTCAATATATTTTATTGATTTTTTTTTTTTTTTTTTTTTTTTTTTTTACAGAGAGGAAGGAAGAGGGATATAGAGTTAGAAACATTGATGAGAGAGAAACATTGATCAGCTGCCTCCTGTACACCCCCTACTGGGGATGTGCCCACAATCAAGGTACATACCCTTGACCGGAATTGAACCTGGGACCTTTGATTCCACAGGCTGATGCTCTATCCACTGAGCCAAACCGGCTTCATCAAGACCTTTACTTTTCTTAGGCACTTCTATGCTGAGTCTCTGATTTCCAGTGATAGATGAGTAATTCCTTTTTCTCATTGGTGTCAGGACTTACCAGGGAGAAAGAGTGTATATGTGTTTCTCCACGTTTCTACCCCAAAGCTTAGACCACGACAGTGGAATGATCTTATTTAGACTTAACCTGTGAGAATATTCATGCATCTTGTGACATAGTGCGAAAGCTTCCTGCTCTTATTGGAGCCCTACTTGGGCTGCTGACCTAAATTCCAGGACAAATTCGTTATATTCTTCTCTTTTCTTCTGAATTTAGAGTTTTGGGCAGAGAGAGCACCATCAGAAAGATCCTTGGGTGGGAGTGAGCATGGGAGGGAACCGCAATAAGGCCTAGCCCAAGGAGCCAAAGAGGACAGGGTGAGGGAGGAGCAGCAGGAAATGAAGGAGAGGGAGCAGGGAGCAGTGTCAGCCGTGGCAAGGACTGCGGGTTTTATTCTGTGTCACATGGGAAGCCTTGAGAGTGGTAAGCAAAGGAGCAACATAACCTGATAGAGTAGGTCCTACAGATAAAAAGATAATTTTTTATTCCTCATTCATTCTCAACATCTGAACGAAGCACCATATCTGTGTTATATCAACCACAGAGCAGATCTTACCTTGCTTTCAGAGGACTTTCGTTTAATAAAAGGAATGCCAAGCTCCCACCTGGCAGCCTTGAAGCAGCAGCACCGGTCATCGGTCTTCCCAGTGAGGAGGGCTTTGTTTCGGTTGCATTTTTATTGTCATTGATTCATTCACATATCTGTCCATGCATGCATGTGCTCCCAGTGCTGGGCCCTGTGCTAGGGAATAAAGAATCCTCCATGAACAAGATGGAGATGGTCCCTCCTCTCAGAGCTTATATCCTTGTAGAAACAAGTAATGAAACAACAAACTGCATTGTCATAAGGACAGACCAGGAAGCCACTGCACAGGTGCCATGGGCAGCCCAGCCCAGCATGGCTCCTCCACTAACACGGGATTTAAGCTGAGACTTGGAGCTAATTTGGCAACTGCAGGATTAAGTTTAGAAAACTGAAACTCTATTTGTTCAGGAAGCTTGGCACCTCTTAATGTTTGGGGAGAGAGGAAAATAGGGGGAGAGAGACTTTACAGAATGTACAGGATCTTTTTGTTTTATTTTTACCATTTGTTCCTGGACCATCCTGAATGTCTATAGCCACGTGTGCCCTCTCCTCCTCTGCTCCCAGTTCAGAGGAGGGAAAGTATAGATAGCACAACAGAAAATGTGATTATCCAAGGGCAGCTGTTGGACCAGAGCCAGACCAGTGACTCACCTTGAGGGCCTTTGGGCCCTTATACATCTTGCTCAAGCATTCTCTTGGGATTCATCTGTATGACCATGGCCAACCAGCGGAACTATATTAATTTAAACTTGAAACATTTACCTGCCAAATACAACAGCCTTCAATATAGCCATGGCAGAAAGCCGAAGGAGGATGGGCAGGATAGGGAGATGGCTCATGGGGCCCAAAGACCACCCCTGAGAGGGTGAACCCATGGGAGGTTAATGAAGTCATCTCTTTATTGTTCTAGTTTCATTTGGCCTTCTCCCCAGTCCCCGGATTCCTGTTTAGTAGACAGCAGAGTCTTTTTTTCTCCTACCTTCTATTCCTTTGTGAAATGTGACAAATTCATTTTTCTGTAATTTTCTAATACTAGGCCCATTTCTTATTCTGTCTGATACATCTTTCTCTAAGCATCCTTCTCTAATTTCAGCCCCCTTCTAAAGTGTGCTCAGACAATGCTGCCCCTTTTCATCACAGCAAGGCCAATAAGTGAAAGAATGGTAGATACATGCAATGGCAATAGGCTCATTTAAAAGCAGATGCTGTCAGCACCCACTCTTTCACCCACAATCTCTTGAGCAGTATGGGAGCTAAGGCAGCTACAGAAAAGGGATACCCTTGTCCCCACTCTTGTCCTCCCTACAGTGTAATTGTCTTCAAGGCTCTGGTCATTTATTTACTTGGTTTATTAATTAACTAGAGGCCCAGTGCACCAATTCATGCACCAGTGGGGTCCCTTGGCCTGGCCTGTGGGGTCAGCTGAAACTGGCTCTCCAGCATCCCCTAAGGAGTCCTGGATTCTAGAACTAGTGCAAATCAGGTTGAGGGATCCCATTGGTGCACGATCAGAGCTGGAGAGGGATGTGGGAGGTTGGGAGCTGGGAGGGACCATGGAAGGGCCCCAGGGCATGTCTGGTCTGTGTCATTCAGTCCCAATTGGCCAGACCCCAGCAGCAAGCTAACCTACCAATTGGAGCATCTGCCCCCGGGTGGTCAGTGCACATCATGGCTACTGGTCCACCGGTCAACTGTGTGCCTCCTGGTGGTCAGTGCACGTTATAGCAAGCAGTTGAGTGGCCTTAGCAAATCATTAGCATATTATGCTTTGATTGTTTGAACAATCAACCAAACAACCGGGCATATAGCATATTTGGCTTTTATTATATAGGGTAGTGGCTGTGCTATTGAACATAATGATAGGTTCTCCCCAGGGAAGGAAGACAGAGCAGATTCCAGTCCTGGATGGAAGTTATGTAGCTCTGTCTCTCTTCACTAAACAACATGTGTTTATTGTAGTAAAAATCAGACTCACGCCCAACTGGCATGGCTCAGTGGTTGAGCATTGACCTATGAACCAGGAGATCATTGTTTGATTCCCAGTTAGGGCACATACCTGGGTTGCAGGCTCAATCCTCGGTGTGGGGTGTGCAGGAGGCAGCCAGTCAGTGAATCTGTCTCATCATTGATGTATCTCTCTCTCCCTTTCCCTTATTCTCTTAAATCAATAAAAATGTATTTTTTAAATATCATATTCATACAAAAATGAGGGGGAAAACATTACCCTTACTTTCTTCTTTCTCCATTTGTCCTAGTTTGTTCTTTTGTGAACAAAAGGACATTAACTAAAGTGAAATGACTGCATAATGACCTTTCATTTTTAGTCATGCTGTGTTCATGAATATTTTTGTTATTTCCATTGTTTCTTTATAAGCAATGCTGCACAGAGTGTTCTTTGCACACTAGTGTGTTTCTATGGGAGTTATTAGAGATTCCTGGAAGTGACGCATTAAGTATTTTCAATTTGGTAGACTCTTTATAATTACCTTCCCCAAAAGGCACCATATTCCCAATTCCCACCAACAGTGGTTTTGTTTTTGTTTAAATATATATATAATATTTATTATTGATTTCAGAGAGGAAGGGAGAGGAGATAGAGATAGAAACATCAATGATGAGAGAGAATCATTGATTGGCTACCTTCTGCACATCCCTTATTTGGGATCGAGTCTGCAACCCAGACAGGTGTCCTTGACCAGAGTCAAAACTTGGACCTTTTAGCTGGGACAGGTTTGGCTCAGTGGATACAGCATCAGCTGAAAGGTCCCAGGTTCGATTCCGATCAAGGGCATGTACCTTGATTGCGGGCACATCCCCAGTAGGAGGTGTGCAGGAGGCAGCTGGTAGATGATTCTCTCTCATCGATGTTTCTGGCTCTCTATCCCTCTCTCTTCCTCTCTGTGAAAAATCAATAAAATATATTTAAAAATTAAAAAAAAAAAACTGGGACCCTTTAGTCTGCAGACTGACGCTCTATTCACTGAGCTGAACTGCCTAGGACTGTTTTAATATATTTTTATTTATTTTAGAGAGGAAAGGAGAGAGAGAGAGAAACATCAATGAAATGACGAGACAATCATTGATCAGCTGCCTCCTGCATGCCCCCTACTGGGGATCAAGCTGTAACCCCAGCATTTGCCCTTGACCAGAATCAAATCTGCAGGCCCTTTCTCTATCCACTGACCCAAACTGGCTAGGGCACCACCAATAGTGTTTGAAAGATTCTCTTATTGTTTCATTCTAGAAATAAGTCAGTGTCATGGTTGGCCTGAAGATCATGTGCTCTTTGGGGAGTTATCAGTGCTGTTTTATTTTTTAGGAATGGTGGACATTGCCCGACAGACGGTTGAATTCCTCTACGAGGAGAATGGTGGCATCCCAAGAGACCTTTACCTTCCTACCATTGAAGACATTAAAGATGAAGCGAACAAATTCACAATTGATAAAGTTCGAAAAGGTTTTGCTTTCTCCCTTACTTCACCTATGAAACATCCTATGAAATGAGAAGTTGAGTTTTCCCAAGCATGAGCATGAGCCAAGCAGCTGCTGGCTCTCCTAGGGTGACTCTCCTCACTCTGAGTGACATGACCTCTTCCTGGCTCTCCCATGTTAGACCCTAAAGTTCCTGGTGGGGCACAAGTAGACACCTGTCTGGCCTCTGGTGGCCTCTCGCACATGCTCAGGGCTCACTAACCTGAGCAAGGTGGGACAAGGCAGTGGTACAGAGAGAGGAGTGGGGGGTGGCAGGCAGAGGGTTCTCAGGCTTACGGTAGTCCTGGTAGCTGAGCTAATAAACCAGGAATATGTGGTTGTATTGTGTTTTTTAGAATTTTCATAGAATGAGTATAAACTTTTGATTAAAAATCTATGACACATTTTGAGGAAATGAAAATATGAAAAAGCACAAAAAAGAGAATTTAACACCACTCATTAGACCTTCACAAAACTATTTGAACATCATGGGCAGAGGCAGGAATATATATTTACCTTTCTTTGTCTTCTGATTTGAAATCTAATTCATATACCATAAAGTTTACCTTTTTAAAGCATACAATCTAACAGTTCTTAGTTTATTCACAAAGTTGAACAATCATCAAACCATTACATCTAATTCAAGAACATTTTCATTTCCCAAAAAGGGAATCTGTACCCTTACTCCTCCCCATTCCTCTCTCCCTTAGCTCTGGCAATTATTAATCTACTTTCTGTCTCTGTAGATTTGCCTGTTCTGGAAAGTTCATATACTGTAAATGGAATCATACAACATGTGATCTTTTGAGTCTGGCCTCTCATACAACATAATGTTTCAAGTTTCATCCATGTTGTAGCACATGTTGGTACTTCATTCCTTTTTATGACAAAATAATATTTCATTGTATGGGTATTACCTTATTTTGTTTATTCATCAGATGATGGGCATTTGGGTTGTTTCTACCTTTTGGCTATGAACACTTGTGTACAAATTTGTATGTGAATACATATTTTTATTTCTATATGTAGGAGTGGAATTTCTGGTTCATATGGTAGCTTTACGTTTAACTCTTAATATATATATATATATATATATATATATATATATATATATATGTATGTATTTCTTTATTGATTTCAGAAAGAGAGAGAGAGATAGAAACATGAATGATAAGAGAGAATCACTGATTGGCTGCTTCCTGCATGCCCCCTACTAGGTACGAGCCCGCAACCCAGGCATGTGCCTTTGGCCGGAATCAAACCTAGGACCCCTCAGTCTGCAGGTCCATGCTCTATCCACTGAACAAAACCAGCCAAGGCTATGTTTAACTTTTTGAGGAAATGCCAGATTATTTTCCAAAATGATTGCACCATTTTACATTTCCACCAACAATGTATGAAGGTTCTAATTTCTCCACATCCTTGTCAACACTTACTATTGTCTGGATTTTTATTATAGCCACCCTAGTGGTTGTGAAGTGGTTTTGACTTGCATTTCCCTAATGACTAATGATGTTGGATACCTTTCATTTCTCTTTGGAGAAATTTTTATTCAAACCTTTGCCCATTTTTAATTGGCTTCTTTGTCTTTTTGAATTGTGAGAATTCTTACACTTTGTTGTATTATATTCCAGATCAAGCTGTGTTCCTTTTTTTGTCTACAACTAAACCAAGGGTACTGCTCAATGCTGTAGAGATATTTTAGACCCTAACATAGAGGCTCCCAAGGTGGTGATGATACTTGCTCCTGAAAAAAATTTCTCTCTCTACTCGCTTCAGGTCTCACGGTAGTAACCCGCTCTCCGGACAGCAATAATGTAGCCAGCAGTGCTGTTGGAACTGCTCTGCCAAAGTTTGCCATCCGAGGGATGCTGAAAACCTTTGGGCTTCATGGAGTAGTCTTAGATGTGGATTCGGTGAGTACACAGCTCTTTCTAGATACTGAGACTTACATGCTCAGGCTCCATACACCTTAAAAAGGGATGGATTCCTCTTCAAGTGAGGAGTGAAGAAACCAAACTAACTGCTGTCATGTCAGATGACCTTGCTGAGATGAGCACGGATCAGGGAAGAAGGGTTATAAAAACTCTCCTCTCAGCACATCTGCTCCTTCAGACCTGCCTTTGCCATTAATTTTCATCAGCCATATTCAGACTGTCCCTACATGCTGTCTACCCAAGTTCAAAGAAAAATTCTTCCATTGTCCTTGACGAATGGCTGATCTGTCATAGTCGTGATTGTTACAGACCCAGAACAAAGAAACAGTTTGATGTCTGCCCTTCAGGACTGGCTTGGGCTACTGGGGTTTAGGTTGAGGTTTTAGGGGCTAGTGTCCGCTCCTCGGAACCAGTGTCAGCCCTTTGGAACTAGGTAGGGCTCCTAGGCCTTGGCTAAATCTGGGCTAAATCCATTAAAATCAAATGGACCCGGTCATAGGGAAGCCCTGATCCCCACATGACTGCCTTAGAGGAAAGGACCATAAGTGCCATCCAAGGGATGCTGAAAACCTAAGTGAGCACACTTGGCTGCTGACTCTCCAGGGGGAGGTGCCTATGGAAGTCGCTGGGACACACTGAGGCTGGCTTCCTTGGACCTGCTGGAGGAGGGGATATTGCTTAGGGACTAGATGAGGCTCTTCAGGACATGGCTGGGCTCATAGGGGTGAGGTTCTGCCCTTTGGGACTGAGTTTGGCTGTTGAGGTCTAAACTTACTCTTCTGGGCTAGGCCCCACCTTTCCAGACTGGCTTTGGCTATTGGGGTCCAGGTTGGAGTCTTAGGGACTAGTCTCGGCTTTGGAAGTATGTGAGCCCAATGGGACTAGACTGGGCTCTTAGTTCTTGGCTGGGCTCTCTGAGGCGAGGCTCCAGCTTTCAGGGCTAGAGAAAAAAACAACCGGTTTTGTGATTTTGATCACTTCATCTCACTGGTTGTCTCAGCCTCAATTTCCCGCATATAAAATAAGTGTATTAAATTAGATTGTCGTTTTCTTGTCCGTTTTGATGGGCCCTCTCCTGTAGCTTAGCAAGGATTTGGGGTGGAGAGAAGGAACAGAAGAGAGTGAGGGAGACAACTTGAAGCTTTCTTTTGAAAATGAGGTCCTATTTGAAAGCCATGACTCTGCCATCCTGAGGTGGCGTGCACGTGCTTGCATTTAGATGTTTCTCATGCAAGAAAAACCGATGAAATAATGTATAGTTTAAACCCAAGAGTCCTGAGAAAGTGTCTGTCACCATTTAAGTAAGCTCTAGTATCTATCTAGGTAGAGAGAGATAATGTTAGGTTCCATTAATGATTTGAAATGGAAAGTTTCACATCTTCAACCGACTCCTTTTTACTGGCTGGTCGTTCACTAAAGTGAACTTTCAAGTAGAAATTCTAGCAGTAGTACTACTAATCTCCTGCTGCTTTTGGGTACAAACTTCTGACTCCAGTTATCAGAAAGCATATAACTAACAATACTTTCAGCAATGGAAATGTATGAAAATAAAAATCAGAATTTTTGTTAAAGTAATAATTAGTATTTCTCAAACAGTTTATTCCCTGTTTTAATAATGACCTCAAAGCAAAAAATAAAATAAAAAATAAAATAAATTGGCATTTGAGGTATCCAGAATGCATATACATGAGTTTACTTTTGATTTTCCTAGTAATGAAGTAGAGCTATCAGACATCAAAGCAATGAACAGAAAATTTACCTGGCAACAATATGCATTGAACTGTTACTGAAATATATCACTATTCTTTTTAAATTTTTAACCCATAACTACATTGAAACTCTTATTTTACTAATAAAAATTTGCTAACTGGTATAAAAAAACAAAACACACTTTTAATGCAATAGTAACCAAATGTCTTTGAACTTTTAGACTCAGTGGCATGCAGCTAGCATTTACGGCTTTAAGACTTTGGTTTTATATGTATTTTAAAACTAAGGGGTAAAGTTAGTGTAGAAAAACAAATAGACATTTCCTTTTACTATTGTAGGTAAATGAGTTGGTGCAGGTAGAAACATATCTGCGAAGTGAAGGAGTGCTGGTTCGATACTGGTATCCTATTGACATGCTGGAAAGACCCCCAGCAGGCTACCGAAGGACTGCCACTAATGGACTGGTCACACTGGACAACACCAACCTTCAAATTCATAGGTAAATTGAGCCCTCTTTTCTAGTCACCTAAATCCACTTCCTGCGTTTTATTGACAACAAGGGTTTTCCTTCAAAGCGAGGAGTTAGGGAGAAGGCAACAGGTAAAGATAATAGCACAGTGGCAGGAGTTGGGAAGAAAAGTTGAGAGCAAGAGGTAAGGGGACAGGTAAGGGGATGTAGAATCACCTGGCCTGTGCCACAGGTGCTTTTCTGTGAAGTGGAGGGGTTGAGAGGTGGTCCTACACCTGTGGTCAGCAAACTGCGGCTCGCGAGCCACATGCAGCTCTTTGGCCCCTTGAGTGTGGCTCTTCCACAAAATACCACATGCGGGTGCACACATACAGTGCGATTGAAACTTTGTGGCCCATGCGCAAAAGTCGGTTTTTGGCCTGGGCCAGTCTATTTTTAAGAAGTGGTGTTAGAACACTCGAGGGACCAAAGAGCCACATGTGGCTCGCTTGCCGCTGTTTGCCGACTACTGTCCTAGACAATTTCAAATGACCCCTGGTGGCTCCAAGGGGATATTAGACCTAAACTTAAAAAAATATATAGTTTTATTTTTATTGACTTCAGAGGAAAGGAGAGGGAGAGAGAGACAGAAACATCAATAGTGAGAGATAATTATTGATCGGCTGCCTCCTGGAGATCAAGCCCACTAACCAGGCATGTGTCCTTGACTAGAATCAAACCTGGGACCCTTCAGTCCACAGGCCAATGCTCTCCCATTGAGCCAAACCAACTAGGGCTTAAACCTAAACTTGATAGAAACATCAGGGCTGCTTCTAACTTTCCTTTTTAAAGTGCTTAATACCAGGAGAATGTTTCATTATGTGATTGGCTACTAAAATGCAGTGAGTCTTCCCTATGCTGGTATTACCATATTTTCCGGCGTATAAGACGACCCCCTAATTTTACAGTTAAAACATAGGTTTAGGCCTATATTCGCTGTATAAGACTACACTCCACTTCAAAGAAAAGACTTACTTTGCCGTCAAGATCTGCAGGTAATTTTTGTGCAATTTTGGTCTTTTGCCCCCGATTTTCGGTTGACTTTTTTTCATTTCAAAGGTCATCTTATATGCCGGAAAATACAGTAGCTAGATTAGATTTTTTACCAAGAGATGGGACCTGCTTAATTACTAATGAGCCATTATTTAAGGTGCATGCCTATTTGTAAATCCATCACATTAAACATTCCCACAGTGAAATTTTTAATAGCTTTATTGAGATATAATTTACATACTATACAGTTCACTCATTAAAGTAGACAAGTCAGTGGTTTTTAGTATCTTTAAAACTTTGCAACCATCACCAGTGAATTCTAGAACATTTGTATCACCCCAAGAAGAAACTCTATATCCATTATAGTCAGTTTGCACTCTCCCATCCCCTAGCTCAGCCACCAATCTATTTCCATGGGTTTGCTTAATTCTGCACAGTCTGTAAAAATGATATCGTATAATATGCAGTCCTTGTGTCTGGCTTCGTCACTCAGCATTATGTTTTCAGGGTTTATCCATGTTGTAACATGTATCATCAGTACTTCATTCCTTTTTATGGCTGAATAGTATTCCATTGTACAGATTTACCGTTACTCGGCTGATGGACATTTGGGTTTATCCACTTTTTGTCTACTGTGAAAAACACCACTGAGAACATACTCATATAAGTTTTTGTGTGGACATAAGTTTTCATTATTTTTTCCACAGTGATTTTTAGTTTGGAAAAAGCAAACAGAACTAAATGTACCTTTTTGCCTAAACACAAGTGACTGACTTCGAGGACAGACCGTGGCCCAGAAGAGAAACCTGGGTTGTGGTCTTTCCCGGGGAGGCCTGAGGCTCAGTCCAGCGTGGGCGGGGGGAGGCGCCTCGTGACCTCCCTGCCTTTTGCCCTGCAGAGAGCTGCTGCGGTGTGAGGCTGCGCTGGCCAGGCTGTACTGCCGCAGGGCCCTGCTCAACATCTTCGCCCCCAAGCTGCCTCACCTGTTTACCCGCCTCTTCCACATCCCTGCCATCCGAGACATTACCCTGGAGCACCTGCAGCTGCTGTCCAGTCAGCTCCTGGCTCCTCCACTCCCAGGTAAAGTCCTGAGAGTGTGTACGCGTTGTCCGTGGCGGGGGAGCGATTTGAGCACAGTGCCTTCAGCCTGGCGGAGATAACCGCACTGAGCCAAAACGGTCGTGGCAGTGCTTTCTCACTCTTTGAAAAATATGAAGTAAGTATATCACTCACTTCAGTCATTGATCTGTTAAGCATTCATAGAGCTTCCCAAACTAATTGTGGATCAAGGACAATTAAATAATGTTTATGAAGTCTGGTCACTGTACAGTTGCCACAGACTTTCTGTCTGGCTTTGTAAGGAAAGGAACATGTTCCTGTGATCAAACTCCTCCAAAGCAGACCTACTGATTCAGTGTGACTTCAGGCAGCTTGTGTCTTAATGGGCCAGCTTGTGTGTATCTGCTGACCTTGGGCGCTTGGGGTGAGAGCTGATGCTGTGTATTGGCTGCTCTGGTGCATGCTAAGTGATGAATCTGCTTAGTCCAGTCTTCCTTGGGTTCTTTGGCCTTCAGCATGCTGCCCTTGACCTCTGAGCCACGAGTGTGAGAGCAAGAGGTGAGGGGACAGGTGGCACTCTAAGTCTAGAGGTCATCTCACGGTCATGGTGCCCCAGCCAGTCTGAGCTGGATCTCTTCAGCTCCTTTAGCACCTGGGGCCCACTGCCCCACCCAAGTAACCTAGAGCTTCAAAACATGCCTGGGAAGCTCCAGGGTGTTTGCGGAAGTGTTTTTTCCTTGATGAACTCACATTTGCTTTACAGACTCCATTCTAAGCCACCCTAGCAGTTCCTCAGTGTAGCTCGGGGAGGGCCAGGGCAGCCCAGCAGGTCAGGCAGGCTCTGGGAAGCCCCGAACCCAAGCTGCTCTACTTGTCTTTGGGCCTCCATTTCACATTTTATTTTAGGAAATAGTTTTGCTGCTTAAAAGAAGACAAAATTTAAAGAGCACTGATCCTGGACCCCCTACTTCCCTGCCTGGGATCATCATTATGTCTGTTATCCCAGACATTCTGTCCAAGCTAACTTAGCTCGGTACTGGACAGTCTGGTCAGTTACTTAAAATCTCAACACCATTGGCTGTTGTGGTTCTGGCAAACTGTGGTTCCTTCTTGTCCCCAGATGGCACCATCAGCTCCAGCTCAATCCTCCTGGCCCAGTCTCTGCAGCACTGCGTCCACTCCCAGAACTGCTCGGCCACAGACCTCTTCTACCAGGGCAGCTCCCAGACGGTGCGAGAGTGGCTCCACGTGGCCATCACCCGGACCCTGCACCAGGGCGAGGAGAGCCTCTTGGAGCTGACGAAACAGATCTGCTCTTTCCTGCAGGTAAAAGTCAAAGCTCCACGATCCCAGAACTGGGCCCCAGTGTTTATTGGATGTCTTGTGGATTTCCTAGAAATGACACTCTTTCTTCAAACCCACCTCCACCCATCGCCCACCCCCCTCATTGATCTCCTCATGCCACACCCTGCCGCCTTGTCCTGTCCGTTAGTGTCCTGAACCTGAGACAGCAAGCGGGTGGCCCTGCCCTTGGCTGGGAGCAGGAAGATGAAAGCTCTCCTGCTGAGCCTGTGCCTCTCCTTGTTAACTGTCCCTCTGCAGACAGCACCAGAGCAGTTCCCCTCCGAAGAATTCCCCATCTCTGAGTCCAAAGTCAGCATGGACGTTAATTTCCCTGGAGCCGCGTTTGTCGTGGTATCTTGCAAAGAAAGTCAGTCTGGATTCCGCAAAGAGTAAGTTTTCTCCAGGCAGTGAGGGGGAAGAAAAGTAAAATGGGTTCGGGGGAAATTGACAGAAGAAAAACTCAAACTTTTTTTTATTGCTTTACTATATTTGGAAATCATTTACAGTTCCTGCATGTTTTAGAAATTAGTCTTAATAAAGAATGACCTCTGAAATGTGGTAGGAACGACTTATGAATGCCCAGTTCTCACTTTCCTCCTTCATGACAAAGCACCTGCTGACTCCCTGGTGTGCATGGGGGCTCCCCTCACTCCCTCCCATCCCCCCAGCTCCTCTCTGTACAAGGCGCCATGGGCACGTGTGCTGGTGTACGGGCTCGGCCACAAGGTCAAGCGAAACGGGCAGCTAAACCTCATCGAGGCCGTGTGTTACCCGCGGGATGCCTCTCCGGCCAACACCGGGCTCACACCTCCGCCCACCACCAACCAGTACCCCTCCGTGATCCTGTCCACGGACAAGGTCCACATCAAGCTGGGTAAGTGCCGGCAGCTCCTGGTACTAAGGACAGCCGGAAGTTTCCTCTGCTTTCCTTCTCTCTGACCATGGAGAGGGGTTCGTACTCGTACCTTGCTCTGTCCCAGCTTCTTTTCGGTAAAGAACACAGCTGCTTGGGGCACTGCACTGTTGAGGCAGGAAATGGAAAGCTCCCTTTCCTGCCTGGGGAAGGCCTGGCAGGCGCTGCCCAGATTAAGTGGGGATGTGCTTTCTCAGCGTGTGTTGCGAAGCCTGCGATTTAGAATGTCCCCAGTAGAGCAGACTGGTGTCGGCCCGGAATAATCCCAGCTGCCTTTCAGCGAGTGCTCATTAAAAGCGGCATCTCTCGGGTGTAGTGTGGCTCCCTGGGGCATGGGCCTTTGTGAGCCTGGTTCTCCCTCTGAGTGGTAACAGCCGGTGACCAGGCTGGAAGGCCTGGTTGGTCTCGTCTCGTCTCCTGGCATCTGTTGTTAAGCCTCCAGGGAGCCCTCCCTGTCTGTGAATGGTGAGGCTGTTGCTGAACACGTGCATTACGTACCACAGCCTGCTGACCGTGCCTCAGGCAAGGATAGCCAAGGCCTAGAGTTCCATGGCACCTCCTTAGTGTGTTTGACAGAAAAAGACTGACACTGTCTGGCTTGCTAGAGACAGTTACTAGGTATTTTTGAACTTTCAGTCCCAGAAAATGAACCTTAGCTTCTCTGCAGCCCCAGTCCTGGAGCTATTCCATCTGCAGGGACTGAAATGAAAGGATGTTTCTCAAGTGATTTGGTCATTGCTAAGTAACTTCATAGTCTCTTTATTAGAGTCTGTTTTTTCATAGTATTTTGCCTAAAGTAGCTGTTATTACAACTTTTTAATTAAACACAGAAGTTCTCTGTCTTGCCTATTGTGCCCAAGTAAACCTTCCCATCTAAACATCACCAAAGTGCAGGCCCATCAACACGGTCCTCCTGGCTTGGCCAGGACCCTATTCCCTGCTTCCATCTGACAGCAGGCGTGGGGGTGGTGCCTCGCACATCAGGCCTCAGCCTTTTCCTCTCCCTGTAGGCAGCTTTGGTCCCCTCCAGGCCATGGCAATGACAGGAGATAATAAAAGAGAATCAAAGCCCATGGTCCTGGTAACTCTCTGCACCTAGTATAAACTTAATGCTCTTACCGAATTGAGCTACAACAAAGGGCTTTCTCTCTGTACCAACCTGGTACCGTTCCAATTGAAGCATCTTTTTAAATCTGTCTTACTGTTTCCGTGCTGGGTCATCTTCCAACTGGGGAAGTTATCCTTCCCTCTTCCCATTGCTGCCATCTGACCTTTGTCACACAGATGAGTGGGCTCCTTGGAGGGATGTCCCCTGGCTCCTCCTGCCGTCAGCAGATGAGTGGCCAGGCTTTCTGGCCCTGTTTCTCCACACGCCTGGGAGGCCTCTTTCTCAGGCTTGTTTTGATCAGGTCCTGCCCAACACAAGCTGTCCTCTGGGCTCTTGTTTTAGGAGTGTCTCCACCTCCCGGAGCTGTGCTGGTATTGCATTCCCTGCCCCTGGAATTCCCACTGGCCATGGCCTTCGCAGAGCAGCTGCTGTCCTGGAAGTCAGAGGACGGCGAGGGGAAATCGGAAGACGAGCCTGACACGGTGCCCACATCCGTCCTCCTGCAAGTGGTGGGGCTGCTGGGTGAGGCTCCCTCTCCCTCGGGGTTGGTTGGGAGGGGGCCTCTGTTGGCCCAAGGAAGGAGCTTGTAAGATGGGTGGGGGAGTGACCATAGGTAGCCCGGCGAGGACAGCCTCCTGTCAGGTTACTGCCATTGCAGTGAACAGAGTGTAAGAGGTAGCCTAGGCTTCCAAACCTGAGATCTGCAGGGGATTTCCATTGTTTGAGGGGTGGCAACTAATCATGCAAGGAATATTAATTTATCATCTTTACTTTAAAACATAAATATAGCTCTGCCGGTGTGGCTCAATGGTTGAGTGTTGGCCCATGAACCAAGAGGTCACTGGTTCAATTCCTGATCAGGGCACATGCCCAAGTTGTGGGCCCAATCCCCAGTGAGGGATGTGCAAGAGGCAGCCAGTTAATGATTCTCTCTCATCGATGTTTCTAATCTCTGCATTCCTCTTCCTTCCTCTCTCTCTCAAATCAATAAAAACATTTTAAAAAAATAACTATACGCCATTATTATAACTTTGGAGGTGAAAGCTGTTGTAAAGTTAATGGCATGGAAGTGAGTGATGTTGCAAAATCAAACATTATGATGTCATAACTCCTAAAAGGTTAAAAAGGGGTTGCATTTTGGGGAAACTAATGGAATGGTAAACTTTAGAGTTGTGCATTTACCTTATGTGAATTCACCTAAAAATTTTCTGAATAAATATTCAACTTTAGCCAAAACCGGTTTGGCTCAGTGGTAGAGCGTCGGTCTGCGGACTTAAAGGTCCCAGGTTCGATTCCGGTCAAGGGCATATATCTTGGTTGCTGGCACATCCCCAGTAGGGGGTGTGCAAGAGGCAGCTGGTCGATGTTTCTCTCTCATCGACGTTTCTAGCTCTCTCTCTCCCTTCCTCTATGTAAAAAAAATAATAAAATATATTTTAAAAAATATTCAACTTTAACGCATCTGCTTATGTGTTTAAGGATAAAACATAATGTCTGCAACTTATTTTTAAATAATCAAGAACTAATGAGTTTATGGATGAACCTCTACAGGGACAGATGGGTAGATAGGTAATAAAGCAAAGTGTTCTGGTGGGCATGCACATTTTCACTATATAAGTCTTGGTTTTTTTATTTTTTTTATTTTTTTATAACATGTTGGAGGGAAAGAAAAAGTTACAGATTTAGAGGCCTTCCAAGGTCAGGCAGATGACGAGAGCAAAGAAATTAGAGGAAAGTGACCTTAGGAGCTCAGTGAGCTGAGGGCATGTGCCCTGTGGGGCAGCCTGGGCCCTGGAGCTCAATGCTACAGAGTTGTTTCTCTCTTTCAAATCAGTTTTTTGGTTTTTTTTAAATAAGATGGTTACTGTTATGAAATTCTGTCTAAATATTCCCTGTGGGAGGCCCTTGGTCTGTGGCCCACTCTCTGTCCAGAACCCACAACTCCAAGAAGGCTTTCTTGTTGACAAAATGAGGACTGGAAGCAGCTGGAAAAGGGATGACTTTTCATGTGTGTTTCTGTGCCGTGTGGTGAAATTGGACTGTATGCCCCCAGAACTAAGTACCTCGCAGTTCAGGAAACATTGTTCTAGTGACTTGTCACCAATCTGATAACCTTACGAGAAAGAAAACAATGGTTTTTGTGGCATGTGATCACACAGAAGCCAGCTTCATGCAATCACGTGCCATAGGGGGTTAAGGCCACAGCCTGTGGAGCCAGCCTGCCCAGCTGTCCCGTTAGTAGCGTGACCTTGGGCAAGTCCCTCAGCTCTTGAGCCTGTTTCTTCACCTGTGAGATGGGGACGGAGGGTGGGTCTAGAAGTACTTGTCTCACAGGGTTGCTGTGAGGGTTGTACCCATTGAAGTGCTTAAAACAGAGCCTCGCACATAGTGAGTGCTCTGTGAGTAACTGTTACCGCTTTGTGTTTGCTCCAGGAAACTTCCTGTGGACCACGGACATGGCGGCCTGCGTGAAGGAACTCGTTTTCCATCTCCTGGCGGAGCTGCTGCGTACGGTGCACGCGCTGGAGCAGAGGAAGCACCCGGCGGGCCTGTCCTCCTCCATCGCCCTGCAGCTGAACCCCTGTCTGGCCATGCTGATGGCCCTGCAGTCCGAGCTGCACAAGCTGTACGACGAGGAGACGCAGAGCTGGGTCTCGGGCAGCTCCTGCGGAGGCTCAGGCACAGCGGTGGCCTCCGACCAGGGCAGGTTCTCCACGTATTTCCATGCCCTCATGGAAGGGTGCCTGGCAGTGGCCGAAGTGACCCTGCCTACCAACATGAGTGTCACGGCCAGCGGAGTAACCTCAGCAACCACCCCAAACCTCAGTGACTCCTCCTCCTCCTCCTCGTCCTCCCCAGGACAGACTCCTCAGAGCCCCAGCCTCCTGTCCAAGAGGAAGAAAGTCAAGATGAAGCGGGAAAAGGCCTCCTCCACTGGGAAGCGCCCAGCGTCCCGCTCCGTGGACTCCGACGCCGCCCTGCTCAGCATCGGGGGCAGCAAGCCCGAGGACATGCTGTGGTTCCACAGAGCCCTCACCTTGCTCATCATTCTCCGGCACCTCACCAGGAAGGACCCACAGGGGCTGGGCGTGACGAGCGACGCCATTGCCGACGCCTGCCAGGCCCTGGTAGGCCCTACTGCCCACAGCCGCTTACTGGTGATCTCCGGAATCCCCACCCACCTGGACGAGGGCATCGTCAGAGGCGCCATCCGCAAGGCCTGCAATGCCCACGGCGGGGTCTTTAAAGACGAGATCTACATTCCCCTGCAGGACGAAGACCCCAAGAAGCCGAAAGACAAGGCCGAGGGCAGTGATGGCAAAGCCGAGCCGGAGAAGACCCTCGGCTTCCCCAGCACAGACAGCCTGGAAGTCAGCACGTCCAGCAGCCTGACCCCTGCCATGAGCATCAGTGCATCTGCCTCCACCAGCCAGGCCTCCATCTGCAGCTCCCAGGGCATCTCGCAGACGGTCAGTGACCTGTCTGTGGATCTGCTGCCTGCAGGCCTGGAGCTGCCTGTCCCTCCTGGCTTGCTGGAGCCCCAGGTGGTGTCCAGCCAGGAGAGCCTGGACATCTCCCTGTGCAGCACCGGCAGCCTGGGCAGCCTGGGCAGCCTGGGGGAGCCGCTGGACAACGCCGAGACAGCCTCCGCATCAGACATGGGCTCCATGTACACAGTCACGTCCCTGGACAACCAGCAGCTCGCGGCGCGCCCCATCAAAGGCTTCGCAGTCGTGGAGGTAACCGCTCTCACGCCCAGGCAGCCACTGACATCACGAGCACTTGGAATCCCTCAGCCTCTTTAAGGCCCAGAATTAAGTCCTGGGGACATAGGGGCTCCCTGGGGCAGCCTTTGGAAATGAGGATCTGTTAGGTTGACTGCCTGAGTTTGAGGTCACAGCTCTGAGAGTGCTGTCCAGTCTGATATCAAAAGTAACCAGCTCATGTGAGTGGGAGGAGGTAGAGGGCCCAAGGGGCTGACTGCCCGAGGGGCTCTGTCAAGCGCAGCCCAGCTCAGCCCCCCTGGTGTTCCAGCTCAGGGGAGCTCAGTGAGCAGTGAGGACACGCTCCGCCTTGTCTGAGGTGATGCTGAGCTGCAGGTGATACGCAGGGTGCCAGGTCTCATTTCCACTTCAGGATGTCACCTGTGTCGTGGCCTCCTTGTTTAGGAACCCTGCATCCTGTGCCATCCTGTATCCCTGGCTCAGCTAGAGAGGGAGTGCTGGGAAGAGCGTTCTCAGACCTTCCTGAAAGAGCCTCACGGGTCTAGTGGTCGGTCGGCCTGCGCCCTAGAGTCGCCTCTTTAGCCTCGCTGCCTTCTTCCTGGGGACCTGCTCTGAGCCGGCACGGGCTCCAGGCCCTGGGCTCTGGGTAAAGCCACAGACCTGGCCAGAGCTGAAGGGTTTCCATGAAGGCGGTGCCGTCGGTGGGGGGAGGACGGGCCGCTCGCCCAACACGGAAGGTGAGGCGAGTCCAAGGGAAGGCATGTAGGAGGCCAAGGTCACTCCTTTGGAAGGAGGTCACTCTCTGCTCCAGTCCTGACCCTTTTCTTTGTTCACACAGATAAGATCCCGAGCCAAAATCGAGAAAATCCGAGCAAGTTTATTTAACAATAATGATTTGATCGGTTTGTCAAGTTTGGACGGTGAAGACGAATTGATGGAAATGTCCACGGAAGAGATTCTTACTGTGTCTGTAGTGAATCAGAGCTTGTTTGACACTCAGGGAAGCCCGGGGTTAGAAGATTATTTCAATGACAAGTCAGTTAAAGGTGGGTTACGTGTTTTTTAAATGAATATTCTTTTTTTTTTAGCAGTTTCAGATTTATAGGAAAAATTGAATGAAAATTATCCCCATTCCCAATGTCCCCTATTTTTAACATCTCATAGAGGAACTCTGGGGGCGCTCCTAGGATTTGCAGACTTAAGAAATGATTCGGGGTGTTGGGGAGACGGACAAGAGGCTCATTGCTTGACTAATGGAAGATTCATTGCGTGCATCCTCTTAGGTAGAGAGAGCACTCCCGCCCTCCCTGTGCTGTCAGGGCTGGAGGGCTGGAGGGCAGCTGCAGGGCCAGGAATGGCACTGCCACAGCCGGCTTCACACCTGGACGTGGGCTTGCTTCTTTTTATCTAGCCAGGCGCCCCCTTGTTCAACTTCATGTGTATGTGTTTTGTTCTGGCCTCGAGCTAGAACGTACCAGTCACATTGCCGGTGATCGCTTGGTTGTGGGCTTGAGGACAGTGAATGCCTCACCCTGTAAAACTAATTATTGGGAAGAAACAGTCCCAGCTCCTTGTCACAAGGTCCTCTTTGTTGCTCTGGCGGCGGAGGAATGAGGACGCTCTCTGGCTGCCCACTCCTTTTGTGCATCCAGGACCCGGCTGTGCCGGGGCCCAGAGCTGAGTCAGCAGAAGGCCCGCCAGGCCAGCCGCTCGGCCGAGCTGCACTCCTGAAGCGGCAGCCATTTGTGTCCTTTCATTTTGTCATCACAGTTCTTTGTGTTCCTGTTTGTATTTCATACTAGTCTCACAGCTTCTAACCGTGGTCTTTTTTCTAAATCTTTAATATTGTTAGAAATTTCATAATAGGGTTATTGAGTTTGTTTTGGTTTTTGTGTACAAAAATGTAATCCTGAGTATGGATTTTGTTGTTACTGTTTGAGATTTTATTCCCTGGTCATGAAATTTTGAAATGTTCCGTCAGCATTGGGACTAGTGTTGTGAGGCCTTGGGCACAAAATTTAATGGGGCTCCCCAAAAGTTAGTAATCTAGATAAATAACATTTTAATAAAATGTTCATAAGAGTCAAATTAATGTATAATGAACAAGATGTTAACGTTTTACAGGATTTGCAGACTTAAATAGTTCTGATTTTTCCTTTTGCATCAGGCTTTAATATTGCTCAGTACAGTACTGTTAATATTTGCTCATCATTAATTTTAATTTTTATAATACTGCATTAAAATGTGTATCACGGAGTTTGGGGGAAATCTGTGCCTGAGAGGCCTGGGTGCTGTCCTGCTCTCCTCGCCCACTCCCAGGCCTGTTCCCTTGTTGGTGGACATTGCGCCCCTTCAGCTGCCCGCATGGGAAGTGTCAGAGCTGGGCGAAGCCTGAGGTCTTTTTCTGCCACAATTAGTGCTTTTCCAGTCTTCCCATATTTTGAATCTGAATTTAGTTCTAGTTCCCAATTCTGTTAGAGTCAAACCTTCCACATACAATACTCAGTCTCTGGTGACGCATTTGCCTTGTTCCTGCCACATGCGCTTTCTCAATATTCTTCAAGTTGTGGTTCTGCTAACTCAGCTCGACTACCTCTTCCTCACACCGTCCCTCCACCCTCAGCCCAGATGCCTGCAAGGCCTTTGCCATGGTTCTCCTGTCTGGGCCCGACCTGGGTGTGGCTGTGTCACCTCCCCCCTCTCCCCAGAGAGAAAGGATAAGGAGGACGGCTGGGGAGGAAACCAGTCAGCTCTTCAGGGGGCCTTGGCCACTGGGGAGGAAACCAGTCAGCTCTTCAGGGGGCCTTGGCCACGGGAGACATGCAGACAGGCCCCTGCAAGAAAGGGGAGAGCACCTTTTGGTGCACTTGTTTGGGGACAAAAAAATAAATATTTTCTCTGTGCTCTCATATCAGAAAACCCTGCTCACTGTGTCAATTTTAAAACATGTTCTCTATAATAGATCAACCGAAGGACTTTTATACATGCATATAAGTACAACCAATGGACATAAAACTCTGGGGAGGGAGGGGATGTGTGGGAGGGAGGGAGGGGGGCAAAAAAAATCAATAAAATATATTAAAATAATAATAATAATAATAATAATAATAATTAAATAAAACATGTTCTCTAATAAGTAATAAGTATTTAACAGCTTGTACTTTGCACTAAAATGGCTCAAACCCAGTGGTAGTTACGTCTTCCACATGTAAGAGTCCAGAGTGAGCTCTGAGGTCTGCCACCCAGGAGGCTTGTCATTTGCAGCTGGCGAGGGGACGAGTGGCTGCTGTCCCAGGTTACAGGGCCACCCCTTACAGCAGGGAAGTCTGGGCGTGGAGCAGAGGTGTGTTCCCACAAAGGGGACATGAGGCTTCGGTGTGCTCATCATCACCCCTGAATGTCTCGGTCCCACTCTTCAAAGTGAATTGTTTATGAAAAACAAGTGAAATGCTGTGGGGCGCATCCTGACCTGGTACGCTCACGGCACCATTGTTTGCCCTCCCCCATCTGTGACAGGTGAGAAGCTGGTGCCCGGGGCCCGGGAGGTGCTGACGGAGATATTTAAGAGCTGTGCCCATTCAGAGCAGATGCTGAGCCTGACCCCGGCCAAGCCCATCAAAGTGTCTGACATCTATCTCAGCAAAGAGCAGATCAACTCCCAGACTCCAGGCAACCTCCTCCACCTCTTCTTCACCAATGTCCGGCCTCCAAAGAAGGTGCTGGAGGACCAGCTCACCCAGGTAGCGGCCCCTCTCGGTGCATGTGCCTGCTCCGAGCCTAAGGTGTGCTTCAGGGGGAGCCTGAGCCCTGTCCCCTTTGTGCCCCCCAGATCCTGAGGAAGTACGGCGTGCCCAAGCCCAAGTTTGACAAGAGCAAGTACAGCAAAGCGGGGAAGGAGCAGCACCCCGTGAAGGTGGTGAGCACCAAGCGGCCCGTCACCAAGCCACCCACCAAGGACAAGGCCGTGCTCAACAGTGTCAGGTGGGCGCCCTCGTTGCCCAGGAGGTGGGCGCGCAGGGGGACACGGGGACCACCTCCCAGCAGGTTCCTGGGAGGCCAGACATCCTGGCCCTTCTCCGCTGCTGGGGCCCTGTTAGTCCTCGACTTGTCAGCTGAGAGAGCGTTTCATTTTATTCCCAAGAATGGTAAAATCTGGACCATGCAGGCTGGACAGCACTCCAGACTAAACAATAAAACATTTAAGATGTACAGACTTGTTCAAAACTCCTAACCTCTGTTAACTACACAAGTGACGTGTAATTATTGTGCAAGGACTATAAAATGAATATGTGCATTTTTTCTAAATATATTTTTATTGCTTTCAGAGAGGAAGGGAGAGGGAGAGATAGAAACATCAATGATGACAGAGAATCATTGATTGGCTGCCCCCTGGAAGCCCTCCACCAGGGTTCAAGCTTGCAACCCGGGCACATGCCCCTGCCCAGAATTGAACCCAGGACCCTTAAGTCCGCAGGCCGATGCTCTATCCACTGAGCCAAACTAGCTAGGGCTGAGTATGTGCATATTGAAAAAAATTGAACTACCCAAGCTTAGTGACTGCTTTTAATTAATATTTAAGTACATAACTTTGTGTTTATGCATATCCTCTTCTTACATGTTAAATGGCTAAAATAGTACAAAATTTCCAAGTATATGCAGTGAAAAGCCACCCTTCTCTCCATCCATCCTCAAGCCTCCCGGCCCTTAAGATGGCCAGTGTTACTTCTGTAGCCTTCCAGAACTCTCTACACACAAGCAAATGCATACACGCCCAAAGCGGGGAGCTGTGCTCACTGCCAGTCCTTGCCGTTTCCCTTTACTAATTTTTCACAAAAAGAAATTCCTCATTCCTTTTTTCTTTTTAATATGGTTTTTATTTATTTTAGAGAAAGGAAGGGGGAGAGATAGAGATATAGAAACTTCAATAAGAGAGAGACATTGATTGACTGCCTCCTCACGCCCCCTTCTGGAGATTGAGCCTGCAACCCGGGCACGTGCCCTGATCAGGAATCGAACTGGTGAACTCTTGGCTCAATCACTGAGCCAAACCAGCCGGGCCTTACTCCTTTCTGTAAATGGCTACATACTATTCCATGTGGATATGCATACATATTAATACAATTTTCTTTAGTTATGGGCTTATGACTCACAAGTATCATAGTTGAAACTCTGATAGCAAAGAGTTAGAGTTACCTAGCAGAAGTCTCTAGAGGAATTGTTTAAATCACCAGAAAATACGGGGTCTTTTTATTAATTATAAGTCAGTTCGTCCGCTAGAACTTCTTGTGGGGCTGGAGCTGTGCTGTTTCCGGCTGGGCCGTTCCAGATGTGGTCACACGCGAGCACCCGGAATGTGTGGGTGCAGCCAAGGAACTGAACTTGTGATTTTATTTCACTAATTTAAACATAAGGAGCTCCATGTGGCTCGTGGTTTCTTCCTGGAACCACACCTGAAAAGTGTTTATTCAACGTTTTTCATATTTGACAATATCATTTGTCCTGATGATTTGCTCAGTAAACTATTCTGGGTCAGAACAAAGCTCATCTCAAACCCAGCCCCGTCTGAAGCCTAAGGCGTAGTTGGGATGTGAGCTAATGCATAAGTGAGGCTCCAGGTCCTCTCGGGAGGAGGGGTGGCGCAGGCACTCTGACTCCATGCTCTGGTCTACAGCAGATCTGCTCTAAGCGAGAAGAAGCCAACTGTGAAGCCCAAGTCCCCGGAAAAGAGCAAGCCGGACGAAAAGGACCCAGAAAAGTCACCCACCAAAAAGCAAGAAGGTGGGTGAGGCCGTGGGGCCCAGGCAGGCGTGGGGGCAGCTTCCTCCTGGGATGGGCGGTCCACCGAGAACCAGCTCTGCTTTTGCCTGACTAGCTGGGTGCCCCTGGCTTTAGTCTGGGCAGGAGCGGCATTTCCAAAGACCCTGTGGCAACATACCTGCCCAGAATGCTGCTTTGATGACCATGAACTTAAGGAGGTCAAAATAGCAGCTCCAGAAATCTCTATTATAAAAACCCCTTGGTCGTAATCCGGTCATGCCTTAATGACAAAAGACTGGTCACCAGGAGGCGGGTGCGCCAGCGCTTGTGGGGACTTGACACAGGAACAGGTGGGCAGGGCTGCGAGCTCAGCAGCAGCAGGTGGGTGGGCAGTGAGCACAGGTGGGCGGGGCCATACGGTTTCACTCTAGGCTTCTAGAATCATCCATCCAGGGCAAAAACTAGATGACTGTACCTGAAAGTAAAATCTGGACATCTGCCTGGGGATTCTCTTCCAGACGGTTCTTACCTGGGACATTAGGATTTTAGCCTCCTAAAGGCCCAGGCAGAATTGGAGAAATCTATTCTCATTGTCACAAAATTGGTCAGGAGTGTTTGAGATTAGAGACAGGAGGGACTGTCGGAAAAGCACCGCACTACTTAGTGACCAAACAGGTGACATGAGGCTGCGGCTTGGGGGCCCGTAAGGTCAGGTGATGCATGCAGGGAGCAGTGGGTGGAGCTGGCTGGAGTGACAGGAGATAGAGGGGACTAGATGGATTGGCCCTGAAAGAGGATGCACCCAGAGTATGTTGTGTGGCCCCACTGTGCACAGTTCTCACCAAGTTCTAACACAGACACTTTCCATCAGTCCCAGAGGAAAAGTATCTGACCTTGGAAGGATTTCACAAGTTTGTTGTTGACCGAGCCAAGCAAGACATCCGCAGTGTCTGGAGGGCGATTTTATCCTGTGGTTATGATCTCCACTTTGAGAGGTAAGAGGTCCCTCAGCCCCTGGGTACCTCCCCAAGAAAACACTTCCTGTGGAGCCATTCTCTGCCATTTTCAATGCCTATTGATTGGAAATTCTTCATGTGGTAAAGTGGGTCTCCATGACCATTTGAAAACAAGCCCTGTTCTATACATCAGAAGTTCATTTTATACCAGTTCTGGAGGCTGGACGTCCAAAATCAGGGTGGAGCAGCGTTGGCTTCTCCTGTGGCCTCTTCTTGGCTCGCAATGGTCCTCTGTGCGAGGGCATCCCTGCGGTGGCCCTCTTGTAAGGGCCCCAGTCCCACTAGATTAGGGTCATCCTATGGCCTCACTTAACGACCTCTCTAGAGGTCCTGTCTCCAAATGCAGTCATAGTAGGTTTCAGCATATGAGTGGGGAGGGAAGGGAAGAAACACATTTTAGTCCCTAATGGGGACGGTTTCTTATTCCAAAGAACCTGTTCCCTCTGAATCTGTCACCCCTCTATCCCTGTCAGGCACAGCAAGGTCACTGCTCTGGAGTCTTCATGGTCAGACACATCTGCTTTCCCTTTCTAGTTCTAAGAGAGCCCCTAGCAGACAAGGTGTTGACAAACCAAACAGTCTCCTTGCCCTCTCCCTCCAGCTCCCTCACCCGGCAGGCAGTGCTGGGCATGGAGGAGGGACGCTGCGAGAAGAATGCTTTCATGAGTATGTTTTCAGGGAGAAGCTGTTCTGGGCCTTCCCTGGGGCTCAGAGGTGATCGCAGTTGGGCCTGGGCTTCCTGGCGCAGCAACGCGTTTTCTGACTTGTTTTAAAAGCCAGTAAACAGATGAGTTTGGGGTTTTGTTGAAAGGGGAACCATCCACGTTGGATGAGAAACTATATTTTAGGAGGGGAGGGAACAAACTGCACAGTAACTGATTCTAAGCCCCACGTCTGTGATAGCGAGGAGGGCCCTGGAGGCAGCAGCCCCGCCCACACACCCCTCTCCCCCAGGTGCGCCTGCATCGACGCCCGCCACGCCCACAAGGCCTCGCGGAAGTGGACCCTGGAGATGGACGTGGCGCTCGTGCAGTACATCAACCGGCTGTGCCGCCACCTGGCCATCACGCCCGCCCGGCTCCACCCCCACGAGGTGTATCTGGACCCCGCGGACACCACCGACCCCAGAGTGGCCTGCCTCCTGAGTATGTGGCCCTGGGAATGCCCTCTGGGCACATGCGTGTGCCCTGCCCTGCCCTGCCCTGCCCTGCGGGGAGCCCCCAGGACGGTACAGGAGCACACACAACGCGCACAGGAGGGACGTTCTCTGTAAGCCCCGGAAAATGGCCGCTGTCACGTGTTGGCAGGTGGCCCGGGCTGTTTCTGTGCCTGTCCCCACGCGTACCCCAGGCTGCTGCTGCGCCTGCACACCCCCCAGCCACTCTGCTCTCTCCTGGATACTGAGAAGGAAGTCTGGGCAAGGAATGGTCCCAACCTCTGCCTCTCCAGATGGAGAGGAGACAGTGTGAGGACAGACAGGGGAGGGTGTGCGGAGCCCTGCTTCCTGGGTTAGCGCTCACATTGGGGGAAGGTACACGGCACTCTTCACTGTGGTTGCAACTCCCTGTAAGTTGGTATTCATTTCAGAATTAAAAGTTTAAAAATATAATACACAGTCAGCCCAGGCCTCCCACTGGCCTGCCGGGCCTTGCCCTTTGTCTCAGGCCCACTGGGGGGTGACATCCACAGTGGATGAGGACCACCTGAGTTTGTGCACAAAGGGAGTCTCAGCCCCGCTCTGCTGAGACCCCGGCCTCACTGCCCGCTTCCCCACAGGCGTGCCCATCGAGAGCCTGCGCCTGCGCTTCGCCCTGCTCCAGTCGCTCAACACCACGCTGGAGACCTTCTTCCTGCCGCTGGTGGAGCTGCGCCCGACGCCCGTGTACACCCGCAGCATCGCCGCCCTGCTGCAGGAGGCCAAAGGTCAGTGCCTGGGCCTGCAGGGCCAGCGGCAGACAGCGTCACGTCATGTCACGTGGCCATTGCCCTCAGCCAGGCCGCTGCCCAGGATGGCACCCCACCCAGCCGTACACTTGACATGCAGCTCTCCTCCGGAGCAGCTGGGCCACCAAAGAGCAGATACTCGGTGCTCTGCAAACACGCAGGTTAAATGGCCGTGAACAGTGTGCTTCCAGATTTTTCACATATAAATAGACCCATTTTTGTCTTATTTTTTAAATCCGAATGTGTATTATGCGTTCCGTTCTGCAACTCCATTTCCTGTTTGGTGACCTGCCTCCGAGACCTCTGTGGGCATCCACAGAGCCGCCTCACCTTACAGACCTCCTGTCGGCGCTCACAGCTTACTCACAGCCTTTCTCTGTTGATAGACACGGGGGTGGTTTTATTCTTGCTGTTTCAGGAAATGCTACAGCAAACCTCTCTGTTTCTCTGTGTTTGGGTTTGTCTTTCCGCCAGTGGGTGTCTCCTGGGCGTGACAGCCCACAGGTTTGTGAGGTAACATTCAGGCAGATCCTAACCAAGTATCTGGCATCAAGACCATTGAGGCCCCAGCCAGGGCCTGAGTGAAGGGCGTCCAGAAGGACCAGCGGGGCCCCCGCCGGGCCTCGGGAACAGGGAAGGAGAGAAGCAGCCCTCCCCAGCCATCCAATCCCTCCATCAGGGCTGATCTTCTACGACACGAAGGTGACGGTCATGAACCGGGTGCTGAATGCCACTGTGCAGAGGACGGCGGACCACGCGGCGCCTGAGATCACTCTGGACCCCCTGGAGATTGTGGGAGGTAAGACAGCGACACAGCGCTGCGTTCACAAACAAGTGAGGCCACACGAGCAGAGGAGCCTCCAGAAGAAGGGAGTCCAGGGCTGGGGACAGTCCTTCACGTGGCTCCCGCCTGCAGGTCCCTCGCACGCACAGAGCCCTGCGCTCCAGGCAGCAGGAGGAAGGGGGACCCTCTCCTCACCTCTTGCCCTGGCCCCCCCCACTGCAGGGCAGGGCGGGGCAGGTAGACTTCATTCTGGTTGGCCAGGGACCTGCTAACATAGGGTTTCTGGCACCACAGAGGGGGGCTGGGTGAGGGTGACCTCCCCAGGCGACAAAAGGAGGGACCAGAGGGGCCGACACTTAGAGAGCCGGGAGTGACCCTGCAGGGCAGCACGGAGAGAAGTGAAGATGTCCCAGAGCAGAGAAGGCAGGGGCCTGTGGAGGGGCAGGGTGGGGGCTGGGAAGCAGGCAGAGATGGGGGAGGGGCCGAACACTGCCACGGGGTTGGGAGTGTTCTCACTTTCTCTCTCTTTCCAGGGGAGATCAGAGCTTCTGAAAACTCCTACTTCTGCCAAGCTGCCAGGCAGCTGGCCTCCGTGCCATCCTCTCAGCTTTGTGTCAAACTGGCCAGTGGCGGCGACCCCACCTATGCCTTCAACATCCGCTTCACTGGGGAGGAGGTCCACGGCACCAGTACGTGGCTGCCCATCGAACCCGCCGCCCAGGCGAGGGTGGAGGCGTGTTTAGAGTACACTTCCTGTGCTGATTTTTAGCCTAAACTGCCAGGAGTTCCCCCATTTGCAAGAGTCAAAGCCACATCCTCATCCTCTGCTCTGCAGAAGCCGACTGCCCCGGGGGGAGCTGTCTGCCAGGGGGGCTCAGGGACGCGCCTCTGCTTTGCTGTTCCTGTGCAGGGCAGCGCGGGGCAGCGCGGGGCAGCAGGGCCTCGGTGCGGACTGGCCCCCGCCCCAGGGGCGCCCTGGCTGAGCTTGTAAGTGCTCCGTGAGAGAGAGGTTGTTTGGAGCCTCTGACGGAAATGGGACTTTCTGTCATTTCACTCTGTAAGGATGAGGAAAAGCATCTCAGAAAATGTTCCCTCATGGTCCTTTTGGTCACTTTTACCCCAAACAGTCAGAAAACGTCTCCACTCGATGGGAGAAGCCCAGCTCGTCACCTGGGTGCTGGGGGGAGGCTGCTGGGGCAGCTCCGTCTCCCTCCCCACTGTCCTGAGAGCACCGTCCCAGCAGCCCTGGGTGTCCTCTGCCCCTCCCAGACCTCCCAGTGCTTCTGCCCGACCCCTACCCCTCAGAGCACAAAAAATGTCACAAGAGGCCGGCATTGCCCCCTTGGCAGCCCTGGGCCACCTCAAAGTTAAGGAGCTTCCCCACGGTCAGGCAGCCACCTGGGGTCAGCCTAGGTCTGTCCCATTCCAAAGCCCGCCCTTGGACTTGGTGGCTTCAGCAGGAAAATCTGCCTCTTCTGCAAGTTGAGTGAGGCCAGCCCTGGCGTCTGTCCCCAAGCAGGTCTCCCGCATGGCTCTGGTCAGCACGCACAGTTGTCCTCAGAGCTTCCTGAGGGAGCACTGACCAGGGGCACACGGGAGAGGAGGCCCAGCCCCAGAGGACTTGGCAAGAAACGAAAGGCACCTTTGGAGGGGCAGCTGTGGAGGCTGCCCGATGCCCAGTGCTCTTTGCATGGGGTCACGCGTCACCCGTTCACTGTGTTCCCTGAACCAGCACTGAGCGCCGGGCCTGGGCGGGAGCCGGGCTGAGTGAACAGCTGCCCTGCTCCTGGCACAGAAGGTGGGCATGGAGCCAACAAGCCCGCAAGTCAGTGTGGGCTCGCAGCTGTGAGAGCTGCCTACACGGGCCTGTGCTTGAGTCCTTGACACTGGCCTGGGAGGTTGGCAGAAATCCTGTTCCCATCGGATAGAGGGACTGAGGCCCCCCAGCTAGTAGGTGGCGTGGCAGGATTTGACCCCAGGTCTCCCGCCCAGCCCACAGGCAGTTTCCTTTCCACGCCACCTGCTGCGGCCCGGCTGGCCAGTGAGTGCTGCTCCCAGTGTGGACGGGGCGTGCTGGGCAGGGAGGCTGGCCGAGCCCCGGTGCTGATGGGCTCTGTCTGTCCCTCCCCAGGCGGGTCCTTCCGCCACTTCCTGTGGCAGGTGTGTAAGGAGCTGCAGAGCTCCTCGCTGTCCCTCCTGCTGCTGTGCCCCAGCTCGGCCGTCAACAAGAACAAGGTAAGGCACCGAGGCTCAGGGTGTGTCCTCCTCGGCTCTGCCCTTTCACAGGCCTTCCCGCCTGGCTGGGCCAGCTCTGGGGCACGTTTCCCAGCCCACTGAGCCACCCCATCTCTGCCTCCACATGCAGGGCAAGTACATCCTGACCCCCAGCCCCATCACCTACGGGGAGGAGCAGCTGCTGCACTTCCTGGGGCAGCTGCTGGGAATCGCAATTCGAGCAGATGTCCCTCTGCCCCTGGACCTCCTGCCCTCCTTCTGGAAGACTCTGGTAGGGGAGCCCCTGGACCCTGACCAAGACCTGCAGGAAGCAGACATACTCACGTACAACTACGTCAAGAAATTCGAAAGCGTAAGTGAAAAGCACGTTTACTCTGGGAGACAGCCGGGCCCCAGAGCAGTGCCCTGGACCTCCCTTATTGCCACCTCTAAGGCCCCAGCTAAAGACCGGTGGGATCTCCCAGGGAGCATTAGGCACCCTGCCATCTCTGGCTGCCAGTCTTCCCTCCCTGGCGACAGCAGCCGCAGAGGGTGACCTGACCAGCCCCACTAGGCCTCCCAGGGACACACGGTGAAGAGTTCCCGCACCTGAGTGAACAGAGGGGCTGGGTGGGAAGTGCCACAAGCAGACCAGTCTCACTTGAAAGAGCTTTCAGGACCTCACCGAGAGCACATCTCAGGGCCTCCTGAGGTTGGAGGGAAGGCGGAGGGAATGGAGCTCTCAGTCCCTCCACTGGTGCAGTGGGACGAGAGGCAGCAGGGACACAGCCGTGTCTGACCATCCCTCTCTGCACAGACCAGCGCCCCGGTGCCCAGGCTCTGGTTGAGCCTGTGGGCGCTGCTCAGGGCCGTCCATGCATTCAGCAGGCATGAGACAGGACTGCCTTGGGCTCCCGGGCTGCTGGAGGGCTGTCCTCACACTTCCTCCCGCAGGCCAGGGAGAAACAAGGCCCAGAGAGGGGAGCTGGCTGGAACGAGGGTACCAGTTGGGTCCGGTCTGTCCACTGACAGAGGCCCTCTCTCCTCACCCCTCTCCTCAGGTTAGAGATGGCCGGTGGTGTGGCCGAGCCTCCACCTAACCCCTCTCCTTGAGTCCAGCTGCCTGTGCTGCAGGGGACTGGCTGGCTTTGTGCCTGTCCATGGGACCTCAGCTGAGGGAGGTTGTCAGCTGATTCTGGCACAAAACCTGAGGGACCCTCTGAGGGCCTCTTTGCCAGGCTCTCTGTAGTCGTCCCCTTTGCCACCACTTGAGGGCAGACTGTTCGAGGGAGCAGCAAAACCGAGATCCTGGATGGCAGTTGGCATGTCAGCAGAAATAGGATGGATTGTCCAGACTGTCAAAGCAGGATTCCCCACAGTCTGGGCATTTGTGAGTGCCCACCAGGCACTGCTCTGAGAAGTCCTCCTGGGGCTTTGGGTGGCAGCCTGGGCCTGGGGCAGGCAGGGGTGCAAGAGGTGTCCAGGCAGATAGTCCAGCAAGGCTTCTCTGTCTGAAGGGCTGGGCAAGGCCACCAGGAACACCAGAACTACAGGGGGGGCCGCACACGGCCCAGGAAGCCTCTCAGCCTCTGCCTGGCTGCCCGCAGCCCTCACCGCGGGGGCTGCGTGCAGCAGCCCAGTCCTGCACCTTCACCCCCCAGAGGAGCGGTTTGTTCTCCGCTGGTCAGACCCCAGCATCTCAGGAGCCCAGTGTGCACCCCGCTTGCTATCTTTTAAACATAACATAACGTCAGTGTGCCAGAGAGTGGAGGAACCCGTGTGTCGCCCACAGATGGACTAAGTCAGGGCTCCTGCTGGCAAGTGATAGAAAACCCAACCCAAACCAGCTTAGGGAAAAAAATTGTTTTAATGACTTGCTATTAAAACTAAATGTGCAGCCCTCGCCGGTTTGGGTCAGTGGACAGAGCATCAGCCTGCAGCTTCAGACCAAATCCACGTGCTCAAATGACAGCATCAGAACCTGGTCTGTGACCCCAGCAAGACCAGTAAGCCCTCTCACGATCACGTCCATGTCCGTGAATGAGGCTGCTGCTTCCAAACAGAAATGAGACAAGCCCTGCAGTTGGGGTGTCACGGGCCCAACCCTGAACTGATGGCGGGTTCTGATTGGCCAGGCCCATGCCACGTGCCGTTCATGACGGCCAAGGGTAGCCCCCACCCAAACTGTGCCTGCTCTTTGCCCATCTGGAGGTCGAGGTGGTCTTCCTGTGGCCTGGGAGTGGGCGGGCAGTGAGCCTCTGTCTGCCTCTGCCTCCAGATCAACGACGAGATGGAGCTGGAGGCCCTGTGCGCGGAGATCGCCTCCCAGCACCTGGCCACCGAGAGCCCCGACGGGCCCAACAAGCCCTGCTGCCGGTTCACCTACCTGACCATGACGGGCGAGGAGGTGGAGCTGTGCAGCCGCGGCCGGCACATCCCTGTGGCGTGAGTGTGTGCACGGAGGGGCCTGGGCACGCCGCTGGCTGGGGTCCCGGTTAGGTGACAGGCAGCTTTCACCAGCGGGAGGGAAATGAGGCAGGACGCTGGGCTTCAAGAAAGATGGTGGACTGTCTTCAGCAGAAGGCCGTTTACGTTAGAAAATACCAGCGGAGGTGGGTGTCACCAGACGTGGGAAACGTGGGTAACTGGGCACCTAGGGCAACCCCATCAGCTGCCTCGGCCTCCTCCCCGACCGTGTCCGCTGACCCCACAGGTGGGAGAACAAGGACATCTATGCAGCCGCCGTCCGGAGCCTGCGGCTGCGGGAGCTGCAGAACGAGGAGTGCACCACGGCCGTGCGGGCGGGCCTGGGCTCCATCGTGCCCCTGCAGCTGCTCACCACGCTCAGCCCTCTGGAGCTGGAGCTGCGGACTTGCGGCCTCCCATACATCAACCTCGAGTTCCTGAAGGTCAGAGCTGGGGCTGGGCGGGCGGGCAGGGCCTGTCCCAGCACTTCCTGTGCCCCAGCACCCTCCTTGCACGTGGGAGAAGCTACACTCAACCCTCTCTCTCAGCTGAGCAACCTAAAGCCAAGAGAGAAGCCACTTGCCCAAGTTCACACAGCCAGCAAGTGGCAGAGTCAAACTTTGTACCCAGATCACCTGCTTCCAGAGCCCAGGCCTTAAGCCACCATTCTGAGCTGATGGACTATCCTTGCCAAGACCCCTCCTTGCTTTAGCCCATGCCAGCTTCCCTCAGCCGGGCCTGTGTCCCAGCGTTGCTTCTTCCTACTTGAGAGACCTTGCCCAAGTGACTTCCCCTCTAGTGGGACGGTGACAGGACCTGCCCAGGGGGTCAGAGTGTAACATGGATAAGCCCTGCTGCCAGGTCTGGTGCCCAGGCCACAGTCACTCAAACCAGCACTGATACAACTGACTTCGCGGTCACTGGCATCACAGTCCTCGCCCTGGGTCCTCGCCATCGTCTCCCCGCTGCGCTGTCCTGGGATTGGCCTGCCCTGGGAGGCCCTGGGTCAGCAGAGGCCAGGTCTGCTCACACCTGGGGCCTTTCTTGCCAGGCCCACACCATGTACCAGGTGGGGCTGATGGAGACGGACCAGCACATTGAGTTCTTCTGGGGGGCCCTGGAGATGTTCGCCCAGGAGGAGCTGTGCAAGTTCATCAAGTTTGCCTGCAACCAGGAGCGCATCCCGTTCACCTGCCCCTGCAAGGACGGGGGCCCCGACACAGCCCATGTGCCCCCGTACCCCATGAAGATCGCCCCCCCAGACGGCACAGCAGGTACTGCCCTTGGTCATGTGTCAAGTGGGAGAAGGCCCTTCTCTGATTAGAATGGGGCCCTGCATGGGAGGGAGAAAACAGATCAGGGACCCCAAACACTAAAGCCCAGATGTAAGTGGGGGAAAGGCCAAGGGTAGCATGCCTCCCACACCTGACCTTCAAGTAACAAGACAGGTCCAGTGTTGATATGTATGTCAATATTTGTAAAAGCTAAAAATCTAGACATATTTTAATCTTTCAACTTTTAAATGCAGCAAAATAGCCCTAGCTGGTTTGGCTCAGTGGATAAAGCATCAGCCTGGGGACTGAAGGGTGCTGGATTTGATTCCAGTCAAGGGCATGTACCTCAATTGCAGGCTCCCAGGGGCATGTGGAAGACGACCAATCTGTGTCTCTCTCACATAAGTTTCTCTTTGTCTCTACCTTTCCCATTCTCTCTATAAATCAATGGGAACAAAGATAAAAACAAACAAAAATCAATGGAAAAAAATACCCTCAGGTGAGGATTAAAAAATTTTTTTTGAAAAAATAAATGCAGCAAAATAATTTAATTAAAAAACAAACCCTTTGCTGTCTGCAATAAGATTCCCTCTCAGGTCAGCAGTGGTGTGTCTGCTTTTTCTCCTCCAGAATCTTCTGCACCACGTCCCGTGCCATGTGAGGGCCAGCCAGGCCTAGGTCTCCCTGGGATCCCAGCCCAGCCCTCTAACACCGACCCCATTTTGCCCATAGGTTCCCCAGACTCTCGCTACATCCGCGTGGAGACATGCATGTTCATGATCAAGCTTCCCCAGTACTCCTCTCTGGAAATCATGCTGGAGAAACTGCGCTGTGCCATTCACTACCGTGAAGACCCCCTGAGTGGCTGAAGGGAGGGAGCTCCAGGGTGAGGCTGTCTCCGAGGCACTGCTCCGCCGGCAGGGAGGCCTGCTCCTGCAGGCATGTCCCTCCAGGGAGGGCCCTGCGTGAGGAGTTGGCGACGTTTTGCTTTTCTGAACTTTTGTCCACATTCCAGGGCCTCCTGGAAGACTTAACCTTTTGTATTTGTACGTTTTGTGATGGGTTGGTTTTTTTGCTACCGTTCACGGTGTTTGTAGGGTAGTTTAGTTCCCAGTTTGTGTCGCATTTGATCTTCCTGGACACTGTCCTTCGTGGCCACCAGATTCTGAGGCCCTAGGGCCCCAGATGGTTCCACATCACAGGACCACCCAGCAGGAAGTTGGCGATAAGACGCCATCGCCCTCTCAGAGTCCTGTTCCTTCCGAGAACACATCCACAAACAAGCCAGGCCTGCCCCACCTACCTGGAGCCAGAGTTTCTCCTGGACGCGGCTCCTCAGGCCTTCTTCCATGGTTGGACCAGTTACCCAAACATGGAGGTTTATGTTACTCTTTAGAGCCTTGTGAATGGTCTGGGATTTTCTGAGGAAAAGTCCACAGCAGCCCCTCCCGGACTCTCTGCTCTCCGTCAGTTCCAGGACCCTGGTCTGCGTTCCCCGAGTGCTCCTCAGGAGCAGGCGACCAAGGGTTCATTCCCGACGTCAGTTCAGAGCCAGGCGGCTGTGTCCCAGCTCCAGGGTTGAGAGGGACAGTGCTGGAGACGGACTGAATAGGAAAACACGTGATGCAAGCCTTCCTCACTCCTGTGCTCGGAAACGGCCCTTCCTCGCTGTGGAGGGACGTGAGGAGCTGAGGAAAGGGTCCCACCCCCACTTTAAAGAGCTGTCTGAGGTGCTCTGCTCAATTCGGGGTCTGCTTCCGTGACTAAGACCTTCCAGTCCAGATGGAGACGCAAGGGAGGTCCTTCTGCCCCCCTGGCTGGGCCCACCCAGTACCCTCCTCGCTGCCCCATATGTGTGCCAGAGCTGGGCTGCCCCAGCTCACCCACTGCCCCTGCATTTGTGCCCCACCTGGGTCTTTGTCCAGTGGTACTTTGTTGAAGAGCAGCATATGCCATCTTGTTGGACTGTCACTTGGGCCTTGCCAGTTCTCACAGAATTCATCACTGTATTTATTGTATAATATTGTGAATATTGGAAGTTCTGAGTGAGTGCTGAAGAGGTGGTTTGGAGTGTGAATGCTGGTAAGAGGAGGATGTGCTCCTCCTTCCGATGCCTGATGGAAACGTGGATTTTTGAGCCGTTAGCATCCCTCTCCTCCCTATTATTCCTAGGAACTGCATTAAGGACCATTGTAGAAAAGATCCCCTCCCCTAAGGAAGATAAACTTGGGTTAACTGTCCAGTTGCATCACTTATGTTTGATGCAGGATCAGTGTCTGGAGGTGAGTGCCTGCAGTGTCCCCGTCTGGAGAATGTGGTTGGCCACTGCCTCATGTGGCCACAGCCCCCTAGTCTGGAGGTCACAGCAGGATGTAGTCCTGACAAGGATCCTGTTTCATTCCTGCATAATGAAAGAGCCTTTGGATTTATTAGAAGTGGTTTTTTCCTCCTGTATTTTTAAATTCTTAGTTCCCTCTATCCCTTCCCATCCCTTGAACGAACTCAGAATTCTGTCAGCTACCTCCCCGATGCGGGGATTGGGAAGCTTCTGTTGGCCAATCACTTGATGCGATGATAGCTGTGAGTTACCTGCTGCTAACATGACTGCTTCTCCCAGAGAGCACATTGAGGTCCAGACAGATCTAAACCTTGGCCCTAAAACACATGTGCTGTAAAGTTACTTGATGTGTATTTATTATAATTATTTATGGTTGCATTTAACAAACTTTTCATTCAATTTGATGCTATTTACACCATTGCTGTGTAAAGAACGCTCACTACAGGAACAAAGTCTCACCAATAAATAATCTTCATCTAATTTTGATTTTCTCTAAGAATTGTGTGATCATCTTTTCAAAAAAGGTTTAATTTTCAGTTACATTTGACATTCAGTATTAGTTTCAGGTGTACAACAGTGATCAGACATTTACATCTTATGATCACACAGATCTAGTATCCACCTGATACCATAATTATTTTGACTATATTTCCTATAGTACTACTTTTTACATCCCATTTGCTTGTTTTTATAAGTGGCTATTTGTACATCCTAACCCCTTTACCCTTTTCACTCATCCTCCTAAACCCGCTCCCATCTAACCATCCATTTGTTCTCTGAAGAGTTTCTCCATTAGGTCCATCCATGTTGTCGCAAATGGCAACATTTCATTTTTTATGGCTGAGTAATATTCTATTGTACATGTCTACTGACAGACACTTAGGTTGCTTCCATGTCTTGGGTAATGTAAGTAATACTGCAATGAATATAAGGGCACCCCTATCTTTTCAAATGAGTGTTTCAGATTTCTTCGGATCAATACCCAAAAGTGGGGTTACAGGACCATATGATAGTTCTATTTAATTTTTTGAAGAACCTCCTTAATGTTTTCCATGGTGGCTCTGAGAAGGAGCTCACCCTGGACCTGCCAGAGTTCTGGGAAGCAGAGAAAGCCTAGTCCTGCTCACCTTCCCCCACACTCCCTGAGGTCTCTCAAGTGCACAGGAGAAGGAGCCACAAGACTCAGGTAAACTTCAAGTACAAACTTTATTTCTAGTACAAGATGTTAATAATTATAATAATAATAAAATAAAAAGAGGGAGATGGGAGCTCTGATACTTGTTTAGAGTTAAGTCACAGAGCTTAGGGCTCAGTCCCAGTCCGGAGAGCCCAGCAAGGCCCTGGCAGGGACAGAAAGCCCCTCACTGTTTCCATCAGAAGGCAGTAAAGAAAAAGGAGCCATTTCCCCACCAAAACAGAAGGCAGTGATGCCCAATGCCAAAGAAACAGATTAAAACAAAGCCGGAGTCCATTCTAGTTCAACTCATCTCCAAAAGACCTGTTCCTAATATATATTGCAACTGACCTGAACACTTTCCCAGGGCTGTTCCACACACAAACCAGAGTCCCAATTCTAGAGTGGGGAGGGGCAGCACACAGGAGGTTACCCAAAAGTTCCCAAATTTAGGCCCCTGCAGGAAAAAGAATCAGGTTTCCACAGCCCTCTCCTCTCTCCACCAGGACCACACAGCACCAGGAAACAGCGGTGACAGTTTGTCAAAAGATGGAGCCCTGGTGGGCTGAGAGGCCTAAGCTGTATTTTTGTGCTGCCAAAAGGCAGCAGCTAAAGCTGAAATGTTTCTGAACAGCCTCCCTGCTAGCCCTCCCTCCAACCCCCAAACTCCCACATCACAATCTCAAGACACAAAACCGTCATATCTTAGAAAAAAGGTAAATCTAAAATCTCCTCTGCCCACAGAGCCCGAGAGGCAGAGCCTGCACTGCAGCTGTGCAGAGAAGATGGAACCCTGTGCAGGTTCTTGCAAACACCATTACTCCTCCTCTTCCTCCTCGGCATCACCAGCTCCCTGTTGCTTGGGGGCTTTTGCCTATTGAAAACAACACAAACAAAAGTCCACATAGAAAGTGAAAATTCAGGCCGTATACCTTCAGAGCTCTGGAAATGCCAAGCTTCCATAGAAACCTCTTCATCAAAAGGCAAATGAACCGCCCTTCAGCCACGAGCGGCCTGTTGGCCAGCTCCTCTGACTTCAAGGACCATGCCTACCACACCCACCGCTCCCAAGCCCTCACTAAGCATTTCGAGGCTGGATCTCCCGTTACCTTTGCAGTCCTGTTGCGAAAGCTGGCAGTTGTGGCGGTGACCCTCGAGTTCCTGCCACCTTCGCTCCTTCCACTGAAAGAGAAGGATTGGAAACTACAATACTTTCTAAGATGCCCCTGAGCAAATGTCAGACAACTCAGCAAACAACTGGAGCCAGACACAACAGCTCTTTGTGAGCAGACAAACCAACAACAAAGAGCAAAAGGACATTCTGGAATCAGGCCATAGCACAAGCAAAGTCCACACTCTCATAGTCTCCTGAGCTATTGATTATTACCTTGTCCCATGTCTCCCTGAAGGCCCACGGGGGAAAGAGGGCGCAAGGTTTTCTGGGTAGAGACTTCGAACAGAGCGAATCACTGGAATCTGTCCAGCTGCCATGGCCCCATTATGGGTGTTTCGATTCCACCCCCGAATGTCCTGGCTGTCTAAGTTGTTGAGCTTCATGATGCTGGGCTGGGAACCAGATTTCGGGCTCGAAGTAGATGTTGACACACGGTTATAGGTAGCCATTGTGTTGTTAATGGGCCTGCTAGGGGGAAGAGGGTAGGTGGGCACTTTAGCGGTTTCCTGCTTAATATCATCCATGTAACCAGAAGACAGGTCACCTGCAAAAAGAGAGAACCAGTTTTAGGGAAAAGACTGCTCTTGCTATTAGTGCTAGAGTTGGAGCAGGAACTTGAAGATTCTGGGTAGAACACAACTGCCTCTCCTCTAAAGGCTGCTGAAACCTAAGTCTCCAGACAGTTGAAAACAACTTTGTCCACACTATATACTTATTGAGTCCTCATGTAACTAACCAACAATCATGTGTAAGCAAACCTTGAAAAATAATGCCTAACTGGCTTGTAGTGAGTTTCAAAACAGTTTACTTGCCTAGTCCCTGATTCTCTTTAATAATAATGCCAAAACCGGTTTGGCTCAGTGGATAGAGCGTCGGCCTGCAGACTGAAAGGTCCCAGGTTTGATTCCGGTCAAGGGCATGTACCTTGGTAGCGGGCACATCCCCAGTGGGGGATGTGCAGGAGGCAGCTGATCAATGTTTCTAACTCTCTATCCCTCTCTCTTCCTCTCTGGAAAATCAATAAGATATATGTTTTTAAAATAATAATAACAATAATAATGATAATGATTGAATACTCTAAGCAAATTTCAACTAGAGGTAAGGGCCGAAGGTAGCCACAGTAAGTTCTAAAAATTATCTCCAAATAGTCCCCTGAGAAAGCTACAGCTGAGTAATCACTACCAAACCAGTACCCTATAAACCTACACTCAAGACCGCTCAGTCTAACATGGGACCACAATTGCTAGTAGTGAGATCCTATTGGTTCAGGATTCAGGGAACCCCCATGTTAGAGTAGCAGATGAGAAATGGTAAATAGGCCTGAGTCAGCAGCAGACCTGCAGCTTTGGCTCAGCCCTGGCTAATACCCTGGTGTCTGACACGCCTCTTGGGCAACTCTGGTGAGGTCTCTGGAGACTGGAAATCTTGTCTAGGAATATCCTCCGTCACATGGTTGTTTGCTGTGGCTGGGCGTTGGTCACACTGGTCCTAACAAAACAAAACAAAAAATTAGTATCTCTGGGCTGAGTCATTTCTTGGAGAAGGAGCAGTAAGAAGAAAGGAAGGAGCAGCAGGTTAGGGGAACACACCTTATCCGGGGTCTTTGACAACCACTGAGAGGGAGGGCCTGAGACTAAGGAAACTCATCTAGAAAGGAGCAATCATTCCTATTAGCACCCAAGATACTGAAGAAGCCCTGCCTGACTTATGCAGGGGTCAAGGAACGGCTGGTGTCAAGAGCACTAAAAAGTATACTACCTATACTCTGACCACAGAGTATTTGCATAGTTGCTTATTTCAGAGTCTCCTGTAGGAGACAACCAGCAGTCTATTATCTACTGCTTGACCTAAAAGCAGAAGTCTTTATTTACATGAATGAAATGTGTGGTGTTCTAGCAACAGCTATATGGCTTCAACTACAGAAACAATCCTGAACACATCTGGAGTGTTAGCTCCCTATAACAAAGAGATTGGGCAAAACCGGTTTGGCTCAGTGGTAGAGCGTTGGTCTGTGGACTGAAAGGTCCCGGGTTCGATTCCGGTCAAGGGCATGTACCTTGGTTGCGGGCACATCCCCAGTAGGGGGCGTGCAAGAGGCAGCCAATCGATGATTCTCTCTCATCGATGTTTCTAACTCTCTATCCCTCTCTCTTCCTCTCTGTAAAAAATCAATAAAATATATTTTTAAAAAACATAAAGATTGGGCAGAAAACTGTATTCCCTATTAACAGATGTGAATCCTACAAAAGCTGAGAAAGGACTTCAACTTGTCTAGTATAACTCCTTCATTTACAGATATCCCCAGTGAGGAAACGGGATCTACCCCATGGTCAATAGAAGAACTAGCTCTCAGGTCTCCCGAAATGCAAGCTTTAAATACCACCACAAAGAATAATCTGCCTGGTCAAAAGTAGAATATGTTAGTGACATCAGGAGAGTTCTCGTCTCAACCAGGCTGACAGTCCTCCACACCTGCATAGGAGTCCTGACTCCCTGGTCCTTAGCTAGTGACATGATGGCTTCAGTTGCCAGAAAACTCACAAAACAGGGCATGTCCAGTAGCCAAGTCAGGCACGCATGCAACTTAAACACTAAAGAGGCGTCCTCAGCTCTGAAAGCCCAGGGTCACTCAGGATCAGCATGGAGTGAAGGGGACGGTTCTTCAGTGACTTGTACCTGGTGATGGAACAGCACTTCCTCTTCCAGCTGGACCCCACAGAATTCACATGGGATGATGATGCTGCTCTCCACAGAGGGTGCATTGCTCAGGCCCATCAAAGAGCTGAACTGGTTACTTGCAGCCTGCTGCAAAAACCTCTGGAAGATGACATCAGGGTCCTCCACTACCTCTTTGGGGGAAGTGCTACCCATGTTAAATGAAGGTAAGGCACGCGAAGGGTTACAGCTTGTCTGTCTCAAAAAAAAAAAGGAGGGGGGGTAGAAGGGGTTTAAAAAGGTTAAGGGGAAAATATTAAAACATTTTCTAGGCATCACAAATTTTTAATAAGGCTTAATACTGAGGAGAGGAACTAGAAAGGGTCACGAAATGCAGACTGAATGCTCACTTTACTTTTATTTTAAACATTACTGTGCTCTTTTTACTGTGTTCATGTGATTATTCTTTTTAAACTAATTGGAAAATATTCAAGATTCTTCTCACAATCACATAGCAAGCGAGAACCCAAATATTCTTATTTAAGTGGATTTTCTTATGCTGCTCCCCAACCAAAAACTAGATTTATTCAAATATGTATTATTCCACTTATGGGGTGCTAAAATTTTGGAAATGCTAGACTAGGCCAATCCAAATCAGACAGAGCAAGAGTGTCGAGGGGAAAAGTAGTTCCATCCACTAAGCAATCCTAAGACAAAGTCTATTATTCTCTAATCATTTCTAAATGGCTCAAGAACGTTCATTTAAGAAATATCTGACACCTTTCATATACCAGGTACTAAGATTCAGAAACTAGGAAAACCCAGAATCTGTCCTCAAGGAACTCAGCCAATGGTGCAGACGACAGGGGATCAGGAGACCACATCACAGGGTAACAGACTAAAAGAGAAGTGGGCACAGAACTTTTAGGGTGCACATAGGTAGGACCTCTGATCTAGTCTTGAGAGTGTCACTCAGGATAGTTTCTTGCAGGTCGTGTCTGAAACAAGTCTACGGGTAAGGGGTCTGTTGAGGAGGCAGGGGTGGAAGGCCACCTGGCTTCCAGGCAGACAAAGTGTAAGGAGCCCTGACCCTTTCAAGGAGCTGCAAGGACTTCAGTACAGCTCCAATAAACAAAATGGGGCATGAGATGAGACCAGATTACATATGGTCATTAGAGACAGAGTAGTCACCACATGGAGGGAGCAAACTGGCCTGCTGGAATGAGCAATACTTTTCCCAAGAGTGAACAAGACTGAGTTCTCACATCACAGTAAAACACAGATGCTACTCCTAGAATAGGCCTATTAAAATAATGTGCTCGCTCTAATTGGTTTGGCGCAGTGGATAGAGCGTCAGCCTGCGGACTCAAGGGTCCCAGGTTTGATTTCGGTCAAGGGCATGTACCTTGGTTGCGGGCACATCTTTAGTAGGGAATGTGCAGGAGGCAGCTGATCAATGGTTCTCTCTCATCGAAGTTTCTAACTCTCTATCCCTTTCCCTTCCTCTCTGTAAATAAATAAATAAAATATATTTTTTTTAAAAAAAATTTGCTTAAGGCCTCCTGTGGCCTGCAACACCAACTATGGCCTACACACATTCCTCCTTAAAACTCTCCAGTAATTCACAACACACCTGATGGTCGATCAGCAATTCCTCTGGGTAGAGCTCCTCACAAAATTCACAGGGCAACATGGTCTCATCAGCTGTACCTGGGTATCAGAAGCCACACAGATGCCAATGAACAAAAGCAAACTTGATTCAACCTGTTATTCTCCTGGTGGGGATTTAATTAAAAGTGTGACTCCCTTTGACATTTCAGAGATAGAGCAATTTGTGGGGTTGTAAATCCTCCCAACAAAACTGCCCAAGAGACAAATC